TTTGGTTTTTTGGGGCTCCAAAAACTTTTTTACCAAAAATGGTGCCCGCATTACATCCCCACCATTTTTTCCCCTTTGTAAATTTTTTTTTGTCGTCCCCCCCCCCCCCCCCCCCCCAACCCCAACCCTCCACGGGTCCGCCTCGGTGTTGTTGGCCGCCTTCCTTATAACACTGAGTCTCTGCTTTCTGTCTTTCTGATCTCCCTTCTCTTGATCTCCAACCACGGTCAAGTATCCAGCATCTCTCACACTCGCCATTGAAAGAACTGCTTCAAGTCCCCCATAGTGGGGGATTCTTACTCAATCGGGCTCTCCTCCGTGATCCTCCTCTGGGTCTCACTTGCCTGCTCCGAACGGTGGGATCCCAATACTGGCATCTTTTTCTGCCCCTCCGTCGGCAGTGATATTTACTTTTGTGCACCCCCTGCACCCCTTATTCCAAATTCCGGCCGTCGAGCACGCATAAGAAGAAGAAAGAGAACCAGTTAAGGCTACATTGATGTCTTCTGACCTACGTACTGCCCTCAATTGCTTGCGACATCCGTCCAGATTCATGTCCGTCTCGAGAAGCCAACTCTCGAGAGTCCATACGGGTGATAGTATACAAGATATATCAAGTGTGTAAAGTATGTATGCTCTCCAGCGAACCTCGCCGAGTCTCCCGATGGCCGGAGGCTCATACTTAGATGCTGTGATGCACAGGGATCACCAACCGCCGAGGGAAGGGAAAGTTGCGCAGCATGGAGACCGTGAGAAGCCGCGTGGCGTTTGTGGAATTCAAACGCTCCCTCGTCCCGCCGAGGTGGGAGGACAGCGTGCGCGTCATCGGCATATCCGAGTACAGGGCCGCCGCCCTCTCGCTGGCGCACGCCTTCGCTACCGACGACGTGGCCCAGTACCTCGTCACCTCGGACGACATGGCAGACCTGTCGGCCGAGGACAGATGGAAGGTCCACGTCGACATCATGTCCTACATTGTGGCTGCTCACTGCTACAATGGCGTCGTTACCACCATCGGCCCCGACTACGAGGGGGTCGCGCTCTGGTCCGTGTTGAACCTTCTTGTACTTTTCTGTTTCCCTCCCTTCCCCTTCCCCTTCCCCTTGCCCTTCCTCTCCCCCTCCCTCTCCCCCTCCCAATCCGAAGCACCCTTAGATATACGTCTCCAACAGCGAAATATACTGAACGAGAGACATAAAACCTTCAGGCTACCTCCGGGCAAGGACCTGGACGGATGGTGGACGATCCTCCGGAGCGGCCTCTGGCGCCTCAAGTTCCAACTGTCCGCCGAGGGCAAGAGGCGGTACGACGAGCTCCTGGCCGTGCTTCACGACGCAAAGATCTCAGTCCTCGGCGACCGCGACGGTGACGCCTGGTATCTCGTCTACCTCGGCACCAAGCCGAGCGGTCGGCGCCGCGGTCACGCGGGGAAACTCCTCGAGCACATTATTCAGAGGGTGAGTAAAACCCCCCCTTTTCCCTTCCCAACTTACCCCTATCCTTCTACCTTTTTTCCCCCGGAGTGGGGAGGTGGGGGTTCCTGGGCTGCGATAACAATTTCTCTTTGCTGAAACGAAAACTCTCCCCGCGATTGGGAACATGTAGGCTGATGCTGAGAACCGCCCGATCTACCTCGAGTCAAGTTCACTGGCCAACAACGGCTACTATGAGAAGTTCGGCTTCGAGATCCGGAGGGACGTCTTCCTCGAGCGCGGGCGTGGAATGGCGCCTGTCCGCCTGTCCATCATGGTTCGTGAGCCCGAACCGGCCCAAAAGGTAGTTTACTCCATTCCGACCAAGGCGCTCGGGTTTGGTGGTGGGAAGATGGCCTAGGGAGAAAGGGGGGAGGGGCGTTTGGTTGACTTGCGGAGGAGGCCGGAGGGACGTGAGGCCAGATTGATCAACTCACAGGACAGGGTGCTATTCTCACTCACACACCACACTCACACCCCCTTCCTCGTGCTGTTTTTGCTACTTCTTTTACCCTCTCTTTTCTATTATTCACTTCCAAACCTTGGCGCATTCAACATGCGAACATGCGGGTCAGACATTATTGGCTTGTGGCTCCTGACAATCATCTGCCGCATCCCTGGCCTTTCTTTTCTCTTGGGTGTCCTTTTATTTATCTTACCGTCAGGAGTACCCCTTCGTTTCTATACTCATCCCACTCCACTCAGTCCTTATTTAAAGGCGTCATGCCGCCCGTTCCCGAATCAACCATACGTGGCAATGCAAAATCCAACGCCAATAGCTCAATATCCCTGGGGGTAGGAGAGTCAAATACAGCCATCTCGTGCCTCATCAACCATAGGACTCCAGCAGGGCCCATGTCTCGTCGTCGATAGTGGTGTAGATGAGACCCTGGCCTAATAGCTCATATGCAGCCTCGAGCACGTCTCTCACGCTCAGCCCGCTGCCGCTGGAGATGACGTTCACATTCACGCCCTCGTTGCCGCCCGGCGAGTTCTGCAAGAAGTTGTACATGGTCTGCGCCTTCGCCGAGCAGCCCACCAGCTTACCCGACATACCGGTCGCCGCACCAGCGCCATACCCGTCGACAAACATGCTCTCGCCGCCCGCGCCCGCGCCCTGGCCCGCCCCAGCCTCCGCCTGCTGCTGGCCCGGCGGGCCCTTGGTCAGGTACAGGTGGACGTAGGCGGCCTCGAGCAGGTGGTAGTTGACCTCGTTGTAGTCGTCAATGGGGCGCATGAAGAGGGCGCCGACGTGCTTCTTGCCGTTGAAGCTCTTGAGGCGGCCCAGCACGCGGACGTACTGGTCCTGCGCGAACTTGGGGCTGCTGTCGTCGGGCCGCTCCGGGTCCACCCAGTTCTTGACGTCGATGGTGGCGGTGCCGTCGTCCAGCCGGTACGTGATGTTGGTGGTCTGCGGGTTCACCGCCCGCACCTGGCCCACAATCGTCACCTGCGTGAGCGGTGCGCCGTCGATCGCCACGTCCGCACCGGGGAACGCCTCTTCCCAGTCCGCCAGCTGCTTGATCGTCACGGGCCGGAGGGACTCGTCGCCGTAGCCCTGCAGTGATTGGAAACGGTGGTTAGCAGATATCCTGCGCCGAGACCTTTCTCAAGGACGCGTGGGGTGTGCAATCGGCTTACCTTGCCTCCGCCACTTTGGCTGCCCTGTTGTGACCCGCCTAGAAAACCGCCACCATCCTCGCCGCCCTGGGCGCCGTAGGATGTCCTGGAGTAGCCACCGCCGTATGAGGCTTTGTTGGGAGTCAGTTCACGCTTCTAGATATGCCCCCAAAACCATCATCGCGGATCCACGTACTCATAGCTGCTATTCTGTCGTTTTGGTGCTGCCTTGTCTGGTCTGGCCACTGGAAGGGGGGTTGTTGCGCTGTGGGGAGGAAAAGACGCGCTTTCTTAAGTGGGATGACGCGCCGACCACTTTAACGCGCGGGGCCCACTTAAACTGGGGAGCAACCCGGGGACCAGGATGGCATGGCAAGTGTCGGGCGACTGGAACCCTTGTCAGCGGAAAACGAAGTGCTTGTGGGACCCACCCCAGCTGGCCGACGGCATCACCAGCTGCTGATTGTGACTGGCGTCCGCCATGTTTAGCCTCGGCTGATGCGACTGACTGGAAGCTTCGACGTTGACAACCGAGCATAGGTTCTGACGACATTGCATCTGACTACTACCTCCCGGCGATTTCTTATTTTGCTACACCTGACTAAACCTCGGACGAGTTTACGGATTACCTAGATATTAATACTCATCACGCATACCTGCGTATTGTTGCGACCTTGTGTGACGACATCAACTGCACCCCATGGCTCGCTCGCAATCCGCAACGCTCCCACTTATCCCACTCCCGACCGGCACCGTCCTTCTGCCGGGCGTCATCCAACGAATACCCGTCTCCGCCAATCGACCGGATATTGCCTCTCTCCTCGCGACCGTGTACACGAGGGCATCGTCCAAGAGCCCGAATGGCCGCATAGACACCGTCCCCATCGCCTGCGTCCCCATCGCCTCCCCTCTCCTCAGCCCGAATGGCCAGCTCGTTATCCAGGACGATGGCGACCATGTCGACGAAACGGACCCGCCAGTCATTGACCCGGCAAAGGCGACAAAGGCGGATTTGTTTCCGTGGGGAGTCGCGGCAAGGATAACCGGCGTTGAAGGCCAAGGCACGGGCGAGTTCACCCTTCTGGTCGAAGGAGTCTCGCGCATAAGGATTGATAATATGTACTCGGAGCGGCCGTACTTTGAAGCCAAGGTCGTATACTTCAAGGACGAAGGTAGCAGCAGCTCCCCCGCAACCTTTGCCCTCCCTTGGACGCATGCCTGACCTAGATGCAGTCTCGCTCCTGGACCCCGCTCTTCAGGAGCTGTTCCAGAATCTAAAACAACTCTCACGGGAACTCGTGGGGATTCTTAGACTGGCCTCTATGCTTCCCCGGCCTGCCGGATCTATCGGCTTGTCCCCGCTTCTCGCCCGTCGGCTGGACTTCTTCATTGTCAAGAAGAAGGTGGTCGATGCGGGGTCGTTGGCGGACTTCATGGCAAACATTGTTGACTGCTCTTTTGAGGAGAGATTGCGGGTCCTTGCCTTGGTCGATGTGAAGGAACGCATCGCCAAGGTCATCGAATTGCTGGACCGCCAGGTCGGAACCATCAAGAACAACGTCAAGATCACTACCTTCACGACCACGACGCTTCCATTTACTATCGATCCAGACTCGGCTCAGAAAGAGATTGAGAAGATCTGGAGGCCGAATGCGGCCAAAACTCCGTCTCGAGGCCCAGCCCCTGCCGTAGGCATGCCCTTCCCGCCACCCCCCGGCTTCATGGGTTCTGGAAACCAGGACGAAGACCAGGAACCCAATGAAGTCGATGAACTCCAGAAAAGGCTTGACGCTGCAAAACTGACGCCGGAAGCTGCCAAGGTGGCAGACCGAGAGATCAAGAGATTGAAGAAGATGTCCCCGGCACAAGCTGAATACTCTGTCATGAGGACATATCTCGAAACCTTGGCCGAGATTCCATGGTCGGCGATGACAGATGACCGTCTTGGGCCGCAGACTCTGACGAGGGCGAGAAAGCAGCTCGACGACGATCATTTCGGGCTAGAGAAGGTCAAGAAGCGACTCCTAGAATACCTGGCTGTCCTGAGGCTCAAGCAATCTATCAACGAGGACATTGAGGTGCAGATAAAGCAAGCGGAGCAGGAGATGGGACCTGAGCCGAACAGGGATGATGACGCCAAGGGCTCAACATCAGAAGATGTCAAGCTGGACGAGAGGCCCAAGCCTAACACTGCGAAACTCGAGATCCTAAAGAGCAAGCGTATGATTGACAAGTCACCTATTCTCCTCCTAGTTGGTCCTCCAGGCGTGGGCAAGACAAGTCTTGCAAGGTCTGTGGCAACAGCTTTGGGCCGTAAGTTCCACCGGATCTCGCTAGGAGGAGTGAGGGACGAGGCGGAGATACGCGGCCACCGGAGAACATACGTCGCTGCAATGCCCGGATTGATCGTCCAGGGCCTAAGGAAAGCGGGCGTAGCAAATCCCGTCTTTCTACTAGACGAGATCGACAAGGTCGGCGGCTCCAATTTCCATGGCGACCCGTCGGCGGCCATGCTTGAAGTCCTTGACCCTGAACAGAACCATACCTTCGTGGATCACTACGTCAACATACCAATAGACCTGAGCAAGGTGTTGTTCATCGCCACGGCGAATTCCCTCGACACCATCCCGCCTCCGTTGCTCGACCGCATGGAGACCCTCTACATCCCCGGCTACACCACGCTCGAGAAGAGGCATATCGCACTGCAGCACCTAATACCCAAACAGATACGAGTCAACGGACTAAACGAGGACCAAGTTGCCTTCACACAGGATGTTGTATCCAAGATAATCGAGTCTTATACTCGCGAGTCGGGGGTTCGCAATCTGGAGAGGGAGCTGGGCTCGGTGTGTCGCGCGAAGGCGGTCGAGTTTGCAGACGCGAAGGACGGGGGCCACCCCGAGACGTACAGGCCGCAGCTCACGGTCGAGGACATTGAGAACATACTCGGCATCGAGAAGTTTGAGGAAGAGATCGCCGAGAAGACTAGCCGGCCGGGGATCGTCACCGGCCTCGTGGCGTACAGCTCGGGCGGCAACGGGAGCATCCTATTCATCGAGGTGGCGGACATGCCCGGCAACGGCAGCGTGCAGCTGACCGGCAAGCTGGGGGACGTGCTCAAGGAGAGCGTCGAGGTCGCGCTGACCTGGGTTAAGGCCCACGCGTTCGAGCTGGGCCTGACGCGGGAGCCGGCGGCCAACATCATGAAGGATAGGAGCATCCACGTGCACTGCCCCTCGGGCTCGATCCCCAAGGACGGTCCGAGCAGCGGCATCGCCCAGGCGGTGGCTCTTGTCTCCCTGTTCTCCGGCAAGGCTGTGCCGCCGACTATGGCGATGACGGTACGCTGACCTTTCCTGGAATTTCGAAGATGGCGCTGTGCTTGGACTTCTCGCGGGGTAGGCTAACATGGTATCACACTAGGGCGAGATTTCCCTGCGAGGGCGGGTCACCGCCGTCGGAGGTATCAAGGAGAAGCTGATCGGAGCGCTACGAGCAGGAGTGAAGACGGTGTTGCTTCCGGCGCAGAACCGCAAGGACGTCAAGGACCTCCCGCAGGAGGTGAGGGATGGCCTGGAGATTATCCACGTCAGGTACGTATCCACACACCAGCCCCCTCTCGGGGGAACCGCGATGTTGGAATAATTTCGCCCTTGCTAACAGCTCTCGGCGGCATATAGCCATGTTTGGGAAGCCCTCCGCCATGTCTGGCCGGACTCGCAATGGCCGGGAGAAGAGAAGTATAGCCAGACTGTCGAGTCCCGATTATAATAAGGTCGTGTTTTTCTCTTGCAAGCCCATTGCTGAGGGCACCTGTCTATAGTTATAATAGCGTGTATGATACTCTCGTTCCCTGAGCCTATGTCTTGCTTGTCAGATGTTTCTTACTCTGAACAGTGAATATTACTCTGAACAGTGAATATTACTCTGAACAGTGAATATTACTTTGAACAGTGAATATTACTCTGAACAGTGAATATTACTTTGAACAGTGAATATATCAAGATTTGCATTCTCTTCAACCCAACGCCGTTATTGCAACGCGTATTTGGGGATCCGGTGCACATCGTCCCCAGCAGTCATTCCAAGCCGAAGGAAACCCCCTCGCCCGCCCCCTCTCCTTTTAGGCATTAGATCTCGGGGCTTTGGGACTACTAGTTTTTCCCTTGACGCCACGACAGCCTCACTTTCGGCAAGCCGGTCCTAGCCCAGAGGGCGCTGCCTAGGTAGCCAAGGCTATGCCGGGAGGGAAGTGAGAAGGTAAGCGCGGGTATGGAAAAGGGGCCAGCGACTACAGCTTGATACAGATGATACAGGGATGCACCTTTGCAGCGCCGCTTCGGGATGAAAATCCCGTCTCGATAATGCTCCTATCCTCCCCGTTCAAAGGTGTCCTTTGCCTGCCCTACTTACCCGAGGCCCACCACCGACCTATCTCCAATAGGTCATTCAAACCCTCTCCTGGCCGTGCCGGAATGACTACCCCGCGACGAACGAGGATGGAAACCACCCCCGGTACGCCACCCTAAGGTTGATTACTTGCAGAGCTACTCGGCCGTAATAGTGCAAAGCTGCTCTTTAAGAGAAGGGAGGGAGGCGTTGTCTCGGAATCGATGCCCAAAATACCCTTTTGTGGATCGGCGACGCAGTACGGAATTCCTCCCCGGCCCACCCGTTTAGGAGAGAGAAGAAGAGTCAAGCGAGTCCCCACTCAGTCCCGCCCGCTCTGCAGGATCGGTTCGGTTCGGTCCCCCCGTATACGGGGGTGGGGTGTCGGCATCACACCCACCTCGCTAAAGCTCAGAAGCGATCTCCGAGAGTCTGGAACCCCCCGAACCAGGCGAACCACAGAGGTGGGTGGGTGGAAAGCGGTTCGGTAAGCCGCACCTGTTTTCCGAATGGACCGGCGCCGCCTCGTTTCAGTTAGAGTGGGGTGGGAGGAAGTCTGAGACAGGGTTGCACCTAAATATGGACTTTTTTATTTTTATTTTTTATGGATGATAAAGGATGTGGTTCCAGACATAGACACGGGGGCTTCCTTCCAGTCTCTTCACTTTTCAACCGGTCGTCTAGGTAATTACCCTTCCAGGCCGGTCCGTAAGCGATGTTTTTGAATATTTGGACTTGCCTTGGGAGCACCTACAGGATGGAGGAGGCCTAGGTCGAACTTAACCAGGCAGTCGGGGAAGCGAGGCTGTGCTCGCGTCCGCTACCATGGATGCGTTGTTCCAGACCAGGACAAACTTGCTCTTGTCGAAACTTGCAACTGCTATTTTGGTAAGCTCGACGTGCAGATAGACTTTAACCTGCTGGTCTGTTAACGAGGAAGCGAGCCACCTTCGGCCCACCAGGAATTTTGCATGCATGCTTGCCTGCTTGCTAGCTTGCCAGTCGACGACGTGTCTCTACTCTTTCGCTGTATCCCCCAGAGAGGTATGAGACGCAGAGGGTCTAACATGCCAGCTCACATGCCTTTCCCATGTACATATCTTGGGGCCAGAAAGAAGAGAGCGGCATTTACAGTAAAATCCAAGGTCACCAAAGGCTGGTGAGACCTCCAGTGGCCAGGCTATACGACAGTTTAGAAGTCGTCGAGGGTATTCGGAAGAGACCCAGGCGAGAATACGCAACCCAAGGCGGCATTGTTCCACGAGGCTCAAAAATGATATTCACCAAGGGACCTATTTTCTCTCGAGGCCTATGCTCAGCGCAACATTGTTACCTGGCAGTCATCGCCGGCCGAAGTTGATGGCATCTTTGGTCGCAGATACCTTGACAGGACGCGCACCAATATCACCTACAGCTGGCGGCCCCCTAGACCAAGGTTCAAATGAATGTATCTGAGCTCGCGGCCCCTGGCTCGAGTGCATGTTGACTCCCATACCTCCCAATGAGCCTTCAAAATGCCGCAGCCTCGATCAAGCTCATGTGACCACTGACGATGGGAGGTAGTCGTAGGAGTAGTCGTAGGAGTAGTCGTAGGAGTAGTCGTAGGAGTAGTCGTAGGAGTAGTCGTAGGAGTAGTCGTAGGAGTAGTCGTAGGATCATGACGGCAAGCTTGGCTCAGCGTTTGGCCAAGGCGTGACTCCACCTGCCAATCCCCTCGACAGGCAGACACCAGACGAACTTCTGACAGCCCGGTTATTTGGACATTCTCTGCGTAGGCACGTGGCGGGTATCACATAAACCACACCCTGTCTCGCTGGGAGGGGGGCCATGCAGATCGGCCATGACGGAGGAAAAAAAGGGCAAAAAAAGATTTCTTCATTATGGGGAGATAACTTAACGAGGGCCTGGATCGTCAATCGGAACCACAATTAGCGCGCAGATGTCCCGGGAGATCGAGCATGATGGACAAGAAGCACCAAACGTCAGATACCTCGCCTGCTGGGGATGGAGTGGTCAAATAAGGGAACGAAGAGCAGGCTATCTGGGCGGGGGCCCCACCCCCTCCAGATCATCCCACGGGCCGGTATGCGAATCGTACGAGAAGATCTCGCAGGCAAATTCATGCAGGCTGCTCTCTCTCCAGTGTCGAGCTTGTGGGTGATGGTGGAGTGAGGAGATCGCCTCGATGATAGGGGATGTGGAGGAGGGGAGGGGCAAGTGAACCAGATCGACAGAGTTCGATGCCCAGTGATGCACATTTCTAACACGGGACGATGTCAATCCTCTGCTCCTCCAAATTTCGCAACCTCGAGTCCCGAGAGCCCTTCTGAGTCCTCTAACTTTGGAACAGAGAGCGCCAATTGGGGTCGGAGACGTAGGTCACAGGTCGCGGGTTGTTACCTGAATGGGTGCAATTGGAGTGGAGTGTTGTGTTATTTGGGACCCTGTTAGAAGTGCGGGGTGATGTCAAGTCATTGATTGACATGCACGAGCAGGGTAATTGCTCGAGGTCATGAAGATCGACGGAGTGTCTCATCGTGACATTTCATCGATACTACTCACTTACGTAGCTACAATGCATTAATTAGGTATAACTTACCATTACATCATCCAAGCCGGTCTCCAGCGGGAAGCACTTACTAATCCGTTAAACTCAAGTCTTCATCTGATCTTTTCTTTTTCGTCCGATCTTTTTGGGCGGCATTTCTGAAAGAGGCATGGGTCTGGCAGGGGCCTCTGACGTTGGATGACATGGGGTCGTGGCCTTGCATATGGAGCTTGGCGAACAGATGTACATACTATGGTACATACATATATGTACTGTACTTCATTGAGCAACACCTGGCTCTACTCAAGCCCCCAATCTGTGGATGGACTGGCAAGATGCACTCCAAGATCGTCGTTCATGTATGTCGTGCGCACGACCACCTCAACTGAGCGCAGTCGGAAACGTACGTTGTAGAAGATTGAGGTGAGTTGACATAAGGTGCTCGGTCTAGGGGTTCTAGCCCGATGTGAAAGTGATCGGTGACGAGGTTCGCCAACATCGAAAGATGAGGCTTGCAAGGATGCCTCAAGTGCACCGAAGTGGCCGAATATTTTTGACCTGTTGAGGTTATCCCCCCACAAAAGCTCTGGTTCGAAGATGATATATTAGGTACGCACGGACGGCGGGAGAGATTGCGGAACAGAGCGCATGCAAGGAACTAATGGCGATCCCTACATCGTCATTTCCTCCTCTACGGGAATTGCTCGGTAATGACCCCTAGCATCGCGCAGAAGCACGTAAGCCGTGGTCAGGGCGTCCACTATGCAGCTGTCTCAAATGTCCAAAAGACAAGTGAGAGTGAAAGGGAAACCCCCCCCAAGACAACCCAGACAATCCCCCTCGTGGCACACCCTGCCTGCTCTTACTATGAAGAAGAAACCATTGAATGGGGACGGACCTGCAGGAAAAGAGGAGAATTCAAGGTCGCCGGGAAATGAAGCTGGAGCCCTGCGTCCCGGACCCCGCAAGTCATGCTAGTGTAAGTTTGCTCCACAAAGTGCTCAGCCGCGATACTAGTTGAGATTATCTACGTTAGGTATGAGACGGAGATGCGACGGTCTCTCAAGCAGCACAGGCAAGTTAGTGGTCGTTATCGTGGTTCCAGCACCGCAGAGCCTCTCCTTCGCCTTTCTCCAGGGTCAGGGAGGAAGGGCCGCAAGGTGGACTGGGTGGCCCCTGACTTATATTGGCCCAATTAAAGGGCCACGGGCCCATGCAACCCTAGGCCCCTGCTAGTGCAGAGAGCTCTGTCCAAGCTCTCACCAGGGTGCGTGGACAGGGGGTGCTGGCAACAGGGGTGCCAGCCAGAATGATGTTAGGTACGAAGGTCACTCGGCACCTACCTACCGCGTAAGGCGAGTGGGAGGTATGCGTTAATGAAGGTAGATCACATGGATCAACAAAACCCAAGGTAGGATCATGAGCGAAAACGCAACCCTGCTTTGCTTTTGCTTCAAAATGCCGACATGCCAAGGAACTCGTGTGAATGACTCGAGGTCCTTGATAAGTTGGGGGGGATTTTAGAGCTGGCGCCAGGACGCCGGGAGGGGCACCGCTGGCTCCCCGGTCGTCGGACATTTTGTTCGTTGGGCGGATCAAAAGACCCGATGAAAATGGTGAGTGGACCATTTTCACACTCGCACCAATAGAGTATCCGAAACTTGCCGAGACTCGCCCTAGCTTTGCTGTCCAATGCTTTATTCGTGTCTCGATCGTCTCGACTTTCTGGGGATCGACCGACTAAGACTATGCAATGGCTACTAGTTCAGATGAACCGCGAACCTTCGTCTCACGGGCGTTGTTGCGAATGTGCGGCACGGTTGATCGACCCCATTGGCAAGTATTTTTGGTTGGAGATAGAAGGATTAGGAGGTAAGATAGGTACCGTACCGTAACTAATTACCGTTCAACCTTATGACAGGTAGCCGTGCATGCATGATACAGCATCACACGAACATGACACAGGCTCCAACATGCCCTTGGATCCTAGAAGGGAAAGGTGAGGCGACGACCCCCATCCTTCTGGACATGGGACGAATACACAGTAAGGGTAGTTGGAACCGGAGTCGCGGCTCCCGCAGGTTGGCACGGATCTCTATGGAATCCAAGCTGCCGAGGGAGAGTATTGAGGCTGCATATTCGCATCATCGTCATCATCGAGTTCCAGTTGGTTGCAGCGATTATGGGATGCTATTTTTGATGTGACGGAGATCATCGATAGACGAGATGCGCCACGTATCATCAATACAACACGGCATAAGAAATCGAGGACAGGTATATCAAAGGCGCTATGCTATGGAAAGGTTAGCTACCTTAGGTAGGTAGGTTAACCGCAAGCTTTGTTAACTTTACATACCTCCGATCTCATGACAACATTTTTGCTCCTGCATTACAGGGTGCCCAGCCTGGATGTGTGCACTACGAATGCAGGTACAGGTATCCGTACGTGATAGATTACCACTGCGGTTGGTGTGGTGTGTGCGTGCAAGTGGCCCGTTCACAGATCCTCCCGGCATGAACGAGGCCCTCTCACCTGCAAGCTCCACATCAGATAACTCGGTACTGGGTCTCTCACCAAGGTTCGGTCGACATTGCCGCCAGGTACACTGCAGCGCCTTAATAACAGAAGAGCACTAACCTAATGTGACCTCATGTAGGTACCCGACCCGTGCTTCTCCATCATCCCTACCTACCTGAACAAAACAGGCAGGATATGATCCTTCCCCGCGGGTGTCATTTATTATACATGCCGCTCTCGTGACTCGATAGTGCCAATTTGACTAACATGCATCTGCGTTCCAGACCAGGGGTTGTGCTGGGGAGCTGGTCGAGCTCTGGTGATCATGCTGTTGCTTCCTAGGTCGGTACCTAGGGTCATTACTCGGGGGCAGTTGCTACCTCTTTGAAGCCCCGCAGCGGGACCACATAGCGCAAAATTTGGATCCCCCCATGACGGTCACAAGTGACGGTCGCGGATGGCACGACAAAACGTGCCTCCCGCTCGGCCCGCAGTGATGACTTGACCATTTGGTGGCTTACAGATTACCTACCCTGGAGTCGACCCGCGAAAAATCCAGTCCCACTCATGAGTCGCCAACAGACAAGACAAGACGAACCCACTGGCCCTTTAGTAGATTGCGCACGTTCCGCCTACTGGGGAGCTGAGCTGCATCACTGTCCCATTATTTCCCTGGATTCTAGGCTCCTCCCATGGGCTCTCTCAATGCCAACTCTGCCATCTTCAACTTGCCACAAACATGTTAGCTTTCCAGGCGTAAACTCGGGCGAGCTCTTCATTGCACCGCACCTAATACGTAGCATCAGACACAGCAGTGTAGGGCTGAGCCGCTGGAGGGTAGAGTTGGAGCTTGAGATAGTACCTCGGTGTGCGTCCGTGCAATGCTGGAGACCCATCACCTAGGTACCTACCTAGGTAACGCATAGAGGCAGGTAGGTGTACCACCCCCAGTGTCCCTCCTACCTATCTGAAATATACTATTCATCGTACCTTGCCCAGTCACATCTTAGATTGCATTAAGGAAGAAGGGTCAGGTTAAAGAACGGGTACTCATTTTGAATAGTGGTTTCGGGGACAGAGAACGAGGTGTGCTGAAACTGTAAACTGTCTGCACTTGCTCAGCATACTTACTGAAACGGTACGGGGAATTCACGCGGCGCGCCATAAACAGGTGGGTGTGGTGGGTGCAGGTGCTAGTGTAAGGAGGGAGCTGGCTAGACTTACGCCATCCCACAGCTGCCCCCCCCCGAGATCCACATAGCTCCCTCCCTAGTATCTATGTACCTCGACACGAACGGGCTCTGCCATTAACCGTATCGATGAAGGAGGCGCCTGGATCATCAAGTATGAAGTACCCTTTCCCTTTGATTGCGGAGACAGGTCCTTGTCTGTGCCCTGTTTAGCTAGCCGGAATTATGAGATGACAGGGGTCTCATTGCTGGCATTGTCGACTACCCTTCGATTAGCAGCCACCCCAGGACCGCCATCCGGGGTGCCCTGCCATGCCTAGACATATCCTTGCTCTTTGGGCTCCATCTCAATTGCGTCGTCAGCTTTAAGTCGCACAAAATCCCCTGCTGCCACTGACGGCAAATCTTTCTCGAACTACCGAGTTGATTCTGTCCAGCTGCAACCGCTTGGTCGCGATTCAGCAACAACATCAACACCCTTTCGCTGCCGGGAGACCACAAGACGGCCATATCAAGGCTGCCCTGTCTCTCGCCCACCCATGTGGCCTCGAGGGAAGTGAGAGCTCCTGTTCCTGTTCCTGCTCCTGCTCCCCCATCCACCCCACCCCGGACCCCTCCAATACCACACGGAAACCGCTACGTGAAGGACCACGGGATCTTCCGGATTCGCCACGTCAAGTATCAACGTGCGGCATCTTCTCGACTCGCTGTTGGATCGCGCATTGCCTCTCGACTCAACTAACAACCGCGACGGGTCACCGTCCTCGATTCGATTCGCCTCGCCCCATTGGTGCCGGTCTCCAGGAAGGGCCAGAAGATCTTTGGAATTTGGAATTTGGCCAGCCGCAGACCGATCCGAAGCTCGACTGAACGCGCCAGCCACTGTTAACTCATTTCTGACTGACCGAGCCTCCGACATCCTACCTTACCGGACTACCGAGCCTGTCTGGATATCAAAGACATCTTTGTGTAGCCAAGGCGGCCACCACCGCTAGACAGTCTTTTCCGCCAGCTCGCACCGTCGGGGCATGTTGTTTGACCGTTGCATCGCAATCTCAAGGTTCGGCTGGTTGTCGCTGCTTTCGGGGAGTCTCTCGCCAACAGGGTCACGCCACCTACGTCGGCGACGGGACCTCCAGAGCCCCTGGCCGCTTTGTTAGTTTGCAGAGCCACATCCATGAAAGCCGTAAGCCAGCATCGCGACGCCTCTTGCATCCCACTCGGCCAACGCCGAGGCATACCAGACCTGGCGCCCTTCGCTCTCGACCTGACAGGGGCCAGAGCAGACTTTGAGAGTGCGGCCCGCTTAGGGGACTATCCTTCTCCGCCCATGTCAGGGACTCCCCCCCTTCCGCCCAAAGCAACTCATGAGTCTGCCGAGAGGAGTCAGGGAACTTACCAACCGACAACTCAAGATGTCTACCGCGGAATTCCGACCATCCAGGGCGACATGAGATTGCAGGCAGGCATGGTGGGACCTGGCAGGACATTCTCCGGAGAGACACCCGAAAGAATGCCTTACGCATTTCCGCATTCGGAGGCGCCAATTCCCCAGCCAGTATCTTCTTATCCTCACCACAGCCAAGCCATGCATCAGCAACATTCATATCTGCCAGCGCCGGCCCAAGGGCCCGGTCCGGCCCCGTCAGCTTATCCTGTCAGCGCCCGACCATTAGCTCAGGAAAGTCCGCTTCAGCATTCGCCGAAACTCCAGCGGAAGACAAAGGGCCATGTAGCTTCAGCTTGCGTTCCCTGCAAGAGAGCCCATCTCAGGTATGTCCTATTCAATCAAGCTCTCAAGCCTCCATGCCCTCTCACAATGATAAGGAAATAAGACGGAGCTGACAGAACCTAGGTGTGACGGTACGTGCCGCAACCCCCGTCCTTTTCCTTTTCTTTTTCCTTTCCCTTTCCTTCTTCCTTTTCTTCCCTTCTATTCTTTTTCCATTCCTCCCCTTTTCCTTTCCCCTTTTCTTCTTCGTTTTTCTTCTTCGTTTTTCTTCTTCGTTTTTCTTCTTCGTTTTCTTTGCCCCCCTCTGGGTCCGTGACCCCATTCCCCCAGCGCCAATCTATACGCAGTATAAATAGAAGCAAAACCCGGCTGCTGCTGCGACATGAGATTGGCGCCCGCGGCGGCACCGCGGCTATGAACTTCTGGAATTAATTGACATCCTATTGTCAGGTAATTCCGGGGATCTCGCCGCGCGGCATGACGAGGGCCAAACACGGGTTGTGTGACACGGCAAAGCCGCCAGAATTGAGCCACTAGCTCTGAGACTTAATCTCAGGGAGGGGCACTTGACCGGGCACTGTGTCCCAGGAACGGAGGTGGTTCTCAAGCGAGTTCCATACATGTGTGCCGTGCTTGGGTCGGAATGCAGTCAACTGGTTCGAGTACTGCTGCGGAAAGCCGGCCCGCTGCCTCAGGTGCTGGTGGGATGTCTCCCCTAAATCGCCAATGCAACCATTCTCGGTTGCGTTAGGATTTAGCCACCAAGGCTCAACACGAGCAAGCGCTCCGTTAGACGTGTTTGCCAAAGGTGTCGACTATTGAAATCCGAGACAGGGCGGATGATTATGTGCGATTGCATCCGTCGGACTTGGGCGCGTGCTCTTCCCATGGAAAGACGCCAATCCTGGTAGTCGAATCCGTGATTTGGGCAAGGCCCGTATGAGCTGATCAAGCTATCTTCCGTGTTCTCGAGACAATTTTAATCTAGTCTCCTCGGCTTACTGATTTGTGATTAGCACAACGACCCTGTTCGCGATGTCTGAGCAATGGCAAGGAAGACGTGTGCGTCGACGTTCAGCACAAAAAACGCGGCCGTCCTCGTTTAAGAGATGACCGAGAGACGAGATACGACCCGGGCAGATTTGGGAGTCCTCAGGATAGCACCGCGAGACGGCCCACGTCTTTATACGGTGCGGGACCTTCGATGAACGTGTCTTACGACGACGGCATGAGACGGAGCCACTCGCAGTCGTATCGCGTCTTGAAGTCGCAACCTGCCGAGCCCACTGCGCCGAGGTTCATTGAAAGGGGTTCGATGGCCGACGCCAACCTCTTTCCAGTGCCACTCTCCATCTCAACGAAGACGCCAGAGCCAGCCGCGTTTCTGACGACGGACTTGGAAATTGCGAAAGCTTCAACCACCTTCGTTGACGCGTTGGCGCGGCCGAACATCGAGGGGCTGAAGCTGATTGACATAACCGTGCCCGGCGACAGGGAGAAGGTGCTCGGCCATCAACGGCAGATGCAGGAAGAGCAAAAGATGAGGGAGCCGACATACCTGCCCCCTATTTTTGGCAAGCAGGAGGAAGACCGGGTGATACAAGGCCTGGGCTTCAGTTCCGACGAGATCTCCAGGTATCAACTGGACAGACAAGAGTACCTAACCTTCCAGACGCTCGAGGGTCAGGCCAGGACATTCCCCGTCCGCATGGGGCTTGCGAAACAAGACTCGATATACTTCGTGGTCGTGACTCTGAGCTTGGCTGTGAGACAGTTTCAGCACACAACTCCGTCACCCAACCCCCGAGATATAGTGTACTCTTATCAGCCGTTGCCGCAGCCCTACTCACAACCGACGCCTGTCTCAGCTACTTTCGATCCGAGGCCACCTCGTCGTAGTGAGAGCGGCAGCTATGGCCCAAGACAATTGGAAGCCCCGTCGCAGATGATGGTCGGCTTGAGCCCGGGGATTACCCCGTCGTACGCTGCGTCTCCGAGCCGCCCTGATTATTCCACCGGACAGCCCTCGTACCCACCCCCCCGAACCGAGTTGCAGTCGACCACTCGGCCTACGCAAACCCAGGGTTACCAGCTTCCGCCCATACGAAGTCAGCAGCAGCAGCAGCAGCAGCAGTCGGCGCCGCTGCCGCCTGACCGGTCGCCCCAAAGTCGAGAAGACCGATCCCGGGTCGACATCGGAGGTCTCATCGACCGGTCTGATCCACCAAAGAGGTCTTAAACATGGCGACTATGGGCGTCGTCTTGTACTTCTCCTCCATAGGCGGTTGGATAGGTGCGGCGGCACCATCCTTCCGTCACCGAATCAGCACCAAGCTGTGACTGAGAGATGCGAGTCGCGGCGAAGATGCAATTGTATGCTTCCACTTATACCCCGGTTGTTGTGCTTCGTGGTTCGCAAAAGTTTGAGACGATACCAGTGTACAGTGGTTGTACATACTCTCACAGGGATTGGCATATATATACGGCCGGCGGCCTTTCGTCCGGAAGACATGATATTTCGGCATCATTGGCGTTTCGTTTTGTCCTTTGTTTCTTCTCATCTTCCGCAAAAGCATCATTGCGGTATGTCACGGTTCAAATGTCTGATCATAATGCCTCGATAGTTGATTCTTCATTTAAATGGCGTTGGAGTTTTCATGATTATCCCCCGGGATGTACGATGCCATGTCGTTTGTGTTGGGAGCTGGGGTGTATTGCGTTGTCATGTGCTCGTAGGTAGGCCTTGGCGGATTGGCATCGGTTTCCAAACTCGATATTCCCCCATTCGCGTCTCCCATGATGATTTCTTCGTGGACCGCTGCGCAGGTCGTGTCTGTGGTGTTTTGTGTGTCTCTGGTTCGGCAGCGTTTACTCGTCTTCATCCCGCCCGACCGGTTCGATCGGGCAAAGTTTCAGCTTGTTGGAAATCGTCGACTGTGCCTTCCTCTCTCGTTAGACCAAACCTCGGAGGGCGATGGTCTGTAGAGCACTGGAGAAGTGGTGACGAGAGGAGAGAAAGGCACAAGCCAAGGATTGGGGAAGGCTCGAGAGTCAACAGAGGAGCACGAATGAGTTAGGCAGGGAGCATGGGGCTTGTTCGGTTACCGGGGGAGGGGTTTAACCGCATTAGCAGCTATAGTCCGATCCTATTAATGACCCAACCACTTCAAGGTTGCCCTTAGCTTACGCGTAATAATGGTTCCATGGAATGACCTGAAAAAAGCTGCGTTTTGATTTGTACGGCGTAACTAGACCGCTCAAAAGAGAGGTGACAGGGAGTAAGGAAGAGCTACACTACATATCCAGAGAGATCCGGCCCAATGGAGCTTTCCATATTCTCGGCTTCATGTCCCAGGAAAGAGCGACCAACTTGAATGCTGCAACCCAAGGTTTTCCGTCTTTCTCCTTCTGTGGTAAGCCCTCTCGTGTTAGTGCTACCACCCCTGCCTTGAAGGCATGTCGTTCCTCAACGCGGCCACTTGACGAATTAAACAGTAAAAAATTCTCCGAGACTCGGGCTACGCTAGTGGCCACTACCACATGCATCGCGAACTCGTCGCTAAAAACTGCACCCTCCCGTCCGATTCACGTGTTGGCCTACCACACCCACAAGTCTCAGCACTTGTGCAAGAACTGGCGTCACCAGCAGTACCCAAGCCCGTCGTATCGCAAGTTTTAGGGAATGGTTTTCTACTTATGGTATCTCAGTATAGGTAGGTACCTGCTTGGCGATGGCCTCCAGCCACAGAACGAAGCACAACATGCATCAACGCCTTGAACAAGGCGTACTAAGTGTGTTGAATAAGAGATTTTTTTACATTGAGAAAAGCACAGATGAACCTTGAACCCGTTAAATTCTAACGCCAAACCATTAGGTGGGACGTTTCATGCACGCGCCCACTTGTGGAAGGACATCGTTCCACCGCCTAACCATGACCAAACTTACCGTCGAATCGTGATAGCCATCATGGCATGAGTCTCGAGAAGAGATTCCAAGGAAAGGGTACCGAGGAATTCTCCATTGGGGGGCTATGCTCATGTGGCTAGCAAATCCCGCTATCTTGTAGGTCAATCTCCTTCTAGCTCAGATTCTTCTCGCTCAGATCCCTCTTGTTCAAAAGACAGTTCGCCCTCGCTGGAGGAACCACCGAGTCCATCAGTTCCTGTACCTTGGTTGGCTCCCCTAATCCCGTGTGCCCGAATGCTCTGGCTCCGGCTTCTGATGGGCAACTGTGCTCTTGGAAGGACTGTGTCGTTATTGCTTGGCGGAGAATCGACATTCCTCTCAGTATGCTGACATCCTTCGTTGCGGGAACTCCCACCACTATGCATGGCCGCTATCTCTTCGAGCTCCTGCTGGAGCTTGTCCCTCTTCGGCGAGGGCTCGTCCATGGACGAATCCCCCCTTGACCTTTTGACGCCACGATGAGCAACTTGCAGGACGTTCTTAGATGATTCAGTTTCGTCGATGAGACCGGCAAGATCAAAGGCCATGGATGGTTTGTTCTTTGGAGACTGGGGTGGGTTTGAAACACAAGGGAGACGGCTAGATGAAGACGATGGCTCTGGCGTTAGTCGTCTAGAACTGGGAACCGCACTTTGTCCCCTGGGGGTATTAGTCGAGCACCGTGACTGTAACTTCCGGGTTACCTACCTGTTACTGGATACATCGTGCACTTGGGTCGATGAGTTTCCGTCACTCTGGGCCACATCCGGGCTTAAGAGGTCCTGTTGTCGACCTCTGGACATGTTTATAAATGATGATATAAATCCGGACTGATATGGAACTGGGAAGGACGGGTTCGGTATCATTGCACTTGCCGGAGTTTTGATATGTTGAATATAAGCGAGGCCTCGAAACTGGCTGCTGCCCATGAATGGGTCGAGTATGACCACCGCCACCAACAACTTGAGTGCCGTGCGAAAAGCCTGGGCAGAAACGGCTCCAGAATCAGGGGGAAGGCGTCTGCAGGCAACAGCAGGAACAAGGGGCCGTCATCCACCACCCTAATCCATGGTCGGAAAGGAACTTCGGATCAGGAACCCTTGATTCAACGTAGAACGGGCAAAAGCCAAATAAACCCATCGCGCTTGTGAGGCCAACCATACCCACCCGAGAAAGCCTTAACTAACACTGCTATTCCTCTTTGCTGTGAACAAGGGAAACATTGGATTTCGAGAGCCTGGTTTGGCGTAATACAAATTGAAGGGGTGGAAAAGCCTTGGATAGAACGGATAGTACGGGGAGTGCGAGGAGTGGGTTTCCCATAATAATGCCATGACTTAGCCTCAGCTGAACCTCGGGGTGGCGTTTGTAATGGCGATGACTTTATAAATAAGCCTAACTTGGACATGATAGAAGCTCCCTTGATCTGCCGTGCTCGGTCGAGTCTTTGCATACCAGAAAAAGTAGAGGGTCTTGTTAGTATCAAGCAGCGAGGGGCTTATGTTGCCAGTTGGTTATGCAGATGAAGGTGTCTTGCTCCTGCCACCCGACCCCTAATGAGACCTTTTGAGTCATCCCAAAACATGGGTAGGAAATCGCCTTGGGGGAGAATTGGTAAATGTTTGTAAACTGAGGTTGGAGGTTGCACAGAAACAAGCATATCAGATGCCGGAAGCTGGTCCTGGCGGCCTCAGGGCTAGGCAGGGTTGCCCGAAACGGCAAGGCACAGCCCTGCCCCACCACCCCACGCCCCTCACCCTCTCCCCCATCCTAGGTACCTAGGTACCTACTTTACCTAGGTGAGCAAGGCGTCCGGCTGGAGCTCCACAACCTGTCCGTGTCCATCTCCTGGGCCTTCCAATTCTGGGAAAGCTGGCATCCCTGGTTGTTGATCTGCACGTACTCAGTACACCCTGGCGAGAAGCAGTTTAGAGTCATCTCTAATCGGCTCATCGGCTCATCCCACAGGCCTCCCGCCTTCCCGAGTCCTCCCAAGCAGGCTCCAACGAGCACGCATAGACCCGCCTGATAATCCATGTAGGCTGTCTACACACGTAACATGGCAGATGCTATGGAACTTGATGATCGTCCGCGGGGCACGAAGAGGAAGGCGGCAGATGTCGACGGACTAAATGTCCCCCGTAGAATCAAGGTAGGCCCGTCTCCATACACCCCTTGCCTCAACGTGTCGGTGTCACTAAGCCGGCGAGACAGGCTCTCGACCCAGATGTGGTCAACAAGATAGCGGCTGGTGAAATTATTGTTGCACCGGTCCACGCTCTAAAGGAGCTGATGGAAAATGCGGTGGACGCAGGCTCGACTTCCTTGGAAATACTGGTGAAAGACGGCGGCTTGAAACTCCTTCAGATTACCGATAACGGGTGTGGCATCGATGTATGCTGTTTGACCTCGGCCCCTCCATTGGGAATGGTTCTCACGTGCTGACAACATACACCAGAAAGAAGACCTCCCAATCCTCTGCGAGCGCTTCACCACATCCAAGCTGCAAAAGTTTGAGGACTTGACCTCCATAGCCACCTACGGCTTCCGAGGCGAGGCGCTCGCGAGCATAAGCCACATAGCCCACCTCACTGTCACCACCAAGACGAAGGATTCGAGCTGCGCGTGGCGTGCCCAGTATGGTTCCGGCAAGCTGGTGCCGGCCAAGCCCGGCCAGGCACCAGATCCTAAGCCGGTGGCAGGACGGCCCGGCACGCAGATCATGGTGGAAGACCTCTTCTACAATGTGCCGACGCGTCGCCGTGCTTTCAGGTCCGCCTCGGACGAGTACAACAAGATCATCGACATGATCGGGCGGTACGCCGTCCACTGCAGTCATGTTGCTTTTTCCTGCAAGAAGCATGGCGAGTCGTCAACTAGTGTCGCCATTCAAACCAGCGCCACAGTCGTTGACAGGATACGTCAGATATACGGGGGCAGTGTTGCCAATGAGCTAATTGAGTACTCGACAGCCGATGATCGTTGGGGCTTCAAGGCACGGGGTTGGGCCACCAACGCGAACTACAGCATCAAGAAGACAACCCTGTTGTTGTTTATCAACCATAGATGTGTCGAGTCGTCTAACATACGGAAGGCGATCGACCAAACATACGCAGCCTTTCTGCCCAAGAGCGGCCACCCCTTTGTCTATCTCAGCCTCGAGATCGACCCGCAACGGGTGGACGTCAACGTCCACCCCACCAAGCGGGAGGTCAACTTCCTCAACGAAGATGAAATTATACAGGCGGTCTGCGAGCATATCCGCTCCAAGCTGGCCGCAGTCGACACCAGCCGAACTTTCATGACACAGACATTGCTTCCCGGGGGTGCGTGGTCATCTCCTGCTGCTCAACGCCAACAACAGCGAGGTTCCGACAGCACACCTGCGTCCAAGTCTGGCGGCAGCGCCAAGACGCCCGCCCGGGCGTATGAGAACAACTTGGTGCGGACCGACACGAATCTCCGCAAGATAACTAGCATGCTCCCCCCTACCGGTGGGCCCTCTGGGGGCACCTCTTCCCCGTCAGCGAATCGCTCCAATGCCGGCCTATCATCAGCTGCCGGCCAGGCCGACCAGCCTGACTACGAGGTCGTCGACCGCGAAGCCGTCGGCTGCCGCCTGGCCAGCGTGCGGGAGCTCCGGGCCGCCGTGCGCGACGACATGCACAATGACCTGACGGACGTGTTCGCGACCCACACGTTCGTCGGCATCGTCGATGAGCGCCGACGCCTCGCCGCCATCCAGGGCGGCGTCAGGCTGTTCCTCGTCGATTATGGCCGAGCCTGCTTTGAGTACCTGTACCAGCTCGGCCTGACTGACTTTGGCAACTTTGGCATCATCCGCTTCAGCCCGCCGCTGGACCTTAGGGAGCTGCTGAGGATGGCCGCCGAGCATGAGGTGGTCCTGGCAGCTGCCTCGAAGGCGTCGCGCCGCAGGAACAAAGGCAAGGGAAAGGGCATCAGTAGAAGTGACCTCGGAGATGATGACGACGATGACGACGACGACGACCAAGAGGAGCAGGGAGGGCAGCCCGACGTGAACGCCAGCGAGCTCGTCGAGCTCGTCGCCAAGAAGCTCATCGAGATGCGGGAGATGCTCCTCGAGTATTTCTCCCTCGAGATCTCCCCGGCCGGCGAGCTGCTGAGCATCCCGCTCCTCATCAGGGGCTACACGCCCTCCATCGCCAAGCTGCCCCAATTCCTGCTCCGCCTCGGCCCGAGGGTCAACTGGGCCGACGAGAAGGCCTGCTTCGACACGTTCCTCAGGGAGCTCGCCTCCTTCTACGTCCCCGAGCAGCTGCCGCCCTCCTCACCCGGATCAACGGGCCCCGCCGCCGCCGCCGCGGGGGACGACGACACGGGCATGGGCATGGGCATGGGCATGGGCATGGACGTGGACGTGGACGTGGACGCGGACGCGGACTCGGTCGCCGACGGGGAGCTGGAGTCCCGTAGGAGGCACGTCCGCCGGGCCGTCGAGCACGTCTTCTTCCCCGCCTTCAAGGCCCGGCTGGTGGCGACCCGGTCGCTGATGTCGGGTGGCGTACTCGAAGTCGCGAACCTCAAGGGTCTGTACCGAGTATTTGAGAGGTGTTGATATAATAAGATGGGCTTGGGGAAGGAAGGGTGACGGTCAGGCTTAAGAGGGGGGTACCTCTAATCCCCTACCTAGCCCTAGTAATCATGTATTTGTCTCGATCTTGAGAATCACAATGTTTTGGCCACAACCCCAACAATCATCAATGTGGTGTCCAGTCTAGACTAATCAAAGGAAGACTCTAACACGGGGGTTTCATCTAGGCACCTAGACAATCACTCATCAAGAAGAAAGGAGCATCAAGTGGACGAGCACTTGGGGCAAAACAAGGGACAAAATGAGAGACATCCATTTCGATATCTATTTAGCAAGCACGGCCGTTCTCAGATCCGGCCAGCCTCCCTGCTTCTTTCTCTCCACGACGGCCCAATAACATTGCGTTTCCGTGGGTCGAAGATAGGGGGATGGAAGCCCATTAGAGTTGCGAATTCCGACCGAGGCGTCTCTCTCTCTCCGTGGAAAAAAAAAAAGAAAAAGATTCGTCGAGGGACATCTGCCGAATGAAGCCCTCGTAATCAACACCGCTCAAGACCACCCTTGCATCCCACCCAACCCTTTGCATCATGATAACAACGGGGCTCTAGAATGGCCGTTCCACGTTCCACGTGAGTTTAATACAAACTGCAACAAACAATCATAACCCCCCTGGATTGATTACCGTACTTCAAACCGAAAGCCAGGATTACTCTGTGAATTACTAGCAGGGTGTATATGTCGATTTGGTGTTTGGAGGAAAGCCTTTTACGGTCGCCGGAAGGGATGACCGCCCCCAGGGGGTGGCATCCCGCGACCGTCAAAGGGAGCCCCGAAGGCGAGGCCTTCGGGCGGCCCCTGGAACTGGCCCATCCCCGGCGGCGGCATGAAGCCCGGGGGTGGGGGTCCTCCGTAGAAGCCTGGGGGAGGCTGCATGGACCGAGGTCCGGGGCCAGGTGCTAGCGGGGGGACCATGGCGTCGGGCGGTGGGAAGGCGCCCGGAGGGAAGTTGGGAGGAAACATGCCCGGCATCGGCATGTTGCGGGAATTGTTGATGAGGCCAGGTGGAGGAGGGATCATCGGGCGCTGGGGCGGCATCTGTTGTCCGCCTCCCGCCATGGGGAACGGGTGCATGTGGTGGTCTAGACCTGGGGGAGGGGGCCGTTGGAGGATCTGAGTAGGTTGTGGACGGTTATCACCATCCGGATTATGGAACTGCTCGTCGAGGAACACTGGCGGGCCTTGGTGTTGTCGCATCTGGCGCTGAGACGCGCTTCGATCTCGTTGGAATTCTGCGTCCCGGTCGGAAATGGCTGGCAGGTTAACCTGTTTCGTGGGCTGCGGCATTCGCACGAGGATTTGCTCAGTGCGAGGTGGTTCTGGCGCGTTGCGGGCGCTCTGCATGAGCCGCATGAGAAACTCGGTGTTGCTATTAACAGCGGCTGAGTTCTGCTCCATGCGGCCGCTGCCCTGGCTCGGGGCATGGTGTCGTTGTGCGAGGAGGTCTTGTAGGTTCTGCTCAGGGCGTGGCGCAGCTGGCGGCTGGACGGGTGGAGGCATCGAACGGGGAGAAAGCATGTCTTGAATAGGATGCTGTGCCATGCGGAGCCGAGGATCCTCCCGACGATCCATCCCATAAGGCTGGAACGGTTCCGGAGACACAACCTCTCCCTTCTGATGCTGCGCCGCTGAGGCGGCGGGGTGTTCTGCGAAGTTTGGAGGGGCCTGCAGGCCACCACCGGGCTGATGCGACTGAGCCAAGGTCTGGCGCTGAAGTTTTTGAAGCAAGACCTGGAACGCCTCCTTTTCTGCGTTTTGTTGTTGTGGCTCGTTCATGCCATTCGGAGGAGGCGGGGCGGCTACCGGCGTCGGGGGCTCCGTCCTGCCGCGGGTATCCTCAGTCGCGCTGAAGAAGGATGTGAATCTCGACGGCTTCGCGCCCTTTGGCTTAGGAGCTTCCTTAGCATCCACCACGGGGGCGGCGCCGTCGAGAGCAGTACTGCCATAGGCAGCAAAGAACTTGTCTGGGCCGGATCCGACAGCTGGGGCAGAGACGACCTTCTGCTCTGGTGCCGTGGCGGAGTCCGGGGCTGGTTTCTCAATCATTGCGGGGGCCTTGGCCTCGGGTTTCTGCGCCCCACCCCCCCTGGTGGCTTTCATGGCCTCCATAAACTTCTTGAAGTCTTCTTCCGTATGGCCTTGTGGTTTCTCGTCGGCTGGTTCATCAAGCCACTCGGGCTCACGTTCGACACGCTGCTCCCGGTCCCAACGGCGGTCAAAACCCCGGATGTTGGTCCGGTCGCCATGCTTGTCTCCTTGCCTCTCATTGGGGTCTCGTTCTCTCCAATTCTTCGTTCTGTCAATGCGTTCGCGTTGGGACGTTGGGGCACCACCCTCGCTGCTCTCCTTGAACCATGGGTCGGATCTGCCTCGTGTCATGCCGTTCCTGCGTGTTGCTTCTGCATCATCGCCCTCCTTGTCCTGGGAATGAGGATCGAAGTTCCTGCTTCGTCGATCGCCGTTATCTCGGTCATCACGATCCTTCGCTCTCCGGTCATCCCTGTTGCTGAACCGGTCTCCACTACCGATGCGCCCATGGAAGCGCTCAGCACCTTCGTTCCCGAAGCTCTTGCGCGGCGGCTTCGCCATAGCCCGGCTGTCGCCATCCTGGTCGCCATCACCCCGTCGGCGATAGTTGTTGGTCCTCCCATCTCGGAAGCGATCATTAAGGGCGTCAGACTCATTCGATCTGTTGCGGAAGTTGAATCGTTCCGCTCGATCTCGAAGTTCGGAATCCTTGGACACCTTCTCACTGCCACCCAGCTTGTTGTTGGATGTCGAGGTAGATGAGGAAAAGCTGGTCCGTGGAGGCCCGAGGATAATATCATCGGGGTCTAGGGTAGGACCAGTCAGCAACAGATCTCAATTGGGTCAGAGGCAAAGTTCAATGGATGCAAAGCCTACTAGAATTATTCCGTTGGCCATTTCGATCGGTGCCTGACCGCCTGTTCTCAAGCAAAGGATTGTCGCTTCCCTTGGATCTGTCATTGGCGGGTTTGGTCTGGTTGCGGAGGGTGTCTGGAGATGGTCTAGTCCAGAATATCAGAATATGCACATATGACACAGGCAGAGTTATGTCCCTGGGAATACATACCCCATCCACTCCTCTGAGGGAGGGAGGCCTGGAGGCTTGACGCATAGTGGGGACTGGCGTAGGAGGAGCAGATTGTCCGCGGTGTATCTACCTGCCATAATGGATCGAGGGGGTGGCGGGCATATGAGGTGGCAAGGTGATGATTACGATGGGCTCGGGTGCATGGGGCTTCGAGATCGTCAGATGGTGAGGGGAAGGAGAGCAGGAGTAACAATCTTTGTGTTGTCGAATTTGATTGAGGTCGGAGGCGACAAGAAAGAGAGGTGTGTGCTAAGGCAAAACGAGGCAGAGAGGATCGGGACGGACAGTGGGAGAATGGATGTTGGGAGAATTAAAGGTGAGTAGATGGGCAAAGTGAGAGGCAAGTGTAGGTAGGTAGATGGAATAATGGGCTCGAGTCGTGTGCAAAGGTGAATGCAAGGAGTGCGATCAAGGTTGGAGGGTAGATGTCGTCTGCTAGTGCCTTGGGGTGGTGTGGGAAAGTGGGAAATCAGTCACGCCCCTAGAAGGTACCTAGTAGCTTGCATTTTAGGCATGTTCCCTTTTCTTTTGGCCATACCCTTGATTTTTTATTCACACACACCCCGCCTTGTTTACTAAGCCTGATCCCTCGCAGCACCCAGTTCAGATGAAACTTTTTGCTCATATTCTGTGTATTTACACATAGTAAGTTGCCTTAGTTAGCTGGTAAACAAAGTTATAGAGTTCCAATAAAGCTAAAAGACAATCAGACATTGTGTGTATGATCTGGTATCATTCATCTCGTCTTATCTGATTTACTCAAGCATCCACAACATCCCTAATTCCTCCCTTACTCCATGACAAAATCCTTTCCTCATCCGCCGTCTTCCAGACCCTTTTGATCAGTGCTTCATATATCCACGCATCCTCGCCGCTGCTCGATGCCTTCTGGCTTTCGAGCCAGCCAATAATGCCAAACCTCGTCGTCAGCGTGGTGCTCCCTCCTTCTATGCATGTCGTCTGATACAGGATCCTCAGAAACTGCGTCTTGAGAGGCGCCCTCATGTACGGGTTGCTCGCCAGCGACAGGAGGCGCTCAAACATGCGCTTCTTATGGAAAAGGGCGAGGTCTGCGGGGGTGCGCAGGCTATCGAGAAGATAGGCGACAAGCCAGCTGATGCCCAAGTAATATGACCCATCAACCGATGGCTCCTCCTGGACGATCTCGTACACGAGGGGCAGCCTGTCCAGGTTCCAGATCGGGCCGCGGTTGAGGAAAGTATTGACCTTGGGATAGAGGTCATGGAGCGGATCTCTCAACACCCCTAGTGCGTGGCAGGCGAACGCAACAATCGGGGTTGGGATCGGCGTGCTGTCGACCTGCCTCTTGGCTGATTCTGCGAGCTCTGCCAAGAGTAACCAGCACTGGTCTTTCTCGTCATAGTCAGATTCCCGTATCCTCACCGCCATCTTTAAGATGTTGGTGAGGGCCTCCTTGCGGATGCTCGTGTGCTCGGACGCAAGCAACGAAATCAGTCTCGCCGCGTAACCCTCGTCGATCAGCTCGTCAACTGTCTTCGTTGACCACCGTGTCAGAGCCGAGTTGTCCAGCTCCAGGCCCACTGGGCTCGCAAACAGTTCATCTATCGACTTGGCATCGGTGCTGGAACCCTCTTCGTCCGTCGAGTTTAACGTCCTCGGAGTGCTGTCGAGCATGGGCGTGTCGCTATCCATTGGCCCAGAGGTGGGTGCCGGACCGGGGGCATCGGGAACTGCCACCTGCATCCCTGCTTGCAGGCTTTCGGGGAAGCAAACTCGAAGTCTTCGGAAGATGCAGTCCAGTAGAGCGGCGTCTCCTCCAGCAAGCTTCGAGAATCCCACAAAATGGGAAAGAAACTCGGCGAGAGTTGGAAGCGCCTTGTTATCCCCTGTTCCCACAGTCGAAGGTAGCTGCTCCAAAATCGCCATTGTCAGGGGGCTAATAACGGAGCCTTGCATGGATGCGCCATCGGTTTGGATCTCTTCCTCTAAGAGACTTCCCGTCATATCGAGGTATTTGATCGGTCTCGTCGCACATCGACTCATGCACTGGTCCAAGAACGCCCAAATCTCGGCGATAGACTCGGTCTTGCTCGCATCCTTGAGGAGGCGGAAGCTCTGGATTATCGGGGCCAAGCCGGACTGCCCGGGTGAGGAGACGACGAGCTGCTGCTCTCTCGCTATAAAGTTGAGGACATCCAATATCTTATCCGAAGAGAGCCCTTGCCAAGTGTCGACAGTGAGCCGTAGTAAGGTCGTGAAGGGAGAGAGCGCGAGGCCACCCAGGTTCGCGAACCAGCGCATGCCGGGCGAGCAGCGGGCGATCACGAGGAGATGCTCCAGTTCAATGAGGCTCAAATTTTGGTCTCGAGTGTCGCCGAGTTCCCTCTTGTCCAGCCGCTCGATCGCGACCACAAGAGAAGGGGACACGTCAAACTTCGCGATCAAGGCAATTTGAGGAATGACTTCATAGTAGAGCCGCACTAAGCGGCTGGCAGCTTCCCGGTGAAGGACATCTCTTTCGGGGATGGATCGGTATGAGGCGAGTATGTCCTTTATGCTAAGACTCCGCTGGCAAAACTCGTCGACTAGTCTTCGCGCCGCTTCGCCCCATAGTTCCTTATTGGAATGGCAGGGGTCCCGATACAGCTTGACGACCCTATCGAGCTTCTCCACAGCAGCAACCAACAACCGCGTGGCAAAAAAGGATATTAGGTTAGACTTCTGCGAGAAGCAGCGGGTGAGCGCCTTGGGGTTCAACGGCGGAGGCATGATGTTGTCCATGACGACAGAGGTGGGCGGCGGGAAGGGAGAATAGCCACCCGGGTGGCCAAAGTATTTGGGGATATCGATAGTGAGGGTGCCGAAAAGGAGTGCCGCATAACCGATCCAAGTCGCCGAGAGTTTGGGCTCGAATGTAAACCCCTGTTTCTTGAAGAAGTAGTCTGCAGCCAGCTCGGGTGCAGCCGTGAAGATGGAGATAAGTAGCTCGGCTTGTTTGACGTTCGACCATGGACGTAGGTTCTGGATGAAATCAGACAAGACGACATTCCGTACCGTAGTCTCTTGCCTGAACTGGTCCATCCAGACGATATTTTCGAGGCCCAGATCATCCGCTCGACGGGACTCGACGAGCGACTCCGCTTCCTGCTCTGTTCCTGCCGGGTAGAATCCTGACTGCGGTCGGAGGATTCCAGCAGATGGAACGGTGCATGAGAATTGGAGGAAATCATGAGCAATCTCGGCCACAGTTTCTCGGCCCTCTGCTTCGGGATCCTCTTGCTTGTAGGTGTAAAGCGGAGCGATTCGAGACAAGGTGTTCGCATTGAGCACTCTGCCCTTGACATCGCGTGGGAGCTTGGTATCGAGCAAGACATGCGCCTTCAACGCAGTGAGGATATCGATGACAAGGTAAGGGGGGTCGTCCTTGATCGTCCTGATGAGAGCGAAGGTAACGTCCTTCTGCGACAGCAACTCCCGTTTGGCCTCCTGATTCAGAAACTTGAGCGCGCTGAGGAAGAACCTGACCGCATTGGTTCGGCCAGAGGGCCGTTTCCGCTCTTCCTGACCCTTTCCGAGATACTTGATGCTCATGTTTCTGCCCAAAGACCTGAAGGTGAAGCTCCTTGCGCGGAAGATGGGCATTGCAACCGCGCCGCCGTCGAAGCAGATCATTTCTCGCAAGAGCCGCAACATAGGTGATATCACAAACTCCTTCCCCTTATCGGCAGACAGGTTGCGAGCAATCAGCTCCAGCTGGCGCTTCTGCAGTAGTGTCCGACATATCCCCAAGCCGTAAGGGACCATCTCCAAGGTCTGGCCAAGAATCCTGAGGAGGAGGGCCACGATGGCTGGGACCGCAGACATGACATTGTCATCGTTGTGTTGCCCGGCAAAGACCCAAGTCTCCATCATCTCCGAGAGGAAGATTGGCGCTTCCTCGTAGTCCCGGGGTTTCGTTGAGTTTAGATAGTCGAACAGCAGCTTGCGCTCGGCTTCATGGTCGCCATCTTCGTACACGATCTTGTCCAGGACGACCTTAAAGGATTGCAGGCCTTGGGAGTATTAGTGAAAAGGCACATGGAGAGCATAGTGACAGCCGTCTAGTTACCATGTCTAGCTTTCTTCAAGTCGTTCTCGAAGGAGAGCAGCTGCGTCAATTGACGGCTTGTGTGAACCTCTTCGTGGGTTGGAGGCTCATGAACCACTTTCAGCCTCTTCCGGGGAATATCCCCGGAGTCAGCACCGCGAGAAGATCGTTTCGACATCTTTGCGTGCCGCCTGTAACCCTTTCCTCGTCCTCGAGTCCAACGGGAAATTTTGAAGATGCTCAGATTATCACCCTAGAGAACCCCACACAGCCTTATCGATAAGGATTCTGTCACTGCATCCACCCCGGGGATGTGTGTGACGTGTGCGCCACATTCTACCAGCATCCAACGAATCGCAATTATTATTAGAATCTCTCGCATTCAAACGACTGACTCCCTCGAGGCTCAAATTCCTCGAGACACTATTTGAGGTGCAGCAAGTGTTGCTCAACTATCTCGTGCGCCAACTCCCTAAACATTCAACCTGCTGTAGAAAAGTTACAGTGACTGCGCCATGCTTTACTTTATACTAATAAATAGCTCCTACCTCCTCCCTATATATCGACATTCTCGCCCCCTTCTCTCTTCATGGGCAGTATTTCCTAGTGGTATCAAAGTTGTTCATTACTGCAGATAATCGATATTCGATATTCGAAAATGGCCCTCGTATTAGAGCATATCTCCCTGCGGTGGTTGTGGCTTTTGGTGTGTGAAGAATGCATTTGGGACCCTCGGCGGCATCTGTGGCGATATCGGGAACCGTTCTTCTCTCGAGCGGCCGCCGGTTAGCCTCCGCATTCGCGACCTCGTGCTGTGCGCTAGAGGCCTGATCATGTTCTCCAAGAAGAAGGATCCTTCACCGCCTCCGGCGTGTGGCCGCTCGTCGTCACCGTCCGAAAAAACGTCCTCGGTGTACTCATCGTCGGTCATGGAGTCGCCTGCCTGCGGATTATACGATGCCGGCGCACTCGGAGAGGTGATGGATCGCGCATGCAGGCCAGGCCGAGGGCTAGGCTGTGCCGGGCCAATATTGTTGAAAGCAGCCGGGTTCATCGTGTTTGCGCTACCTTCTCGAGACATCATGGTAGGCCGATGATCCACGAACCCATTCTGGAATGACGTGTTATTCGACGCCTGGTGCAGGATCGGCAGGATCTGTTCGTCGTATAGCTGGGCGCCGGACTCGAAAGCGTCTGGCGTGAACTCTGTTATCGTCCTCGAGGATCGCCCATCACTCGGCGGGCTGTTGGGAAGGTCGTCGAAGAAGTCGTCAAGGCTGTCCAGCATGGAAACAAGGTCGCCGCCCATATGCCCTTCACCTCCTCGCATGTCGTCGGACATCATCGTGTCCGCCCTCTCTGGAGCTGGGAAGTAACCGTAGGGGAACCCGTCGGCATGGAACTCGACTTCCTGCGAAGGGGTCGCCTCGTTGACGACGCCCTCGCCTCCCTGACACATGTAGAAGGCAGCATGAATGTTAGCCCTCGTCGACTCGGTCTTTTTGGCCGGTACGGGTATCGCCCAGCCGGATTGCTCGGGGATTCCGAATAAGCTTTGCGTCCGTTCATACTCCTTCCGTATTGCTTTGGAGGTGAACCGAGTCATGCTCATGCGGAGGTGGTGCTTGTCCATCGAGGACCCCGACATGGCCATGATATTGTCCAGTACCTCCAGTGCTTCCATGCAGAACTCGGTTTGCAGCAGCCGGAGAAGGGGCGAGATGAGGTCGGAGCCATGGCCGGCTATCTCGGGCTTCTTCATGTCCACCTCGGGTATGATGACGCAGAGGATGCGCATCGTCTTGACCTTGACCCAGGCCGTGTTGTTGGTGAGAAACCCCATGAGCATTGTGATCATCTGGAAGTCCAACTGTGGAAGGAAGTATTCCCTCAGCGCGCCGAACAATTGGGAGATGAATTCGTCGCCAGATTGATATTTCAAGCCAATGTAGGCATCCAGCACCGAGGCAATGCTGGTGTACCCCTGGGCGTCCGCGACAGCCAGGAGGTTATCGGCAGTCTGGACAACTTCGGCTCCCAAAACCTCACCATCCATTGCGTGAAGGAAGCGAGGAAAATTGGCCAAGACGGTGTAGAATATCCGGCTGTCGTCACCGGTAAGGCTGTCGTTGGGAAGCCGTACGAGCTTGTTCATGGTGCTCAGTGTTGGTCCAAGGCACGTCGAGGACCTGAGTCCCTTGTACAACAGTGGTTGTAAGCCATCAAAGGGACCGTCCCACTTGGAAGGCTTGCCGTCGAAGAGCAGCTTCCGGACAATCGGAGAGCGGAAGTCTAGTTTGCTCAAGAACTCTTGCAGCATCTCAACGGCTTCTTGGAATTCCCGCTCGTTTATAGACTCCAGACAGGCACACGTAGTCCAAAACAGCTGTGGGAATGTCACAAGCTTCTCGGCATCGAGCTTCGAGATCAGCGTCTTCAACGTTGTCAGAATCTCCATGGAGAAGGTCTGAATCTCGGCATCCTCGTCGGCAATGGTGTTTGAGAGTCTGACGAGCATGTCCCCAAGCATGTACTGGTCAAGGGACGTCAGGATGCATCTGAACATCTGGAACGAGCGACACGCGAGGTGTCTGACCGGACAAGAGGTTGCCCAGGTCAACGACAGCCGGGCCCACTGTTCCTTGATACCGGGAAACGCGACTTCGAAGGTCCTGACCACCTCTCCAGCGAGATGTTCCATGCTGGGGGGCACTTTGTTATCTGGTTCGTCCACCTTGCCATTGTTATCTTCGTATCCCCAGACGACAGAGCGATCGTGTCGTCGTATCGAGTCGATGAGATCCTCGATTGCTGTCTTGATAGCAGTCGGCGTGTCGTCGTCCAGTTGTGATATGACAAGCTCGTGGATCAAGTGGACGAGCATTTCGCGAGCTTGCTCTTGGACAAGGGTTGTGTAGTGATCCCACAGGATGGTCACCACTTGGAGTAGGACAGGCACGTTGTCCGGAACGAGACTCACTGGCGCAACCATAAGATCGACCAGCAAGACAAGACAGAGTTGGCCCAGGGAGAATCCTGCTTGTTTCGTGCCCACGGGAAGCACGTCCGACAAGTCTGCGCAATAAGGGAACGAGGCGACATCTGGAGGGGGCGGCACCGCTTCCCGCTTCTCGTTGGGGACCATGGCCTTAGGGGTGATCTGCAGGAGCAGGAACTCGACAACCTTGTTCCCAGGGGTGCTATTGGTGCTTGCAAGGAAGACAACAATCTGCTTCGCATATTCAACAAAGTTTTGTTCCCTCCTCTCCAGGCAGAGAGACATGATGAAATCCAGGACAAGGCGCACGTTGCCGGGATGAGGACCCGTTGCTAGAGCTTGCCAGAGCGCTTGTACTTCGTTGTGCAGGGCCGAGCTGGATTTGATGGTGATCTCGAGCAGGTTTGCCAGGAGGACATACGACTGAGCAGTTGGCCCGCCGTTGGGATCGACTTTCAGCTCTATCGACTGGATCCAGGGAAGGATCACGGCAACAACGTTCCTCTGCGCGGCATCCTCGAGGTCCTTGAAGCACAGAGTGAACTCGGAGAAGATATGGAATGCGAGATCGCTGTGCTGCTTTGCGAGCCGCTTAGAGATCTCGAACTGGGCCAGCTTATAGACGGCCTTTGTCTTGTCCGATATGCTGATGTCGAAGTCCTGGATTTTGGATATGCGCCCCTGCTGCTGTCGCTCCTCAAGCGCCCTCAGCATATGGGCCGATTTGGACCGGATCTCGCTCTGGTCATTTCCCAGAGTGAAAAGACAAAGCCCAAGGAGCTTCCAGAACGGGGATGGATAGTCGGTGTGTTCAAGCAAGACCTCGGTGACCACGGTGAAGTAGCTTTCGAGGACCTTCGGCACGTCGGCTACATAGCATCTCGCGATGCAATGATCCAAAAGATACGGGTACTCCCGGTTGTGGACGATCATATTCCTGAGGGCTCTCCTTCCGATGACGTTTACGCGGTCGCTTCCGGAATTGAAGATGGCCTCGATCCAGGTCAGCATCCTACGCACATCAAACTGGAGAGCGACGCCGCTCTCGGTCGTGACGCTGATAGGGCCGCCACAAAGGGCCGCCATGGCACTCAGGGCTGCCGTCCGGAGGTTTCTCTTCTCGATCTCCATGGCAGCGGTCAGGGTCCCGCGTTCTCCAAAGGTCTGTTGGTCGATCACCGACTGTCTCATACTGTCCTCCCTCGCCCGGATTTGCCCCTGGTTCGGCGAGTATCCGCACCAGTCTTCCATCAATGCAAACGAAGACTTTCGCGACTCAAACGTCATCCAACGCGAGGGATCTTCGGTCCGATTGATGCCTTCGAACAGCTCTTCCATCAGGCCACAGTAGTGGCGCCTGAGTTTCTGGAATTCCCAGTCCATCTGCACTTCGCCGTCCATGAGGAAGAGTTTGAGGTCCTTCGCGTACGAGACAAGGTTCCCGAGGATCCAATCATCCTGGTATACTTCGGGCTCCTTCAGGAAATGGCACGTCAGTTTGTACACGTGCGTGATCTCGGTTCGCAGCAAGTCCATCTTGCGGTTCCGCCGAGGGCTGCTGTTAGTCCTCTGGTGAATCCGCGCCCTGGCCTCGTCGTTGCAGCGGGAGACGTGCCCTTGCAGCTCTTCAAGAAGGGTGCGGTAGATGTGGATATTAATGGAGCCCATGGCGACCACGACGGCATCCCTGACCGATGCGGAAGAGACGGAAAGAAGTGGGTTTAGGTATTTGAAGAGTGTCCGGGCCGACACGATCTTGTCGGTGGAGGAAGCCGACTTTGAACCCTTGCGTAGATGCTGGCCATCCTTTGCGCCATTGGCCTGTAGGCTACCAGGATCAGCCAACGTCGTGCAGGCAAACACAAGGTACAGCTTCCACTGCTCAACAAGAACCTCGGGCTGCGTCGTCGGCGTTCTACCTGCCAGGCGGGCGCTTCCAGGATCGGACCCATAGTACAGGCCTCGTGTCGGCTCGGAGATGATGGTGATCGCCTTGTACATCTGGAGGATTCTGTTGCAAATCAGGTCGCGGCCAATGGTTAATGTGAAGGGACATTTGTCGAAGGCGATCCGGACAAAGTTGGGGAAGATCTTGAACCAGAGAGTCGTATCGTACGAGACATCACTGGTGCAGAGCTCGACCAAGGCCCCTTGGTTATTGCTGTTCTGCATGCCTCTCTGCAGCCTGCTGCGTTCGGCCAAGGATAGATGCTCGTCCCTGAAGTTCATTGCCTGCATCGAGTCGTTTTCGAGCACGTCAATGAGCCTCGTTGCGTCCTTTGCCCGCCCGCTCGACTTGCTGAGGACCGCGTCGAACTCGGTGATAAGTCGCAACACGGTAATCGCATAGTACCGTACTCTTCGAGACTGGGAGCAGAGAAAGAACAGCCCGTGGGCTTCGACCTGGTCCACCTCTGCCCAGATGCTCGACAAGTCGAGCTTGATGCCGCGCTTATCCGCCGCGCTTCCTTCGCCTGGCTCCGTCGCCGCGTCTTTCGTTTTTTGTCTGATCTCCTCGATCCATATGTGCAGAAGCTCGACATAGAGCCTCAATGTGTTTTCTATGTGCCCAGGCCCGAGCATGCCCCCGTCAGACATGGTGGAGTACCTGTCGTCGAAGTTGAAGATGAAGCGCGCAAAACCCATGGTGACCTGCTGTGCGTGAGACTGGCGTGCAATGGCTTTTAGTGACTGTGCCGAGGACTCGGCTATGTTATACTGGACGTGGGCTGTCCCGGTGCAGAGAAGGTTGATCAGCGTATTGAAGGGTACATCCAAGGACAGGCAGCGTGGTAAGGCTTGCACGGCGACATGGAGCAGCTCGTAGAAGGCTTGCTTCTGGTCGTACGGGCTGGAGTGGTCATCTCGCCTGGAAAAGTTGAAGGTCTCGGTGATTGGCGTCTTAGGGCCGGGGCTGTTGAACTTCTCGTCCAGGGCCGCTTGGCCACCAAAGGTATTATCGCATATAATGGTGATCTTGCCAAGAATCTCGCAGAATCTTGTGTAGTATTCTCGCACAGCGTCCGTCAGAGCCGAGACGAGGACAGGTCGGGAAAGCTGCCCTCCTTCGGTGGAGACAACCGCGGGATTTGCCAGTGCGGGATTGCGTGGCGAGCTAATGGCGGGAGACGTGGGAACCCTATCTGGGGATGTAGAAGGTGCATAGAACTGGGGAAAGGGCGGCCTGCCTTGGTCGCCCTTTTCCAGATCAGACATGACAGCCAAGAATGCTCGGATACCCACGACCATCCTGTCGGGGTCCAGGTGTTCGATCTTCAGTTCCCTGTTGGAGCCGAACTGGTCGGCGTTGACTAATGGGAAGATGATCGATCTGAAGCAGTACTCGGGATGCTTGAAACCAACGATCCTGACGATCTGGATGATGGGGTCGGTGACAGCCGTGTCCGTGGCACTGAAAGTACGTTTCGCGCTGGGGATGACGTACTTCATCACCTCGTCCAGCTTTCGCACGACTCCGGTCATTGTATCATTTGTGCGGTAGATGTATGTCCAAAGAAGCCTCGAAATGACTTGCAGGCAAAGGGGCCTGGTATATCGGTCCTTGAGCCTCGGTTGGAGGGGGTAGATCAACTGCAGCCACTGCGAGGCAAACGTCTCGGGAGGCGAGACGCAGAGCATCGTTGACGTCAACGGGAACGTGTAGGACCAGTGACGAGGCTTGACAAACATCTGCGCCAGGCGGGGGCCGATGGTCCCCAGAACTTCGCTCCACTTCGGATGCGAGAAATGGCTGTTGTTGGCACTAGCAGCAATGGGAAGCAGAAGCATCTCCAAGACTTGGCAGAATGCCGATTTGACCTTTTGGCCGTGTGATCGGCTGAAGAGCTTGCCGAGCGACGCCATGAAGTCGCAAGAGTGGTCCCAGGACGCATCAGGGGATGTCTTGACGCGGAGGTGCTTCATGCCGCCCAAGACCAGCTCCATCTTCCCCTCCGTATCCCGAGATGCATAGGTCGGGCTCTTCACGGTCAGGTCTTGCAGCGACCTATCCAGGTCCATAATGAACCGTTCAGCCACGCTGGAGAAGTTTATCTCGCTCATCACACCGAGAAGCTGGGCGAACAGGTTCCAGTTGGCGAGCTTCAACGGAGAGATCAGCAGCTGGTCGGTCTCCGCAATCTTTAGCTGTCCGAAGATGATCCCCTCCAGTTTATCCTCCATCTCCGGCGTTATCGAAGACAGAGTACTCTGGCTGATCACCTCCAGCAGAACCCGGCACAGTATATATATCGAGACGGTGGAGCGGCGTTCCGCCTGCGCGACATATTCCTGCTTCGAAGCGAGCGAGGTCTGGCCATTCTGGGACCCGGCCTCGGCCGGAACACCTGCCCCAACCGCCTGGACGGGTTCGGTATTTCTTCTCTGGAGGGGGCCGCCGGGGAGATTGGTCCTCGACTGCTGGAGCTGGCTCCGCGCCTCGCTCGCGGCGTCACTCTTGCTCTTTCTCCAGAGCATCATCGAGTCGATCAGCGGCTTGGGCTTCTGCTTCGCGATGTGGCCCAGTGCAACGATGAGCTGATCGAAGGCGGGATCAACTCCAGGCCCGCAGATCTGGTCGATCTGCGGTTCGGGTTCAAATGGAGCCGCCACGCAGTCATTGAGCTTCTCCTCTGCTTGCGCAATGAAGGAAGTGAATAGCACATGGAGGGCGTATTCCCACACCGTCTTCTGGTCGTCCTTGTGATGTCGAGAGGAATGGGAATGGTGATGCGCATGGTCGCGTCTCAACTTCCCGCTGTGCATGTGCTCCAGTTTCTTCTGCATTATCATGGAGCCATTGCTGTCAGTGGCTGTTGCCGACGAGGACCTCTCAGGGACGTGGGGCCCGGATGCCGCAGTGGTGCCGGAGAGGGCAGTAGGTGGCCGAGATCCAAGCGCGCCGTCTCCTTCCATGCGTGAGAAAGCAAGTATATCGGGCCTGTCGGGCGCAAGACCTGCGCCAGCCGCAGCAATCATCTGAGGGCTGAGTGGGCTCGAGGATGAGCTCGCAAGGCTTCCATTCCTCGAATGTTGGATTCCTATGCCGTGAACGATAGACGTCTGTCGGTGATGGCCGTACGCCGCGGCCTTGGGGTCCACGACCCTTTCAATGACTCCTCCAATAGGCGGCCTTGCGGTCGCCGTTGGGATGCGGGAGTGCACAGAGGAGGCGGGCTGGGCAACGGAGGGACTTCCGCCCGGGTCTATGCCCTGCAACTTCTCGATCGACGACTCGCGGGAATGGGCAACAGATCTCGAGACGGTCGGGTCGAAGACGGCGGGCCTGAGGGTATTCTCCCACTCTTCATCCTCCTCGTCGAGCCGCGATACGCCTCGTGGAGAAAATTTCAGTGGATCCTGGACATGGTGGTCTGGCAGCGTCTGGGACGGAGCTATCGCGGCGACAGGCAGGTCAGCATGATGATCCAACACGGAGCTGGATAGATAGCCTTCCCCATCCGGTGCTCAAGATAGCGAGACAAGGAAACGCTTGAAGTTATTAAATATGCCCTTGCGGCGACGGAGAGAGTAGATACAGAGACACAGTGACATCCATATTATTGGGTCTGGGTAGGTAGACAAGGTTCGAGCAGGGGCAGCGAGCAGGACTCACCCATTTTCCTGATTGCCCAAGTCCCATATTCTAATCTACGGCATACGATATTCGGTTATCGATGAGATCCAGAGAATCAGGAACCACAACGAGGAGATCGCGGAGGCCGGATACCGAGACGAGGTTGAAGATGGGGGTCGCGGAAGGCTGGAAGCACCGCAGCAGCAGTCAAGTCGGGCTCCCAAGGGGGTCCATTTTTGTGTCACAGAGCGCTTCTGCAAGGGCACCTGCACAATCTGACCAATCACAAATGAGGGCCGCCCCGAACTGTGCACCCATACGGACGGAGGTACGGGGCGGGGTCCGTTTCGTGCTGCCCACAAAAGGGGCGGAACGTCTTATTATAAAACTGTCCGTCAAAGAGGCAAAACGTGTCTCGCGAACGGGATCTTCACCGCCAGCACACGAGATTTGAGGCACTGCATACATAGGCATGTCTTTCTGGGAGCCCCGACAGACGAGAGATAGGTACCTAACTCGCCATGTTTCATAGGAAGCAGGCACGTGGTTGAAAAAAAAGTAGGTGCTGTATCCGCCTCCAGTAGCGAGTCATTGAACTTTCTCAAACGGTTGCCAGAATAGGCTTAGTTCGACTAGAGAAAATTGGAGCGTTTGGGGACGTTTAGAGACAGCCGGAGGAGGGCGGCGGTATGAGAGGGATATATAGACAATGAGAGACGACAAACAACACCGATACTGCGTACCTATTGAGCCCTCAAGTGGGCTCCGAAATTTGCCGTAGGACGAGAATGAGAGGCAGGAGACTAGGTAGGTAGATATGAAGTGGCGAACACAAACTACCCCCACCCGCTCAGCTCCGCATATGCTGGTCCCGACTTGACCCTTCAACATCTCCGTTTCCCCGCGGTTCAACAATGTTCCTCGGTGTTAGTTCGCATACTAACGATTCTCCAAGACCACCCGACCGGATCGTGTGGAGGCCGAGCCGCCCCTCCAAGTCATGGCGTCTCCAACAGTAGTCCGGCATCAGCTAACCTGCACAGTAGGAATCAGAGAGCGCATGACAATGCACGTCGGCTCTCACAGCAAGCCCCGAGCAGCTTAACCTAGGTACTGTACATACGTACTGCTCTATACCTACGGGCATCTACATAGGTATTGTTCACATGCAAGCTGGAGGTAGTAATTGGGGAGTCCAAAATTGTCTAGCCCCCGCCCAGGACAGCATGACCCTGCGTCCAAACCCCCAAGAAGAACAATACTTAGCAAGAATAATGAAAATCATAACCGAGTAGGTAAAAAAAGGCATACAGCAGTTCAAGTGCCGTTCCTCCTCGTAGCTTCCAGCTTGTGTGATTGTGGGTCTCACTTCGGCCACCTGTCCCGGCAATTTCCCTAAGCGTTGGCAAATGGAGAAACCCCGGAGATCGGGGACCCTGTGGCCCCGCCGGCTTGTGGTATCTCTCCAACTGGCGACAAGTTCGCGGCCTTGTCAAAATTCTGCCTCCTTCCCACCTTTCGCTCTTCTTTCCCACCCCCCTTTTTCCTTGTCACAACACCTGGGTGGTCGTGTCGTGAATTTCGCCTAGTCGGGCCTTTCGTTTTCTCTCCCCAACAGGCGTGCGGCCCGTATCAGATTGTTTCCTTCTCGCGAATCAATCTGCCCTCTCGGCATCGTCTGATTCTACCAGCTCCCCTTTACCGAGGCGCCCACCCGGCTGTTGATCCCCCCGCTCCGGTTTCCCTCCGTCTTGTCCGCATCGCTTCACCGGCGCTGTACCACAGCTACATATATTTCTTCTGCCTCGTTTAGCTGGCTGATGAGCACGTGGGGCCCGAAATCGCTCTAAGGAAAACAGCGAATCCCAATCCGCCAACATGGCCGAACTAGACACCTTGGACATTATTGTCCTGGGGATTATCCTTCTGGGTACCGTCGCTTACTTCACCAAGGGCAAGCTATGGGGCGTGACAAAAGATCCCTATGCGACTTCCTTCGCCAATGCCGGCGGAGCCAAGGCCGGCAAGACAAGGAACATCATCGAGAAGATGGACGAAAGCGGAAAGAACTGCATCATCCTCTACGGATCCCAGACCGGCACAGCCGAGGACTACGCATCAAGGCTCGCAAAGGAAGGCAAGAGTCGTTTCGGACTCGAGACAATGGTTGCCGACCTCGAGGACTACGACTATGAGAACCTCGATGCCATCCCCAAGGACAAAATTGTCATGTTCGTCCTCGCCACCTATGGCGAAGGCGAGCCGACGGACAATGCGGTTGACTTCTATGAGTTCATCACGGGCGAAGGCGTGTCATTCTCCCAGGACAATGATCCCGCCTTGGAGAACCTCAACTACGTCGCTTTCGGTCTTGGCAACAACACATACGAGCACTATAATTCCATGGTTCGCAACGTCAACGCAGCATTGCAGAAGCTTGGCGCCAACCGGATCGGCGAGGCCGGCGAGGGTGACGATGGAGCAGGGACAATGGAAGAAGACTTCCTAGCCTGGAAAGACCCCATGTGGGCCGCTCTCGCCGAGAAGATGGGCCTGGAGGAGCGTGAGGCTGTCTACGAACCCATCTTCAGCATCGTCGAGCGCGAGGAGCTCAGCAAGGAATCGGAGGAGGTCTACCTGGGAGAACCCAACAAGATGCATCTCGAGGCTGCTGCCAAGGGCCCCTTCAACGCTCACAATCCCTACATTGCGCCCATCGCCGAATCACGGGAACTGTTCTCCGTCAAGGACCGGAACTGCCTTCACATGGAGATTGACATCAGCGCCTCGAATCTGACATACCAGACTGGTGACCACATCGCCGTCTGGCCCACCAACCCTGGTGAAGAGGTGGACCGTTTCCTTGACGTTCTCGGCCTCACCAGCAAACGAGACCACGTGGTGAGCGTCAAGGCTCTGGAGCCGACCGCCAAGGTGCCATTCCCCACGCCCACCACGTACGATGCAGTTGTCCGCTACCACATGGAAATCTGTGCCCCCGTGTCCCGTCAATTCCTGGCTACCCTGGCTGCCTTCGCACCTGATGAAGGGACCAAGACTGAGATGGCCAAGCTCGGTGGTGACAAGGACTACTTCCAGGAGAAGATCAGCTCCCATCATCTCAACATCGCCAGGGTATTAAGCATCGTCGGCAAAGGGAAGAAGTGGACCAACATCCCCTTCTCCGCTCTGATCGAGGGTGTTACCAAGCTACAGCCGCGTTACTATTCAATCTCTTCCTCGTCTCTGGTCCAGCCCAAGAAGATCTCCATCACAGCCGTGGTGGAGTCGCAGATGATCGTCGGCCGGGAAGACCCGTTCCGCGGGGTCGCTACCAACTATCTTCTGGCCCTCAAGGAGAAGCAGAACGGGGACCCGAACCCGACGCCGTTTGGACTGAGCTATGAGATCACGGGACCAAGGAATAAGTACGACGGCATCCATGTCCCCGTACACGTACGCCACTCCAACTTCAAGCTGCCGTCGGACCCGTCTAAGCCTGTCATCATGGTCGGTCCGGGCACCGGTGTTGCGCCATTCCGCGCATTCATCCAGGAACGAGCAAAGATGGCCGAGAATGGCGAAGATGTTGGCAAGACTATCTTGTTCTTCGGATGCCGGAAACGTACCGAAGACTTCCTATACAATAAGGAATGGGATGTAAGTTACTTCCGTGTACCGAGGACGTCTTCATTCTCGCGCTGACGCTCTCTCAGGAATACAAAAAGGCTCTGGGAGACAAGTTCGAGATTGTACTGGCCTTCTCGAGGGACGGGCCGAAGAAGGTCTACGTCCAGCACCGGCTCAAGGAGTACGAGAAGGAGGTCAACGAGCTGCTAGAGAAGAAGGCGTACTTCTACGTCTGCGGTGATGCCGCAAACATGGCTCGTGAGGTCAACTCGGTTCTGGCCCAAATTATCGCTGGCCAACGCAACATTCCCGAGGCGAAGGCAGAGGAGATCGTCAAGAGCATGAGATCTTCCAACCAATACCAGGTACGTCCAGCCCCGCCACGCCACGCCACGGTTTGGCCCTTGAGTCCCTCCCCCCAATCCCTATCCTCCATATCCCATCCCCACCCCCAACCAGAGTTTCTGAAGCTGCTGCTGGTGGGGCACGCGGGTGGAATTGGTCCAAACTACTTTCCCCCTTTATACCAAACAAACGCTGACTTTAATCTACAGGAGGATGTTTGGTCTTAGAGTTAATAATAGCCCTCTTCCAATGAACTGGCCGCAGATATTTCAGGCGTGGGTGTGCATTGAAATGGGAATAGAGGAGTCGGAGCACTTCTTACGTTCTCTTGTATGGGTTCAGGCTCTGCGTCCGTCTCTGCTTCTATAATGGGTCTCCTCGAACATAGCTATCTTATATAGTCGGCTATGCTGCTTACGAAATAGACAATTTGATGTTGGTGCTTGTTTTTTCTCAACAGCTCTTGGCCTGTATATGTACTGTATGTACATTGGACGAAACTCGTGGCCAGGGACAACATTTTTGCGTTTACACTTATGTCCGACGGGAGTGTAGTTCACCAAGTGTCTCACTAACTCTGGGGTGAGCCCGCAGATAAGACTCCTGTCTAGGTACCTATCCGTATCCGACAGCGGATATTCAACTCCTCTCTTACCCAAAGCAACATCGAGCAGGCTCCCTGGCCATTGGCGCTTGAGATGGCTGATCCAAGGATGGGACATTGCAAATCTTGGAGCCAAAATGGGTTGTCCTTGCGTCCTGGACCCGGGGTCGGAACATCGCATCGAAGGCGACAAGAGAGGAGGATACAGTCCAAGGATCTGGGAGCCAAGGCAAACCCAGACATGGAGGACGATACACTCTCCGGATGGAGCCATCGATCAATACCCAGCAGTTCACCACTGCAATTGCGGCGGGCAGTCCAAATTGTGCCTATTTGCAAGTGCTCCATCTTCAGCTCTCAGGTCTAGAAGTTTGAGCGAGATTAATGGGTCTGCAGCTTTCGAGGTTGCCCACAGTCATCTCTGTCAACATATTTGCCTCTTCATCCTCGCCAAGTCGATGGATGGTGTTCTGAACCAGACCTAGTCCTGGGCCAGTGCCCTGGAGATCTGAGAAAGAGGGCTGGATGGCTGTGCATATCTTGTCCCTTGTCCAATTCACGCGTCTAGCGTCATCGGGGAACTCTTCTCCATCCTCGGGTGCGTTGTTGCGGCCATTATATCCCAGGAGGTTGTGATGTGGTCCTTGGAGAGATGATACCCCCAACCAGGACCAAGCGTCCATACGGAAGGAGTGGTGTTGGATCAAGACCGATTCAAGGCCCCGTCTCCATGCCATTTTGACTTTTTCGAGTCGAGGTTCTCGAGCTTGTTGTAAGGGTCGTGTGAGTATTCTAGATAGCAGGGCGGCCGATACGTGCTGACAGAGAGGACTGGTCTTCTGCTGCAGGAGGCCTGGCTGTCTGTTAGTCCGAGCAAGCCATCATTAGGGGCCATGACTCTACCTAGGGATGTACAGGTTCTCTGTTCCACGTCAGGTTGGATGCAGCTTCGGGACAGCTTGCCTAGTAGAGGCATGGCTGGAACCGAGCTCTTCAAGTCTCCATGCTTGTCGGCTGAAAGACTAGGGCCAGATTCATAAGAACGTCCTTGGTTGTGGTTGAGCAGTTGCTGTGAAGGCGGCCATTGTCTCCGACTAGCTGCCTGCGGAGGACGAAAGAAAAGAAGACCTGGTACCTACCCAGCTGTACGGCAATCGGGAAGGATGGTGCTGTTCTCGGATTCAACTTGGATATCGAGGTCGGCCCAGAGATGCCGAATGTTAAACTGTGCTGTCTCGTGGCTTCCCTTGGCCAAGTTCTAATACAGTGGCCACGCTTCAAAACCCTCAACCCACGGCATGGACCTTCTTCTTCTATTTTCTTCGGGCTACCCAGAGGTAAAATACGGAACTACCTGCCTACCTAGGTATGTATCACCTACTGCCAAAATCGCCTTACTTTATACATATTACTAAGTAGAGTAGTGGAGGTTGACGTCTGTCCTGCCCAACGTCCCCGGGCCAGTTCCTTCCTTCTTCGGCACCGTAGCGAAAGGGGGAAGAGGCGACGCCATTCATCCCCCGCCTTGGATCTTGACACCTTCCATCACGATTGTTAGCCTCGACGGCATCGAGAAAGGCAGGAACTGAAGGCATTGCAGAGGTGTTTATGGCCTCTCGATCCGTGCCCTTCGTCCTTTTAGCAGCATTATCTCCCGCCTCTACCCTGTCGAGGATTGGTAAGTGGAACCCAGGAAGTTCATCAATCCCTCCTTCTCCGTCTCCTTGTCTCTCTCCTCGCCGATCTCTTCCCTGCCCTCACACCTGCTTCCTCACAAATACCTACCTAGGTACCTATCCTACATCCAGGGAGAAAGCCCGATTTGGGGCGAGTCAAAGCCTTGACCCAGGTCTCCTTCCTCAATCACCGCCCCCTTGTGGCTACCTAGAGGTAGGGACTTTCTAACCGTGCCGCCCTTAATACAGGTCCCTCGCCTACTCGCCGCATTTTCTCGTTTTTCTCTTGGTTCCCACAGCATCAACACCATCCCAACAACCTAACCCACCACAGACAATTCCAGCCTCAGCTTGCTCGATAGCTTGATCTATCCTCTTAATCCCCACGCGCTCGCTTGTATCACAGAACCTTGGCACTGACATCGCCCAACGCCGAGCTTCCGGACTGCCTGTCGTGTCTTCATACCCGGAAAGCGGCGTGTGGACGCGTCATATCTTCGAGGTGAGAAACACTTGGCATCTTTGGGGAAGTATCGACACCTTGCCTTGTGTCCTACTACCGCCCACTCCTTTCCCCCGGGCGTGCTTATATCCGCCTGCAACCTCCTCACTGCAAACCATCCACTACCATACTTTCATTTGGGTGAAGTCAGATATCATCTGGCTTCCGCCTCCTCCCCTACCTTCTCATCCTTCCCCCTTCTCACCCTGCATCAACTTTGCTAACATCGGGTCCCCTAGACTTGCAAATGGCAACCCGAAGTTATCAGGCCGGTCCCATGCCGGCTGACATGGGAAATAACAATCGAAAATACTCTGGTTACATGAATGGCACTACTCATGCTGCCCCAGCCCAGACCGATGCCCCGGTCCAGCATGCCAATCATCAGGTTGGCCACCACCCGGACAGCCTAGGAACTGTGATGAGCCAGTTCTCTTCTCTGTCCATCCCTGGTGGCCACATCCCCGCTGGATCTGGTTTGACTCAGATGTCCATCCATCACCCGTATATTGCTGCTCCAGAGGGAGCTATTGCCTACACTGGCTACGGAGTCCCTGTCCACCTTGGCAACGCATCTCAGATTCCAGATGGCTACCCGGCAGCAGCTTTTGCACCACAGTATTCTGTCTCTGGAGTCACTGGGGCGTATGCCTCCTACCCTATGCCCTATCCGATGATGCCTTTTACTCCTGGACGCTCAGTTTCCTATGGTGACCACAACAACGAGGTTCCTGGCCTCGACTACCGTCGTGGATCGTACTCTACGACGGAATCGACCCCGGCGACTCCATTTTTTGGTAGTGCTTCGGACCGAGGCAGTGCAGCTCGAATTGCTGTGATGCGTTCGGCATATAACACCCCGTCCCCTGACCATGCTCAGGTGATTGGTGGCTTTGATCGCACTCCTGTCACCAAAGCCCCAACCATCTCAGACGTGGACTTGGACGCCCTCCTGAAGCAGAACCCTGCTATTCCACGTGCTGTCCCAGCAGTCTTCACGCCTCCTCAGCACATGAAGACCCTTGAACAGTGCCTCGAGAACCGCATCGTCGGCAACCGCAATGTCTACATTCGTGGACTCCACCCGACCACGGACGATGAGTTGCTCCTCCGCTACGCCCAGAGATTTGGCGAGGTGGAGCAGTCTAAGGCCATCATCGACACAGCAACTGGAGCTTGCAAGGGGTATGCGCCTATCTATACATATGCCATGGAGCCATGTGTAACTAACTGACTCGTTGGTAGCTTTGGATTTGCCAAATTCACCGATGTCCGCAACTCTGAGAATTGCATCCGGGGTTTCTACCGGCTCGGCTACGAAGTGGGTTTTGCGAGAGTGGGTTCCCTTCTGTCTGATACACTGGTACTGACTAACTCAAGGTTCACTTTGCAAAGGAGAGCTTCAACGCTCGTCTGAAGGCAGAAGGTGATGAGAATAGTACCAACCTCTACCTCTCCAATCTGCCGAAGCGCTTGACCGAGACTGTAAGTCCAGCCACATGATTATGAGCGGCCCGCAAGACACTGACACGAGGCAAGGAACTGAATGCAATCTTTGTCGGGTATAATGTCATCTCAAGCAAGATCCTCCGTGATAGCATGGGCAACAGCCGTGGTGTTGGATTTGCTCGGTGGGTTGCCATACCCTCGCCCATTATTCCCCGGTTGCCCCTGGATCATATCTGACGCTCATATTAGCTTTGCAACTCGTGAGGAGTGCGAGGACATCATCAACAAGTATCACGGTATCGCAGTCGGCGATGAGGCCATGCTTATGCAAGTCCGATATGCCGATACTCCTGCCCAGAAGGAGCTGAAGCGGATCACTGCCGAACGTCGCCAGTTCCGCACCAACGAGTACAATATCGGTGCCTATGGCACTGCTGATGTTGGAATTCATCCTTCCATCTACTCGCAGACCTCCTGGAATCGACGCCACATCGCCGGGGCTAACAAGTAAGTTCATGACCCTGCTTGCCGATGCAAACAGTTCTGATAAGTTTGGCAGTTCCTCCGTACAACATGTAGCTAGGACGTCGCAACTTTTGCCGACGATTACTCGTGATGGAGCGCAACTGGGCGGACAGTATGGTTGCTCCAGGTATTGCCTGCGAGTTTTTCCTCGTAACTAACTTTTTGGTGCAGGCAGAGCCCAACCGTGCCGGGCACTCCGCCTCCTAACGATGAATCAGATGACGAGAGTGTTACCGTAGCCGAATCCCATAGCGTCACCCACGGAAGCACGCAGTCATCTCCCGTACCAAAAAAGGAGAAGGCCTGAAACGGTTGTCCTGGCACTGCACTTAACATCAATACCTTGCTTTCTCTATTGCATTGGACTGGGCCCCGGGTGATACGATTGTTTTGGTATCCTGTATCTTCATTCTGCTATCACCATTATGTGGGGGGTGGGGGGGGCTCGGGGTTTGAGACGGAAGGCTGTTGCAATTCCCCGTATCTTAACTTTTTGACGGAGTTCTACACGATACACTCACTCTCTGTGGGGGAATATCTGAGGATGTTTCTGGTAGCTACAAGGGTCAGAACTCTGGTGCCAAGAGGGTCGTGGGATTTCCCCTTTGTCATACACCTTCATCATGTACACTGGGAACTTGTACTTGTACTCATTTACGAGGAAAGTCAGGTCGATCAGGACTAACTGAATGAGAGGTTTTTACAAATTAACTGGAGTATCCGGGTCTGGCAGCCGGAATAAAAACGTGGTGTACTACAAGTCAAAGACGAAGAGTGAACGTAAGACGAGGCGGCCATGGGTCAGAATGTCAGGTTTACCATCCACACATATAAGTATGAGATGATGAGAGTCGAAACTGGCCGAGGAATGTCTATTCTATGCTTCACTGATGCTCAACTTTCCCAGTTCATTCGCCTGTAGATCCGAGTCGTTCCCAAGGTCGACGGGGATGTGGCTCTCCCCGAGCAATGGCACAACCCGGCCATGCTCTGATACTCCAGCCCCTGGTTGTTCTTCCTCTTCCTCTTCCTCTTCCTCTTCCTCTTCCTCTTCCTCTTCCTCTTCTTCTGATTCGCTGCTGAGGTCTGCGCCGTTTTCTTTCAATGCAATCCGCTCTCGAATCGCCGCCTCCAAATCCTTAGCCATCTTCTTTGTAAACCCAGATGCTTCTGCTACAGCATCTAGACGCCTTGCCCCATCCTTCCCCATTGACTTCTTTGCGTGCTTGAAGAAGGGGCCTGGCCGTGTGCTCACAAAATGGAAACGCCTCTCGAAGAAACGCTTGATACAGTTGACATCCCGGTCAAAGTACATCTCAGCATTTGCGTGGTCCATTGATACCATCTGGGGGAAGTCGATGACTATTGGAGTGAGTATAGTAGCCACTGGGCCCTCTGCCTCCCCACCAATGTTGTCTTTCTTATCCTGCTTCTCCTCTTTGATGAGGATGTTGAACTCGTTGAAGTCCCCGTGTATAAGACCATGCTTTGCGAATCTGAGGATCATATCCATGAGCTCAGCATAGAGGTTGGCAGGATCGGGGACTGATGAGATTTGCCGCAGAGGGAACGCGTCAATGAGAGCCATGACGATGGTATGCCTTGACTGGGCTAAGGGTTCCGGGACTGGAAAGCCCTCCTCCTGTAGGGCCTTCATGAATGCGAACTCCTTCATTGCGGCCAGCCTGGAGAGGTACATCCACGAGCCGGAGGCCCGGTTCTTCAGGTAGTCGCGGTTGGTCTTGACTGAACGGAAGGATATCCGACCCAGCCGGTGAATCTTGAGCACCTTCTGCTTTCCGGTCTGGTCTGCTACCACCATGATATCACTCTCCTTGCCGACGCCGATGCGGTTGCCCACGCTGTAGACCTCGTTCCGAGATGCATGTGTGTGTAGGGCGAGGTAGTCCAGCCCGCCATAGGTCAATCGGTAGCCATCGTACTTGGCCTCCTTGACCCGCGCTATCAGTCCGACTTTTGCTAGGGCTGATATGCTCTTGTGCACGCCGCTGCTGCCTCCCCGCAGCCGAGCGATCTTCTCGATCAACGGTGTGGGGACAATTTCGTGGTTTTTACTGCCCATCTCAGCCTGTTCAAGCGCACCCCGTTAACATATGATACGAGGAAAGATGAAGGAGTCAGGAGGGGTTGGGGAGGGACCAACCGCTGTGAGTACTCTCCAGTCCTCTGAGGTGAGGTACCTCATAGCCTTGGTGTCCAACTTCATGGTGGCAAGAGTACCAGGGGCTCTCAGGCCTGGAAGGAAAGGTGGGAAGGTCGAATCTCGCCGTGAGGTAAGGGAATTTACTCTTTTTAATGCTTCCGGTACACCTCACAATTCAAAGATAACCGGGACATGCAAAGGAGGCTCTAGAAGGTCGGGTATCAAGTGCAACGACGTAGGTTCATATGGAAGAAAGAAATCGGATTTTAATAGCGCCGGAGGTGAGGCTCTGCTAGGTAGGTGTGGGCCTATCAACGTGGGAAGATGAGGCCGTGGGGCCCTTGCTTCAATTGGAGCTACCTGTCAGGCGGCAAAGCCTCGCGTCACTCTGGGAAGCTGCTAGTCCCTCCAACAACAAAACCCGCCTTTTCTCCCATGCGCAAAAGTTTATATCAGCATCAGCAGCTGTAATTCTCTTGTGCCTTCCTCTTTTTTATTTTATTTCTCTCTATCGTCTAGTACGGCAGCGTATCCTTCTGCCCCCCGTCAGCTCCCACCAACACCTCGCCTACCTTCGTTGCTCGGCCACTCCGTTCGATCACCATGGCTGGGGACAGTGACTTGTCAAGGGCGGCCGAAAAAGGCAAAGGCAAGGCTGTGGATGGCGACCAGAAGGCCGAAGAGTCCAAGAAGGGCAAAGATGCGAGCCTCGTGATTAATGGCAAGAAGGATGACGAAAAAACCGAAGGTTTACCTCCCATCCCATCTAGCTCCATCGGCCCGCGGGCGGTTCCTGACTGACCTACTCAGCTGCCGAAGAACTCAGCGAAGAAGATCAGCAACTCAAAAATGAGCTTGATATGATCGTGGAGCGACTAACTGTATGTCGATGCTTGCCTCTCCTGGTTATCTGGCACTAATAACATGGGCCGTAGGAATCCGATGCATCACTTTACAAGCCCGCCCTAGAGACGATGAAGAACCTCATCAAGACCTCAACATCATCGATGACAGCGGTCCCGAAACCGCTGAAGTTCCTCCGGCCCCATTACGACACCATGACCAAACTGTACGAGGATTGGCCCAGCGGCGACGACAAGACTTCCCTAGCAGATGTGCTCTCGGTCATTGGTATGACGTACTCTGACGAGGATCGCCAAGACACCCTCAAGTACCGCCTTCTCGCCCCCATTCAAGATTTCGGTTCCTGGGGCCATGAGTATGTGCGACACCTGGCTCTGGAGCTCGGTGTCGTGTACGGCAAGCGCATTGCCACCGAGGAGCCCGCCACGGACCTTGTCAACCTTGCGCTTCTCCTCGTACCCCTGTTCCTCAAGAGCAATGCCGAAGCCGATGCTGTCGATCTGATGAGTGAGCTTGAGATCATCGAGGAGCTGCCCAAGTTCGTCGACGAGGACACATATGCGAGGGTCTGCTTGTACATGGTCTCGATGGTCAACCTCCTTACCTACCCAGACAACGAGCACTTCCTCCGCGTGGCACACGATATCTACAAGACCTACGGGCAGCACACACAGGCTATGGTCCTCGCTATCCGCCTCAACGATATTAACCTCATCACGGCTGATTTTGTCGAGAAGGACCCGGTGCTGAACAAGCAGCTGGCGTTCCTGATCGCTCGCCAGAGGATATGGCTGGACGACATTAACGGGGGTGGGGATGCTGAGGAATTCTCAGACTCCCTCTGTAACGTCAAGTTATCTGAGCACTTCAAGTCTCTTGGGAAGGAGCTCAATATACTCGACCCCAAGACCACCGAGGACATATATAAGAGCCATCTAGAGAGCAGCCGTGTGGCGGGTATGACCAACTTCGATTCCGCCCGGCACAACCTGGCGGCCGCGTTCGTGAACGCGTTCGTGAACGCCGGGTTTGGCAATGATAAGATGATGCTTGTCGAGGCGGACAAGAGCTGGGTGTGGAAGACAAAGGACGAAGGAATGATGTCGGCCGTGGCGTCGATGGGAACTCTCCTCCTGTGGGATATCGAGAATGGGCTGGATCGGATCGATCATTATACCTACGCAGAGGAAGAGCTGATCCAGGCCGGCTCGTATCTTGCTATCGGCATCATGAACTCGGGCGTCCGGCTTGACTCGGATCCAGCCCTGGCTCTGCTTGGAGACGCGGACAAGCTGAACCACAAGAATCCGCTCATCCGGGTCGCATGCATTATGGGCCTGGGATTATCCTATGCCGGATCCAATAATGTCAACGTGGTGGATATCCTGCTGCCCATCATCACTGACACAACGCAAGACATGCAGATATCCGCGATGGCTGCGCTCTCCTGCGGCCTCATCTTCGTCGGATCTGCCTATCCGGATGTCAGCGAAGCCATAGTGACCACTCTTCTAGATGTCGACCGGAGGGATCAGCTGACTGACAAGTGGACTCGGTTCCTTGCCCTTGGCCTTGGTCTTCTGTACTTTGGCCGACAAGAAGAAGTGGATGTAATTTTGGAGACGCTGAAGGCGGTTGAGCACCCCATGGCTAAGCCGACTGCCGTTCTCGCCGAGATTTGCGCGTGGGCGGGCACGGGTGCCGTCCTCAAGATCCAAGAGCTCCTCCACATCTGTAACGAGCACCTAGAAGAGCCGGAGGAAAAGAAAGGCGACGAATTGTTGCAAGCCTATGCTGTCATCGGCATCGGCCTCATCGCCATGGGCGAGGACGTGGGCCAGGAGATGGTCCTCCGGCAGTTCGGGCACCTCATGCACTACGGCGAGGCCAATATCCGCCGGGCAGTGCCTCTGGCAATGGGGCTTATCAGCCCCAGCAACCCGCAAATGAAGGTATACGACACGCTCTCCCGATACAGCCACGACAATGACAACGAGGTCGCTCTCAACGCCATCTTCGCCATGGGTCTTGTGGGTGCGGGAACGAACAACGCCAGGTTGGCCCAGTTGCTGCGGCAGCTCGCCAGCTACTATCACCGAGATCAGGAGTCGCTGTTCATGGTCCGGATAGCGCAAGGGTTGTTGCACATGGGCAAGGGAACCCTGTCGATCAACCCTTTCCACACCGATCGCCAGATCCTCTCCCGAGTATCCGCCGCCGGCCTTCTGGCCGTCCTCGTTGCTATGATCGACGCCAAGCAATTCATCACCGGGTCCTCGCACTATCTGCTCTACTTCCTTGTCACGGCCATGCACCCGCGCTTCCTCGTCACGCTGGACGAGAACCACAAGCCCCTGACGGTCAACGTCCGCGTCGGCCAGGCCGTCGACGTCGTTGGCCAGGCCGGTCGCCCCAAGACCATTACCGGCTGGCAGACGCAGAGCACGCCAGTGCTGCTCGCGTACGGTGAGCGGGCCGAGCTGGAGGACGAGGAATACATCAGCCTTAGCCACACTCTCGAGGGCCTCGTAATCCTCCGCAAGGTAAGTCTTCTGAAAACCGACATCTTGAATGCCTGATCGCTCTATGTTTTCAAACTAACGTGACTTTTTTCTCTCAGAATCCCGACTGGGAAGCGGGTAAATAGGCGCCTGACTAGCAAGGGAAGATGCGGGAAGAAAATGGCAGGCGTAAGCGAAGGACGAGCAATTTTTCTATCTATGCCTTGTACAATAAATGACCCTCGACGGGACCGAAGAACAAAAGCTCGTTGGAGATATTCTCTCCGGGCATTCGTGTCTTTCGAAGAGGGATAGACGGAAGTCTGGCCTGATGGCAACATGGTTTATCAATCTCGTAATGCACAGTAGTTCGAATTGTCTTGAGGACCCGGACTTGACGATATCTTGCTCAAAGGTCCAAAGGGGCAAGCAAGCAAGTGTTTGAGTGTACGAGTAGATTTCCTAGGATCCGGCCTTTTCTTCTCGTAATTCGATCTAATAAGCAGACAACCTTGATAGATCCGTGACCAACCTAACGCCTTGCTCATCCCATCTATGCTCCTCCATATTAGGGAAAGGGAAAGAAAAAATAATGAGGGGGGAGGGAAGGACTGATTGATCGCACGTGTCTACAGTTTAGGGAAAGGCGGCATCTCGTTTCTCGTTGGCCCTCTCTACCCATCATCCCCTCATCCGATGTGTCTAGATGTCCTACTTCTTCATGCCGAAGATGTTCCGCTTCTTCTTATGTTCCCTATCCTTCTCGAGTTTCGCCGGTCTAGACTCGCCGGCGGGGGAGGGGGACATCGACTCGGACGGCCCGCCGCCGCCGCCGCCGCCGTTTAGGGGCCGCGACGACCCGCTGCTAAGGGTCATGCTTCCCATTGCTTTGGTCGGGGGCCTCGGCCCGCCCGGGATGCCTATAGCGCCGCCTGGGGGAGGGACGCGATGAGGTCTCTGCCCGCCCGGGACCATTCCCATGCCTGGTGCGCCGGGCGCGGGACCGGGCGCGGGCGCGCTCGCCATGGGCGGGGGAGCCGGGCGCTCGAAGAGGTGGGCCGGGGCCTTCTGCTTCGCGCGCTCCATGGGCAGGTCTAACCGTCTCCTGTCGACGGAGAGGTCGCCGACCTGGCGCAGGAAGAGCTGCGGCGCCAGCATGTGGCTCGTGGCGAGGAAGACATCCTTGCCCTTGCTGGCCGAGATCTCGTAGCAGGAACGGGCCTCGCTGTAGGTGGCGCCGCCGGCCATGAAGACGATTATGCGCTGCCGGTTCTCGACCTGGCGACGGCCGGCACCGGCCCATCGAGGGGCTGCAGCGCGGAGGGAGACCTGCGCGGAGAGCGCGTCCTCGTTGGGATCCATTGGCGGTTTGACGTATGGGAACATGACCTGATCAAGCGCGCCGCGGCTGAGATCGTCGAGCATGTACTTCAAGGCTGGCTGGAACCGGGAGAGCGCATACTCTTCGTTTTGCGCCGCGTTGGTTGCATTTTGGGGAAAGAGAGGGACTGGCGGGACACGGGGGTCTTTGAGCTCCCGGATCGGACGCGCTCCGAGTAACTCTAGGTTGGTGACGACCTCGGCATCGGAAGGAGGCAGCGAGGCATGAGCTAGAAGCCTCTTGATGTCCTCCAAAATGACGCCACCCCGGTATATCATGTAAACCATGATCAGCCGTAACCTGTCCGACGAGCTAACCCCCTCGTCATCCAAAAGCCGAACAACCTGTTCCAAGACGTTCTTTGCCTTCTTGAAATCCTCGTCCAAGCCAGTTGCCAGCGTCTGTTCAATGGAGGCAATATCTGGCAATCCTTGCTTCTGGAAAACATTCATACACTCCTGAGCCATGGTCAAGTGTAGCGAATAGGCGTCCTTCATCTCCTGGAACTGCGGCAAGCCTGCCAACATGTCCTTGATGGCGTTCAGACTCGTGGTATCCTGGTTCTCATCTGTAAAATTCGGATTCTGGTCGAGGAACTTTCGGAAGTCGCCCATTAACTTCTCAATCGTGTCTTTCATGTGGCGGTGGCGGTTGTCCACCCAGACCTTATCCTTCTCTTGAAGCTCCATGTCCTTGTCCTCGGCACTCGCGGTGCCCTCGTTGATGGTCATATGATAAGTGATTTTATCGCCTTCCTTAATCTTCAAAAGATCATGTGCCATTGCCTGGTATGTGAACTCGTGTAGGAGAGGTGCCATGAGGTCCATAGACCTGTCCGTGATAACAAGAACACCTTGAGGCCTCGGTGTTGGAGTAGGGAAGTTTGGGTTCCATCGGCCGTACTCATCCAGCTCCTCCTGGACGAAGCGAGCCAGATGGGAGCATAAAACACTGGCCTCATGGGTGGGATTCTTGGGCCGGTAATACCGAACCTTGGGATATTCACCCAGGGAGACGCAGATGCCAGTGATCTGTATTGGACGACGGATTAGCCTCAAGAACAATTACGACGTTCTAACCTCCCCTTCACTACCTTTTGCGCCAGCGCTTGCATGTGTTCGCGAACAAGATGATTGCAGGCAGGGTGGTACAATATTGGGAAGCTCCACGGGTCTCGAAACGTTATTAGATGAGATTCACGGGGGAAGAAGTCGATATTCAAGGTTTCGAAGCCTGCTCGTTCGATTCTCAGCATGATGAATGAAGCTAGCCTGTTGACTCATTTGAGGGCTCACCTGCTATCTGCTGTTTGGTATGCGGGGAGGAGTCGAGGCGGCGGCGAAGTTCAGGGTCCAGCAGCGCAGTCCAGACCAGATATGCGCTCCTGTACCTTCGCCTGTCTAAGTCGGCCAGGAGACAGTCAACAACATGCGGCTGGGGAGTCAGGATATAGATAGCATCCATGGTAGGATTCATCTCCCTCCTCTCCTCGATCCGCTCAATATCTGGCTACTCTTCAGTATTCGGGTGAGGTGTTAGGCGGGAGATAACAATCGTACTGGCGATATTCTGGTTGAGGATGTCATCTTCCTTGAGGACGTTGTCGATGACTTTCTTCGACTGCTCATCGAGTATCAGGACTTTCCACTGTGTGTCGGAATTAGAAAGGGGCAGTTAGCAATGCCTCTAGATTCAAGTGTCAAGGAGGTGTTGTCATTCTAGGTTCTCACATCGCCCCTAGTAATATTCTTAACGGTCTCGAGAATGACTACAGACAAAAATTAGCGCCCCGATGATATTCACATGGTCCTGGGAAGCTCAGAGGCTGTCCATACTCTTATGCTGTTCTTCGATGACGGAGACGCCCATCTTGGCGATAAGGACGTCTCACAACCAGAGAGCGGCAACAATTGGCGGGAAGGCGTGCGGGAGGGCAAATAGTGCTCATGGAGTGAATGCGCGTGGGGTGAGTGCGCCGGCCTATCTGCTCTAGAAATGGCGGCGTCTTCTGGTGGGCGTTTGCGGTAGGTGCAGGGAACTTGCTTGATATCCAAGGAAATCCAGAGTCCATGTGGAACTTCCAACTTGGAAGTTCAGGTTCCATGGCGGGGTTCGATCCATGCAAGCTTCAAACAAGTACCTAGGTACCCTTACCCCATACACTAAAACTTGTCTAACGAAACCCTAACCCTGGGGCTCTGTAAAGACGGATGGGATGCTACCTTACTTTGCCTATTCGTATCCGCACACTCTACTATGGTAGTGTTGGTGGGGACAGGCGTCACCCGTGGACCTTGCTTCTTTCTTCTGGGGTACCTCAACGTTTATAAACTTCATTACGTTTCTACCTGTATATAAACAGGAAGGAACATGTCGCGATGCCCCAGCCCTGTCATGAGCTGCAAGGAATTGCAATCCCTAACGGTTCAAAACGGTGGTCTGAATCTTAATGGTCCTGATGATGTTTAGCGTAGACTCGCATTCGTATTCCGGGCCATCGCCCAGTTAGCCCAGCTAAAAAAAAACCCAAGGAGAATGGAATAAGCTTCAATGACTTATGGAATCCATCCTCACCACAAATTGATGCTCCTACATTACTGCGATAATCATATCCGAGCTAGTGGTTCATCAGAAACATGCTCGTCGACCCCGTCCCTCGCATCGATTCCCTTATCAACAAAGCTCTCGCCTGTCACACTATCTTCGCCTACTCCACCAGCTTACACTCTTATCCTCGAGGTAGTTGGCGATGAGCTCCTCGCCCTCCTTAGGGGATGGGGACAAGAATCCCCCCTCTGTTGCCGAAAATCAAGTGCCTGCACCGGGGAAGGATCATCGTGGCCGCGTCATTGACTTCCTCAGGGTTGAGGAGGGCGAAGTCTACACGGCTCATTCGAGAAAGAGACCCAAGTGGTACCAGAGACTCTTAGACGCCGGCGCCGAGGAGAATGGCATCAAACCCGTGCCGGCGGAGCAGAGGACTAACACGGAGTACAACAATCTGTTCACTGTATTCTTCACATCTCTCTTCTGCTTGCTGCCGTACGTCTTTCCCTGGCCCTGATGTTCTTCGCTTTGATAGCATTAATGCTAAGTGATCGCTCAGCCTCCCGACGGGCATGCTTGCTACCCTGGAGTATGGCATGAGCCTTCGAGATTCGGCCATTATCATCGTCTTCTTCGCCATGCTCACCTGTATCCCACCGGCCTTGATGTGTATGGCAGGCCCGCAGACCGGGCTGCGACAACTGGTTCAGGCAAGATACTCTTTCGGGTACGAAATGCCACTTCTGCAATTTGAAAGTTTGAAATTCGGGCCTAACCTGGACACGGCAGCTTATATCTTGTTACCATCCCGCTTCTCTTGAACGCCGCCACCATCATAGGCTTCGCTCTCATGTCGGCCATCGTTGGCGGGCAGGCCATTGCCGCCCTGAACCCGGAGAACGTCAGTGTTGATATTGGGATCGTGGTGGTCTGCGTCGGGGCATTCGCTGCTTCTATATTGGGCTACCGGGCATTGCACTGGTGGGAACGCTGGGCTTTGCTACCCAACTTGGTTGCTATTGTCGTTGCTGTCGGCTGCGGCGGCAAGCATCTTCACCTCCAGAGCGACCACCTTCCGCCTCCAACTCCCTTTAAGGTCTTGACTTATGGCGGCCTAATTGCCGGTTATTTCCTTACGTTCGGTGGTATTGTCTCGGACTACTCCATATATCACGACCCAGAGGGACCCAAGTACGTATAGCGCATGCCCATTAATCTGTTGAGCTTGCGGCTTCCCCCGACCCCTGTAGACCCGGCTCACAATTCGAGCAGATGGAAGATCTGTGTGTACACATACCTTGGCCTCCTCACATCGTCTGTTCCGCTTCTCATTCTCGGCGCCGCCATCGGCGGGGCCATCCCCAATGTGGACTCGTGGGCGGCTGCGTACGAGATCTCGGGCATCGGCGGAGTCATCCTCGAGATGCTAGCGCCGTCCGGCGGGTTCGGCAAGTTCATCATGGTCTTGCTAGCTCTCAGTGTCATCGGGAATATCGCAATGAGCATGTACAGCATGGCTCTTAACCTCCAATTGCTGCTTCCCTTCTTGGCCAAGGTCCCCCGCTTCTTCTTTACTATCGTCACCATGGCCATCATGATCCCCCTCGCCATCCGTGTCGCCGAGGAGTGGGAGACGAGCCTGCAGAATCTCCTCGCTCTTATCGGATACTGGGCCGGCTGCTTTGACGCCGTGCTGATCGAGGAGCTTGTCGTGTTCCGCAGGATGGACTATACGACCTACGACCATGCTATCTGGAACGTCGGCCGGAAGCTTCCCAGCGGCATCGCGGCCATACTTGCGTCTCTTATCAGCATGGCCCTTGTGATTCCCGGGATATCCGCGGTCTGGTACACAGGGCCTATCGCAAAGACGACAGGGGATATTGGGTTCGAGATGGCTTTCATCGTAACCGCCATATTCTATTTCCCGCTCCGATGGCTTGAGGTCAAGTGGCGTGGCCATCTCTGATTTTGCTTGGCTTGATTTAGTCATAACCTTGTATGATTTAGCGATCAAATGCTTGGCTTCTGTGACAGATATAATAGCGATGACCATGAATCATGATACCCTGCCTTGAGTAAGAACATAGGTTCCTGTCTTATTCTCTTCGCTGTTTTGCAAGAATTCTATTTCGCCGTGAAATACTCCATGTATGAAGAAATCAACGCCGGTTCACGGCCCGTATTCTATTGGAGCAGCTTTCCGCACATGACAACGTCCTCCCCCAGCGGGTGCCACGACACACCAGTGAGCCGAACCGCAGCGGCCGACTCGTCAGCCCTGTCGGGAGAAACCACAACGCCGCCCTTCCCCAGCCATGTCGGCGCAATAGTGACGATGACCGAGTCGACGAAGCCGCTGTTCGGCCCCTCGAGGAGCGAGTTGATGACGTGGCCCCCGCCCTCGACCATGACACTACCCAGGCCCTCCCGCGCCAGCGCCCGGAGGACGTCCGCCCAGGCGAAACGGCCGCCGCCGCCGCCGCCGCCCCCTGACGGCTCCAGGAAGATGTACTTCCCGCCTCGCCTCTTTAGCGCCTCCCTCCTCTCGGCCGCCACCGCGGCGGCCCGGTCCCGGCGTGCGATAACGAAGGGCGCCAGGCCGGCGCCCTCGCCCGCCAGCCGCAGGACCCTGGTCTCGTCGCCGACGGGCCAGCGCGCGCTCGGGTCGAGCACGATGGGCCGCGGCTGGTGGCCGGCGCCGGCGCCGGGCGGGAGGGCGAGGCGGCAGTTCAGGCCCGGGTCGTCGGCGATGGCGGTGCCGGCGCCGACTAGGATGGCAGCGTGGCGGCTGCGGAGGAAGTGCGTCATGGCCTTGGACTGCGGGCCCGAGAGGGCGGTGCGGACACCCGGGGCGAGGGCGAGGGAGGAGTCGAGGGAGGTAGCGAAGGTGAGGGTTACGAAGGGGAGGTCGTCGCCTCCGGTGGTGTTCGCATCCTGGTGGAGAGGTGGAGGTAGATGAGGCTCGAGTTTGAGTGCCTCTTCAGGGGGGAAGTGAAGTTTCTCGGTCATTGTGGGGCGGCGCGGATCTGTGCTACGGCCGGCTCCGGGGTTTGACGGCTCGGCTCTTCAAGACGGGGTTTCAACGCGAATGGAGGATCCGATGCCGGGGGCTTTCCTGCTTTTCGGAGCCAAACAACCGTGTCTGTCACACAAGAGACATGCTACAGCACTTCTAAGTGTTATCTCGTAGTCTAAGCTGCTAGGGTACCTAGGTGCTTATGTTGCTAGAGGGCGTGTGTTTGGACCATTGAGGCGTATGTATGGAAAAGTGGAGTTTTGAGACAGTGAACACTATGGGCCGCCTATACGGAAGGCTACAGTGCACACTGTCTCAAAACCCCGGGGAGGGTCGGGGGCGGGTATCTAGGTGTGAAAACGTCGAGTCTATGGCTGAGCCGGATCTTGGGCCTCATTAGAAAGTAATATTATTAGTATTCTTTTCAGCGACGCCATGGTTGTGTGCAATCTTCTCTTCTCTACCATACGATCAAATCTGTTCCGCTCCTACGCAGTTCATATATAGGTACCTACCTATCCACTCGTCTGGCATAACACTTGAAGAGGGTTAGGGTTAGGATTAGCGGCAATAATCCGTACCCAGTCCGGCACTTTGAGTGGCATTGTGGCGCAGCGCCTTCCACGCAATCCGACGACGCCATGTGAAAGCTGGCTGAGACAAGGAGGGTTTGGCCTTCTTGACTATCTTTGCGCCCTTCTTTCTTTCCTTAATTCTTCAGTTTCTACCAGAGAAGGAGCAAGACTTGATTTCCAGCCATCATCAAACCTGGTATTGGGGCCAGCCATACCCAGTCCCGGAGTTCAGCCAAGCCTCCCTTTCAGCTTAGACTCGACACCACCTTGGGCAGGCAGTCTAGACTCAACCTAAATCGCTCCGCTAGAGCACGGAACCTCGCCACACAGCCACCCCGGGTTTCCCGCATCTTCTCCCCCAAGCTCTCCATCCCCGGACCTTTTACCTTCGTTTTGATTGCGCGTTATCCTGCATCCACCCGGCCATCTATAACACCGACCAACCTCAAAGCGTCGCCTCGCCTCGTCAGATCTCTCACTCGGTCCACCCTCGATTCCCTGGTCTCTCAGCGCCCCTAATAAAACCAAAAAAATTGAAAAGAAACCCCTACTTCCTCATCGGCAATCAATCCGCCCCCGCCGCCCTGACAACCATGTCCAACAAATACGACCAACCCCCAGCCTACGCGCCCGCAGGAGGCGGTCCGGCGACCCCGCAACCCGCCTACCAGGGGTACCAGAACCAGGGGTACCAGCAGGGCGGCCCGGCGGGAGGCCAGGGCGACTACTACCAGCCGGGGCCATCGATGGGGTACTACCAGCAGCAGCAGCCCGGCTACGGACCGCAGCAGGGGTACGGACCGCAGGGATACGGACAGCAGTATGGGCCACCGCAAGGCGCCTACTACGGCCAGCAGCAGCAGCAGGGATACTACCAGGACCGGCGGTCGGGACCGGGATGCCTCGAGGCGATGCTGGCGGGTCTGGCTTGTTGCTGTTGCTTGGATTGTTTGCTGTTCTGAGCGGAAGAGGAAGAAGGAAGTAATGAAAAGAAGGGGGGCCGGCGCGGGGGGGACCGCTACCAAGCCGATTTGCCGGCGCAAGAGTGAGGGGGGCACGGTTTGGTTATGGCTCGGCTGTCGCGTCTGTAGCCGATGGGTAATGCGATGCGCCACACCCTCGTTGGTGAGACGCCCGTCGAGCTGTTGCCGGCGGCGCATTTGTATTAAGCGATAAGGTCGTGTTTTCAAAGGCGAATGTATGTATGTGCGTTAGGACCGGGAGTCGTGGACTGGAAAGGAGGGCATTCATTGAAGGCGAGGAAGGGGCTGGGGGTTTTGGCGTACCGGCTGCATTCTTGATCGCTCAAAGCTCGTCTGGGACAGCAGCGTCGAGGGTGATTTCTCTCTGGGAGTGGACACGGCAACACAGTAGCCACTAGGTTTGTACCTCCAACAACATATTTCTTCTAGTATCACTTATAATCTCAATCCAAGCTGTTAGGGGGAGGTGCTTTTCCTCGGGAGTTAGAGTTTAATATATATATATATATATATATATATATATAATCTCTTCGTTGACTGTCTAATACCGGCTTTTTCTTGATGCCCCTTGCCCCGTCCACCGCTGATACAGTACAGAAGACTCAAATAAACTAGGGGGGTCATGAGAGCCCCGCATATATCTTGTCGAAGTTCTCCTCAGCGTCCTTGACGCAATCGTTGGCATACATCATCTTCTGCACGTCGGGGCTCGCCCACTTGTCCGGCACGGAGCCGTTATTGCGGTGCTCGGCAAACTCGCGGTCCCGCTCCTCCCGCGCCTTGCCCTCGCCCAGGTGCAGCGTCCGGCCGGAGAAAGCGGCCAGGTTGACGAGGGCGTAGGTGTGGTCCCTCCTCAGCAGCTCGTACACCTTGAGCACCTTGCTGATGGTGGCCGGATCCGAATTCGGCGCGCGGCTCACGCACTCGGCCAGCACGGCGCCGTCCTCGATCGCCATCGCGGCCCCCTGACTAAGGTGGGGCAGCGTGGGATGGCAGGCGTCGCCCAGGAGGGCCACACAACCGTGAACCCAGGTCATCAGGGGCTTGTGCGCGCGCAGCTTCCATTCGCAGACTTCACCGTCGGGGACGAGGTCCAGCATCCGGTGCACCATGGGGCAGAAGTCTTCGAAAACTTTGAGCATGGCGCTCTTGGAACCCTTGGTGGTGTAAGTGGCGTTGGTGGCGGCGGCAAAGTTGTCGTCGGGTTGCGCTGTCGACAAATTGTATATCTGCTTGTCGCTGACCGGGTAGGCGATGATGTGCCGCCGGGGCCCTATCCACCGGACGACGGTGTCACAGTCAATGAGCTTGAGCATCTCGGGATCCTTTTCCATATCGGAGCGCTTGAGCATGATCCGGTAGGCCGCTTGGCCCGTGTCCTCCTCCTCCTCCTTCGTGCCCAACTGGGCGAGCATCTGACTCCGTGTGACGGATTTGATTCCGTCTGCGGCAAGAAGGATGTCGGCCTCGACCTGATACGGCTCGCCATCACGGGACTTTACTGTGAGGATGGGCTGGGGCTCGTACGAGTCGATCTTTATTAGCGCCGTCGAGAAATGGAACCTGATAGCACCCTCTCTCTTGCACCCGTTGAAGAGCCCGCCGGCTAGGGAAGATCGATGTCCTGTACAGTGGGGGTAGCCGTACTTCTGGGTGACATCTGACATGTCCACCTGGGCTAGCTCAACGTCCGTGCTGCCCTCTGATATCTCGTTAGCCGGGAGCCCAGTAGCGGGGGGTGACTTGCAACAGAAGCGGAGAACTGCGGTGCTGGTAGTTACCTCTTATGCTGGCGCCCTTCACATCTGTGGACTCCTTTGCGATGTCATCCCAGACGCCTAACCGATCCAGCACGCGGGCAACGTTAGGCGGCATCTGGATGCCCGCGCCAACGAAGCCGAGATTTGAAGCCGTCTCGAATACATCTATGTGCTTGAATCCCTTTCTTGCGAATGCCAAGGCGGTTCCCAGGCCTCCCATCCCTTGAAGGACATTAACATGAGTTGTCTAACTACATCAATTGGGGGCGGGATGTCGTACCGGCGCCAATAACGGCGATGCGCAAGTCCTTGGGGTCTGTCATTGTTGGCGACGGGTCACAGCTGCTCACTTGGACAGGTCAAGATGATGGCAAGTTGTTGGCCTTGTGGGATATTGTAGTCCACGTTCTGGAAGGGGTAGTTGTAGGGAGGCATGGCCGGTTAAAAGGAAGCGAGCCTCTATCGGCATCCAGTTCTCTCGGTTTCCGCCTCTTCGGCACCTATTCAGATGGGCTCTAGGCCCGTGGCAGATGTGCCACTGCTGGGCTGCTGGCAGTGAAGTGTGGGGTGCCGGTGAAGGTCTGCCGCCGCCCTGCGGGGGTAATTTTGGGGATTTGGTGCTAACATTCATGAGGGGAACTTGTTTGGTCAGGGCCGGGATTTAGCGGTTAGGATTCACGGTTGCTTGTTGCAGTGGGGAAAATAGATATGCCGCCACAAGACTTATAGGAGTTTTCCCGAATGACATCAGCGTCCCCTATTTTCCCCTATTTCTGATCGCCTAGTACCGGTCGGTACGGGAGTATGTAGTACGTAGCACCCGCCCTCATTCCCGTCGCTGACTTCTGCAGGCATCCTGTGTGGCCAGTGACGAGTGACGGGAAATACCGTACCTACAGTACTGCGTAGTGGTATGAATGGAACTGGGGCTCGGCATCAGATGTTCACCCTCACGGCACATCTACATGCGTATGCGTACACGGGGCGAGCCGGCGGCGGTCGTCAAACAGACAAACCGTTTCTTTGCGAACAAGTGGAACTCGGAAATTGCTGGTCAAGTCAAGCGAAGGGCTGCCGCTGGCCGACAGTTTCCCACTTACAGTTGCCACTGGAACCTGGGGACTGGGTACTCACTTCTCCCGTATTATTTGGTGTTTATAAATGGCTTGCCAAATCTGATTATCTGACGGCGATGCAGGACAACCCAGGATGAAAATAGAAGAAGCGCGCGTCTATATGTAATTGTGTTCATACCTAGTACCTACCTATCTAGGCGTGTCAGGCTGGGAGGTGACAACAGCCCAATGAGGCGCCAGTGATTTAACTTTGCACTGCCCCTGGTTTAGCAGTGACTAGCTAAGTCAATATGATTCGCTACGAAGCACCCACCCCGTTCCCGCCCATACCATCTTAGGGGTCCTGCAGCCGCAGACGTCATAGCCTCAGGCCAATCAGGGTGGCGATGGAATCCGGTTCCTGTTTCAGCTACAACATGGAAACTACCTAGAGACAGGAACCAAGGAACGGGTACGGCCATTCATCACCACTCCCACCAGTCACGCATAGCTCTTGGCAGGTATAATGCATCCTTTAACCCCCTCGAAAGAGCTGCCACAACAAAACCCCTATCCTCCCCGTGCTTTATTCTAAATTACACCTCAAAGCCCGTCGAGAAAGGCCTATGATCTCGACCAATTGACTCTTCTGGGGAGAGACAAAGGCTTGCCTGGAGCACCCCGGGCATTCTTCACAGCATACATATCTGCCCGTCCTTTCTGCACCCTTGACACTGTCCTGCAGAGACCAGGACATCATTCTCAATCATGTCCTCGACAATGAGCAGCATAGCTGCCAGGGCGGCCAAGAATGAGAATGCCGCAGGTTCTGCCCAAGGATCGAATGGAATCAGCCTGGTTGCCTTCCTGACTGCCCTGGCGGCCTCGTTGATTGTCTTCGGCGTCCAGATGAGCTTCTTCCTGCTCTTGAGGAATAAGTTGGCGCGAATCTTGTGCGTAACCGTCCGTTTCCAAGTGCCCGTGTATGTGCCCAGGCTAACCTACACTCTTCCTAATCAGCAAACCGAAAACTTACCTCGTACCCGAGCGCGAACGGACTGATCCTCCGCCGGCCAGCCCCTGGGGTCTCGTCTCCGCCCTGCTCAAGTTCGACGACCGGGAAATCATCAAGAAGTGTGGGCTCGACGCCTATTTCTTCCTAAGATATCTTCAGACCCTCCTCATCATATTCATCCCCATAGCACTCATTGTCATCCCCGTCCTCATCCCGATCAATTACGTGGGCGGCATTGGCCAATCCTTCGTCAGCAACATAACCTCCGGCAGCAATATAACCTCCGGCAGCGGCGCATCAACAATCAGTGGCTTGGATACATTGGCTTGGGGTAACCTTGCCCCCAACCACCAAAAACGGCGCTGGGCCCACCTTATTCTGGCCCTCGGGGTCATTATATGGGTCTGCTATGTCTTCTTCGCGGAGCTTAAAGTATACGTCAAGATTCGGCAGGACTATCTCACCAGCGCAGAGCATCGGTTGCGAGCTTCAGCCAATACCGTCCTTGTCAGCGAGATTCCATCCAAGTGGTATACCGAGGATGCATTGAGAGGGCTGTTTGACGTGTTTCCCGGAGGTATTAGAAATATCTGGCTTACGCGGGATTTCACGACACTGCTCAGCAAGATTCACAAGCGCGACGCCATCCACAAGAAACTGGAATCTGCTGAAAGCGACTTGATCCGTGCCGCGAAGAAGAAGCAGCTAAAGGTTAGGGCTGCCGAGGAGAAAAAGGCCCGAAGGAAGCACCGGAGCGGGGCGCTGAGCAAGGCCGAGAAGGCCGAGAGAGACCGACAAGAGGACGAAGAGGCGAGACGACAGGCGGAGAGCCAGGGGGGCCTGAACGCCGGGGATCATGAACAGGTGCCCCACAACGTATCGACCACGGTCGACGACATGGAGGGAACGGACATTGGGCTTGACGGAGAGCAGACCGGCTTTACCTCCAGAGTTCCCATCTTCGGGGAAGGTCTGTCCAAAGTTGGATTCGGCCTCAAGAAAGGTGTGGCCGCTGTGGGGGGAGCCGGCCAAGGGATTATGGGGGGAGCGAAGGCCCTCCAAAGGGGGGTGGACGGCGAGTTGGAAAGGACCGGCGGCTTCGACTTCATCCGGAGTGACAAGGATCAGCTTCCATCTGCGCCCCCGACGAGAGGGTCCGATCGCCCAATGGCTCGAGTAGTAGATGAAGATGAGGAGCCGAAGATGTCATTCGCTTCGGAGAGCCCACTTCATGCTTCTACAAGTCGGCATGGCTGTTCCATGTCGGCCGTGTCTCGTGAGTCGGCGCAGCAGCAGAAGCAGGACGTGGACCCTAGAACATGGGGTAATACGACCCGGAAGGCTACAAACTTGGACGACATGTTCGTCACGGAAAAGACAAGGTGGTGGCAGTTCTGGAAGCCCCCAACTGGCGGTTACGCATCTCCCATCCCTCAAGGCGCCGAGGGGGACGAGTACTTCAAGGAATCTGACATCGGAAAGAAATCCTTTTGGGAGAAAACGAAGTCGGTCATCCCTTTCCTAGGCGGTAAGGAGGTGGAAGCCATAAGCTATCCCGATGCTTTCTCGGGCGACAGCGAGCATCCCAAAGAAGAGGGTGCTGAGTGGTCGAAATGGGTCAAAGAATCCGATCGACCACGCCACAGGTTGCCATTGTTTGACTGGACTCCGGGCTGGCTTCCCGGCTTGCCGCTGGTCAACAAGAAGGTCGACACCATTTATTGGTGCCGAGCCGAACTTGCCAGGCTGAACGTGGAAATCGAGGAAGATCAACGGCATCCCCATCGGTATCCAGCAATGAACTCAGCGTTTATTCAGTTCAACAACCAGGTCGCCGCCCACATGGCTTGCCAGTCGGTGACTCACCATGTTCCGAAGAACATGGCGCCTCGGATGGTCGAGATCTCGCCGAACGACGTCATTTGGGATAACATGGCAATCAAATGGTGGGATCAGTGGGCGAGGAAGGGCATCGTGCTGGCCATCGTCTGCGGCATGATCATACTCTGGGCCATCCCCGTCGCCTGGACCGCGTCCCTCTCTAACATAGACGCGCTGATTCGGGAATATTCGTGGCTGGGCTTCCTCAAGACCAATGACGCCGTGTTCAACGCCGTTAAGGCCATTGCTGGCGTCTTACCTGCCATTGTGCTGGCGATCCTGTTGTCGCTTGCTCCTCTCCTACTCGACCTCCTAGCCGGGTTCCAGGGAGCCAAGACCGGCTCGGAGAAGTCCGAGGTTGTCCAGATTTACTACTTCGGCTTCCTCTTCGTCCAGGTCTTCCTGGTCGTCTCCATCACGGGCAGCACGTTGCAGACCCTCACAAGCGTCGGGAGCGACATCACGAGCACCCCTAATCTCCTGGCCAAGAATCTACCCAAGGCAGCCAACTACTTCTTCTCCTACATGATCCTACAGGCCCTGTCAACCAGCTCCGGAACCCTGCTGCAAATCGGCACCCTCGCCGTCTGGTATATCCTGGCAAGGATCCTGGACAACACGGCAAGAAGCAAGTGGAGAAGGAATACGGAACTGCCCACGGTCAAATGGGGCTCGTTCTTCCCCGTCTACACGAACTTTGCCTGCATTGCCCTCATCTACTCGGTCATTGCTCCGCTGATTTCCATCTTTGCCATCATCACGTTCAGCCTCTTGTGGGTTGCCAATCGCTACAACATGCTCTATGTGACCCGATTCCGGACCGATACTGGCGGCGTGCTCTACCCGCGGGCGATAAACCAGACGTTCACAGGGCTCTACGTCATGGAGCTCTGCCTCATCGGCCTTTTCTTCCTGGTCAGGGACGAGTCGGGTAACAGCGTCGCCTTCCCGCAAGCAATCATCATGGTCGTGGCCCTGGTTCTGACTGCCCTGTATCAATACCTCCTGAACGCGTCTTTTGGGGCCCTGCTCCGGTACCTGCCGATCACCTTCGAGGACGAGGCCGTGCTGCGCGACCAGGCGTTCCAGCTTGCGCAAGATCGGCGCCTCGGGCTCGCTCCGGAGGACGACGAAGCCGCCACGCTCAACAATAATTTTGATAATAACTCCCTCAATGACGAAAGTAACGACATTGAGTTGCGCAAGATCGACCAGCAAAAACGCAGCAACACCAGCGGTACGTCGAAGCTGGGCAAGATGAACCCTGTCCGGGGAATCGTCCACGCCGGGACGTGGGCCGCCCGGGGGGGGAGACACATCCAGCAGCGAACCTTTGGCAAGGCCGAGGAGAACCTCAAGACGGCGGCGGTGTATCGCCGGCAGCAGCGGCAGAAGGACCTGGAGGCGCAGCGAGCCATAGGCGACGCCCTGTACGGCGGGTACCACGATGAAATCGAGGACCTGACGCCCGAGGAGCGCGACGCGCTGGTGCGCAAGGCCTTCCAGCACTACGCGCTGCGGGCGCGGCGTCCGACCGTCTGGATCCCGCGCGACGACATGGGCGTCAGCGACGACGAGATCCGGCGGACGACCGACTTCAGCGAGCACATCTGGATCAGCAACGAGGGCACGGCGCTGGATACCAAGGTCCGGGTGCTGTACGGCAGGAACCCCCCCGACTTCTCGGAAGTGGACCTCATTAACTTGTAGAAGAACTTTACGACTGCCCAGCGTTTTCCATATATTTAGATTAGCATCACATCGGCTGCATTCTTTCCCTCTCTTTTTGCATTTGGCTTTTTGATCCTTTTCTAGGCAGAGACCTCATGCCACCTGCATCAGCAGCATTTCTTGGTGGCAGTATTTGCATGGAGAAGAATACCCCGGAGTACTATTTATTTTTACCCATTTATTCCACAATTGTTTTCCTGTCCCATCATGACATATCGGGTGATATATATGTGTGTGTGTGCGCGCGCGTGTGTGTATGTGTGTGTGCGTGTAATCTATCACTCGTATACAATGACTGGTTACCGTCTACCACGATACCCCCACAATTGATGTAAGACGAGCCCTGCGTATATCACAGCTGTTTGCATGCACGTCATGTAGTACTGTAGCCGGCCAGCTGAGTAACCAGGTGATCTTCACGACGAAATCGTTAATATTTCCGTCGAATTTGGGCACCCTCGAGGCTCTTCACGTTGTCTAGATGCATTAGCGGCCCAACCGCCACAGTTGTCACTCTCTGGCGTCCTTCGAGGACATCTTGGCAATGACTAAAGGCGATTGACGTTCTAGTGGTTTCATGCAAATTTGAGAGGATATCTCATATCAGGGGAGGTCTACTCTGTTGTATATGATGCAAATAGATCAATTCCTTGTGACGATGTTTATAAAACTACTTCAAATATGACAAAGTAAATAGACGTCTATTTAACTGAAGGTTATAAGTTGAGAAAAGGAAAAAAAGAAGCTATCAAGGGTAGAACACCAAGAGGATTGATCAGGGTGTTGTCATTGGTCAGCAGCCAATCGCATGTCAGGTCGTGACAATGTATCGTTCACCTAATGGGGCGTTTTAGTTGTTGTCCCCGACACCGTCCAATCACCATTGTTCGTCAATTAAGCTCCTTGAGCCTCAATATCAAAATTGATTTGATAGTAAAGAATGGCAAATCGGACGTTCTACTATTACAACTCCAGGATGAATCGTCGGATCCCCAACTATCACAACCTCGGGTGGGATCATCACCAGTCAGTCGTCTGTGCCTCGTGCCCAGAAAAAAGGGGTAAGGTCTGAGCCCCAGATCTAGAGCGAGTCCGAGCCGGCCCTCTTCCCCAGCACCCCCTCGCCGCTGCCGGGGCCTCCCTCGGCAACGACCACCGGCGCGGCGGCGGCGTAGTCGTCGTCGCCGGACAGCTCCTCGAGGGTCTTGCGCTTGGTCTCCTTGATCAGTAGGGTGGAGAAGCAGCCGAGGAGCATGAAGAGGGCGTAGATCTCGAAGACGTGGTTCATCCAGGGGTTGGGGTTGTCCTTTGTGCCGCCCGTCGTGCGCAGCGGGGCGATGGCCCCCTGGCCTATTATCGAGCCGATCTTGCCGGCCGCGGCCGAGATGCCGTGCGAGGTGGACCGGTACCGGGTCGGGAAGCACTCGCCCGGTACGATGAAGGTGGTGGAGTTGGGGCCGAAGTTGAAGAAGAACTGGGCCAGGACGTAGATGGCGAGGAGGCCGTTGGGCGAGAGGTGGTGATAGGCGAAGCCCATGACGATGAAGAGGATCGTCAGGATGAAGAAACCCATCAGCTGGATCGGCTTGCGGCCGATGGTGTCGACGGTGGCGACGGTGACCCAGTAGCCCGGGACAGCACCAGCGAGAACGATGATCATGTTGCCGACTGCCGTGTTGAAGAGGTACTGGTAAGTGCTGGTCGCGCCTGCGGTTGAGTAGCCGATGACTCCGAGGATGATGGCGTTGTTTAAGGAGAGACCGTAATAGGCAATATCTAGGAAGCACCACGACAGAGAGGTTCTATAGAGCCACGTTAGTTGATGCACTCTTGGTGTTCTATTGGGAGGGAGGGAGGAGGGGCCCGGGACCGGCTACTCACCCTGCTAGAAGCTTGCCGTTCTTAGGCTTCGAGTAGTGCCGGAAGAAATCACCCCAGCTGGCCTTCGGAACAGTGAGGTGCTCGATGGCTTGTCTCTGGGCGGTGACGCGGGATATTTCGTCCGGGTTGCCCTCAGGCTTGCCGCCAATGTAGGCCTTGATATCATCGTCGGCCCTCTCAACGTCACGAGCGACATCGAACGTGTATCGAGGCGTCTCGGGGATGGTCAATCGGTAGTAGAGGGCGATGCAGCCCGGGACGGCACCGAAGCCCACCACAATTCGCCACATCTTGTCAACTGCCTCGGAGCAGCCACCGGTGCAGGTAGCTGGCTTGCTGGATGTGATTAGGGACTCCTTGAAGCCAAGGGTGACGAAGAGCATGACGAAAGCGGCGGTCAGCTGGCCGAGTCCCTGCATGGCAAACACGGAGCCCATCATAGCGCCTCGCCATTTCGTCGTGGCGAACTCGGAAGTGATGATGCTGGACAGGGGGTAGTCACCACCAATGCCAACGCCCTGTTCATTTTCGGTCAGCTTGCAAACGTCCTTGTCCAGACCGGAGTACTCACCATCAGGACACGCCAGAAAATGATCAGGCCGACGACGCTGCATGCGGGAGAATCTGCACTCAGAGCCTGGCCCAGAGTTGCGAAGATGATGACTATCAACTCCAGTCCGTACATCCTCTTTCGGCCGACGATATCTGCAAGAGCGCCGAAGCCGAGCTGTCCGATAACGGTACCCGCAGAGGTGGCCAGCTTGATGGCGGTGTCGGATGTAGTTGGCATGGCGCCGGTCCCAGGGTAGTAGACAATGCCCAGCATGAGGGTCAAGAGGGAGACGACGAAGATGTCGTATGAGTCCGTGAAGAAGCCAACGCCGGCGACGACAATGGCTCTCACGTGGTACCAGCCGAACGGGGCCTTGTCGACTTCGGCGAGGGCGAGCCTTCTTCGCTCATTGGGATCCTGGATGTGGAGGAAATCATTGTGGAAGTTGTGGTAGGCATTGTTGCCGCCCGAGGTCTTCTGGGCAAAGGAGGCCGCCGGGGGCGAGGACGACGGATCAGTCTCGGCCATGTCGACAACGCCGGTCGTCACTACTTGGGTTTGATCGCTGGGCTGAGGGGCAACAAGTAACCTGATAACAGCTGACCTGGAAACAGACAAGAGAGGCAGGCTACGGGCAGAAAGGCTCAAGCAACTGGCAAGAGAGAGACGAAGAAGGAACAACGACAAGTCGCGAGCTGGGGGGGGGAGGGTAGCCATTTAATCTTCTTCAGCAGGCACGTTGCGAAAATAAAATAGCTACCCCCAAGCTACCCCAAAAGTCGCGCGTCTAGGATACGGCGGGACTGAGTGCTCCCATTGCTTACCCCCTCCAGCCCAAGGTTGCAAAGCTGCATGTGAGGGAGGGTGTGGATCCTGGACCTATAGTGGAGGTGCATGAAGCCAAGTTGAGTCAAGCTTTGGATCGTAGAGCTTGTTTACGGCCGCTCCGAACCAAGCATTGGCGTACCAGCAGCCTTCGCTTCTGGGAAACCACCTGACTTCCAGAAGCCTTCACCGAAAGGCGCAGGGTTGCCCATTCCTGACATTCCTCTCTCGTGATTCCTCGCCGCTTCCCTGTTCGAGCGAGATTACCCTGCCTGGAGAACATATTATATCGCCAACGATTAGACGGGAATCCCTGGTTAACAGTCACCGTGGACTCTAGTGACTTTGGAAGTTGTCTCCAAGGGGGCCCCTGTTCTCCCCTTTGGGTAAGGCCGTCCGTTGATCGCGTTGGCCGAGACTAGCATAGTAGAGTCTGCTGAACTACAGCTGGCCCGCAGTCTTTACAAGCTCTCATGAGCTCCTCGAAATGGAGCGTGGGGGGAAGCCAATGTGAGTGAGCTGGGGTTCAAGCTGTTCCCGCCACAACGAATGACAGAGGGATATCAGGCACGTTCTTGAGCCTCGAGATGCGGTTCGTTCGCTTGGATCCACCCACCAGGGGCGATTGGCCAATGGCGGGAAATCTCGCGCTAAAGCGGGATCTGCCGTGCCAAGCTTGACCAACAGGGTTTGAGGATTGTGACACGAGCTCCAGGGTGTCGGGTCCACCGAGGTGTCACGTGCGCAATATTCCGCTTCGGTCAACATTATTGGACGTCACTCGCTTGGGACCTGAAGACTCGTCCTGCACCGAAGCCCATCAGAAGTTCGGTGCTTCTATAGTTCGGAGCTTCTATCGTATCGCATTGGATGGTTGGCAAAATGTAACCCAGCCTCTTTCCCTCATACAGTGCTGGCTAGATCCACCTCTACCCATAGAGGATACCGAGGTGGGCTGTGATGGAGACGCTGTTCGGCCAATGTCATGTCACTGACAAGCATTAATCCGTCACACCCGCGGAAAGGCAAACCAACACTCAGCCCACACTGCACAGCGTGGCTGCATCAGACTTCAACTATCCTATCCTCGTCATCTTCAATCTCCCCACGTGCCGCACCCTCAGGATCCTCTTCGTCCCTCATCAAAACCTGCACCAACCGGTCGCAGGCTTCCTGAACACCCTCGTCCTCGACCTGGAGATGGGTTTCTCGGATAATCGGATACACACTGACTTCCCTCATTAGATCCCGGCCTTCCCTGGTGCTTGTCAGAAGCGTCAACGTCTCGACATGTGTCTGGATGATATTGTGATCCGAATCTCTTTGTTTATCTGGCGGCAGGAGCTGTAGGTCTGGCAGCATCGCCAGGGTTTCCTCTTCGTCGTATTGCTCCCCGCCAACGATGGGCAGCAGGATATATGGCAAAATATCGATCTCATCCACGGCCAAAAACGAAGGATGGGAGGGGATGTCGAAGGCGACATTCTTGATCGTGCTCGCCACCCCTTTTCTCCGTACGTCTGACTTGTGCTCCGTGAATACTTTTAACTTGGTCAGCGGAATGACGTCGTCATATGCCTGCTTCTTGATGAAGAACTGGCGGATCTCAGCGTGCTTCGCGAGATCTGCGAACAAGTATGCGAGATAGTCGAAATCGGCATGCTTGTTGTATGTCCCGTCAGACCCCTTAACAAAAAGATCAAGGAGTTGGTTTAATGTCAGATCGTCCGATCCCAGACCGTCGGGACAGCTTTGCCTTCGGTCTAATATTCGCTTAAGTGACTCCCACTTTGCCAGATTGGCGAGTAGCATCGACAGGAGGTTTGCATTGGGCTCGGATCGGTCCTGGTACAGACGCACCGCATTAGCTACCGAGCCTAAGGGGTCTCATATGTTTCCTCCCCAGCCATCATCGACATACAGTCACATGGTCTAGGACCACTTCAAGGAACTTGTCGTCGGTTGCAAGATTTTCGAGGATTTCGCCATCAGCGGAAAGGTTAATGAGGATCGTGATGACATGCTCGGCTATTTTCTGTGCGACAGCGTTCAGCACAAACAGATTATCAAGGCGAATGCTTCCCAGGGGGGCCGCACAGGTTGGTCTCGGACTAAGAGTTTTAGATGGCGGATAGGCTTAAGCTCATCCGTTTTGAAGACCGAAGGTTGCGCTGTTGAGTAAGGCACAAGATTTTCAACAGCAAGCAGCCGGATTTGGGGATTTGGATGGGCTATGAACCCCACAAGCTAAATTCGAGAGTTAGCCCAGAGATTTGTCTCATAATTTGAACATCTTACCTCTTCGAGTTCTGTGGGCATGTCGAGAAAAGTAGTATGGCTGACACACGATTTGCTATCTGTTGCGAATTGCGACTAAATTTTCTGATGATGATGATCGAGTTGAATGAAGATAGGTGGGGTCGATTTGGCGGGGTTGAAGACCGGCAGAATTCTGTTCACCGCCTGCAGTTTCGACCTAACAGCGCTTATCGTAGGGCGGTCAAGACCCTTGCAGGGGAATTTTTCTGCATTTTCCCAGATACGATTTTCCTAGCCAGGACGGTGGGATTCGATAGCAGGAGCACACACACCATCACCATCACAAAATTCAACATGCCAAAAGCAACCACTCCCACAGCGGGTCGCCATGGCCGGCGACACAACCCCCTCGAAGAGGACATATTAGCTACAGGAATCCTCAAATCAAAACCGTCAAAGGGCAAGAAGCGCGAGGACGACGACGATAAGGCAGGCTTCGTGGAGTCCAAGGCCTCGAAACAGATTTTGCGCCTCGGCCGTGAGCTTGTTGAGGAGGATCGTCAAGAGAACACAGCCGCCCCATCCATCCGAAGCGCATTCGATCCAGATGCCGCACGAAGGCTTGGCCTAGACGACGACGAGGAAATTGAGGAAGTTGTCTTCGAAGACGACACCTTTGGCGGCGATGACGAACTGCAGGAAGAAACCGGTGAAGAAATCGAGGTGGACGATCTTGAAACATTCAATAAATTCCTACCATCTGAACAGGAAAACCCACTGTCGGGGTGGCTGGCGGATGGGGATGCCGACGAGGCCGCAGCGCAAGCGCAGGGGTCGGGAACAAACTTGGCAGATCTGATATTAGCAAAGATTGCGGAACACGAAGCAAAGAGCCAGAATATCAATGATGCCTCAGCAGCGCCCTTCGAAGAAGACTACGAATTGCCACCGAAGGTGGTAGAGGCATTCACCAAGTAGGTCCATTGGATCCGTGTCTGAGGTTACGAGGATGTGGATTTAACATTGCCGAAGAATAGGGATGATCCTGTCGCGGTATAAGTCGGGCCCCTTACCAAAGGTCTTCAAGATACTCCCCACGCTCCCCCACTGGGAAGACATTCTACTCGTAACGAAACCGGAAGAATGGTCCACAAATGCCTGGTAAGTGCCCCAGAGCAGGGTAGACGGGATTGGGTTGCTCCGGAAAGGTATCCTGAGTGCTTACATCTATTTTAATGCAGTTATGCCGCAACCCGCATTTTCGTCTCATCGAAGCCCTTGGTGGCTCAGAAGTTTGTCGAAATGGTAATTCTGGAAAGGGTCCGCGATGACATTCATGAGACTCACAAATTGAATGTTCATCTGTTCAACAGCTTGAAAAAGTCAGCTCTGCTTCCATCTTCTGGAATGGGATATCTGCTAACTTGACCAGAGCCCTCTACAAACCTGCGTCCTTTTTCAAGGGTTTCCTCTTTCCCCTGATCGGAAGTGGAACCTGCACCCTCCGGGAGGCGCACATCATATCTGCCGTCATCTCTAGGATATCGATACCGGTTCTGCACTCAGCCGCCGCTATCAAGGGGCTGTGTGATATCGCAGCTCAGGAGGTTTCTCAGGGCACAGAGGGAGGTGGTGCCACCAACGTCTTCCTCAAGACCCTGATCGAGAAGGGCTACGCACTACCGTGGCAGGTAATCGACAGCCTGGTCTTCCACTTCTTGCGTTATCGCAGCGTGGATGTCGGGACTGTTCGTGAAGCCTGGGCGACGAGTAACGGCGCGAAATCCTTGCCTGTCATCTGGCACCAGTGCCTTCTGGCCTTCGCTCAACGATATCGCAATGACAGTACGTGCTTCCTCAATGCGCTGACCTTTCGGGAACAGTGGGCGATATTCTCAAAAGGAGATGCCGCTTCGCACCCACTACCCAAAAATCGGTGTGGCTAGCTTAATGCTGACTCGGCGTGTGAACAGTTACCGAGGACCAACGAGAAGCGCTGCTGGACCTACTCCTTACCCATGGCCACGCAGCGATTGGCCCTGAAGTAAGGAGAGAACTCCTGGCTGGGCGCGGGAGAGGTGTCCCGATCGAGCCCGAAGGGCCAACATTTGATGGCGATGACACCATGCTCGTGGACTCTTAAAGCGGCTAAGGAGGATTGCTTGTTACGAGCCCTTTGTTTCTGCCGCCACCTCGATGGTTTGGCCCCGTTGCATCCAAGAAGGGAAACCCAACCGGCATGGCGCCCTACAGGGCTGACTCCACTGAGAGTTTTGGCTACAGCTTGAGAATTACAGGTTCTCGGGGCGCCAGCCATGTTAAGGGCTTATTATGACTGTGAAGGAAGACTTGCAAGTGTCAGGAGTTTCTTAGATGTTCAGCAATGAGCATGTGATGGTCGCTTGGGTTATAGAATATCAGGTCTCTTCCTTTTACGCTGCCTATGAGACACGGCAATTATACACATTCCAAACTACATTGCGTTTAGAATGGGGTTCACATCCTGCATGAGAGAGCCAAGAGTCAGACTTGCACTCTCACAATGCCCCTTATCCGTTGTATCTTTGAGTGGCTGAGGAAATGTGGCGCTAACAAAAAGTAGCATGAGCCACACGCTAACCAACCATGAATTGTGGCTGGTAGCTTTCTTACCTGCCAGCCTCGCCGAGTGCCTCGACTTCGTGACGACTTCGTGAACGACTTCGTGAACACGAGCGAGATTCATCCCCCTCAGCTTCTAACTCGCCAAACAGGTCCAATCCACACATCCAAGATGGATTCCGCCGACTCGGATCCCCTTCTCCTTCTCCGGCAGTCGATTGCCTCTGGGAGCTCCATCATCCCAACTACCTCTCCCGAACCGTCGGCGCCAGAAGCAAACCTGTCTCAGTCAACTCACCTGCAGTTCACTCATCCTAAGCATGTCTCCATCCCCATCGATGCCCCGACACGCTTTGTATCCAATGAAAGCCCAGTCGATCTACGGAGCATCTACTTCGCCTGGCTCAACCGCGAGGTCGCGATTCCCGAGTATAATGCCTCAGCCACCAAGTTGAACCAGGAACTGGCTGGGGCAGCCACCGTACACAAGTTCGCGTTTGTCGAGCGTCTAGACCTGATTACCTGGTTGGAGGGCGCAAGTGAGGAGAGTGAATACATCAAGCCGTTGGCTGGGGAGATGGACAGCGCTGCTGCTGCGGTCGCAACCACCGCTGCATTGAAGGGCTCAGCAGTGTCAGCTTCAGCAGCGGCAAGAGCTGGAAGAGGCACACTCGATCCAAGACTGGCACAGATCTACAGTGGAGAGCGGCGCATGGGGGATCGTAACACTGTTTTAAGGGGAATCAAACCGACGGTAGGGTACCCGTCCCGGCGGCCCACTTCCCGAGGTTGACTCTTGTGCTGACGCGACCTTCTCAGGACTTCTCCCATGTCCGTAAACTCGCCGCACCTTTCATGTCGAAGAAGCCGGGTGCTGCGCCAAACAGCATATCCAGTAACCCTGCCCTTGCATTGAACCAGAAGCCGCAGAGGCGGCCCGACCCTATTATCCTCCTCTCGCCCTCTGCATCCTCCCTCCTCCGCATGTCGAATGTCAAGTCCTTCCTGGAGGGAGGCCGGTATGTGCCGACCGACAACACCGCCACCTCGTCGATGCTGCATGTATCGCGGCTACTCAAGGACATCGATCCCAACCGGCCCATACGCTTCATCCTCGTCGAGGGCCCAGAGCAGTTCAAGCCCGAGTATTGGAACCGTGTCGTCGCCGTCTTCACCACAGGCCAGGCCTGGCAGTTCAAGAACTACCGGTGGAGCAACCCATCGGAACTGTTCAAGCACGTGCTTGGTATCTACGTTGGCTGGAGGGGAGACCAGCCTCCCGAGTCGATTCGAGCTTACGGTCATCGGGTTCTGACATGCTCTGTTGAGAAGTGGAGGGATGCTGGGGCGCCGGGTGCGGAGACGAGTAGGTGGAGAGATCGCGAGGTGGTCGAGTCCATTTGGAAGGCCATCGAGAACAACATGCGGGCCAAGGGATGGAAGAGAGACACTGCCCCCTTATCGATCTAAAACGGGCCAGCGTTGAGGAATCATTCCTCTTCAAATCTGGACTTTTTACGATAATGGGTGTCTTGGAGCTTTTGTTTGCACGAACTTGGGCCTTTCAACCCCTTTAATCCACGTGCCTCACCTTTTGGGGCAGGTCTCTCGCCAGGCGTTTAGGTGGCGTTTGGTCTCAGGGACAGGGATGATGAGCTGGAAAATGGAAACGTGTGTCATGCGAGGCCGGGCTAACATACACAAGATGTGCATATGGTTGGGCGGCTTGTAAATTAGGATTGCGTAGAGAATGATACCATGCGCGAGCTCTCAGGGCCATTATCTCCACAACGCCATAGGAGGTATTTGTGCTCTATGACAGTCCTCAACGCCTGCGTCCGTCTGTAATCAGAGGAAATGCCGTGTAAGCAGTTGTATCCAACTCCAGAGTGAATCCATAATACAGAAAATCAAGACTGGTCAGTTGTCTGGGCTCGATAAACCCCTCGATCACCCACCAACCGAAGGATAGATAGGAGGTAGCCCCCTCCCCAATTCGGATCCCAAGGCCGGACCCCCTCACCCCCTCGAGCTCCTCAGGCACAGCACCAGCGACACCACGAAGACCGCCAGGGCCAGCAGCAAGCCGTCCCCGTCCGTGCGGCGATGGCCATTGAGGCGCGGCCGGGGTCGGCGGTGCGCGAGCCGGTGGAGGTGGAGATGGCGATGACGGGCCCCGACGGGCGCGGGGTGACGGCCGAGGAGGTCGTCTGTCATGGTGGTGGTGGCGATGTGCGGCCTTGCTGTCGCTCATTTCTTTTGTTTGCTTGTGGGTGGGATGATCCGGGGGGGGGGGTTGGGTGGGGCCAGTAGTAGAATAACAGATGTGTGATCAAGGGAGGAAATGAGTGTAGAAAGAGGTTTGTTCCCAGCCTTATCGGAGATGGGAGCCTTGGCTGGCTTTTTCCCCGCTGAGGCTGGGCTGGCCCCTGGTCGATGGTGGCCTATTCGGGTTGATCGGCAGATATGTTTGCCTCTCTCCAGCCCCGTGAGGAGTGAGGCAACTGAGCGAGTGGAAAGACTCTAGACCCTGATAATTCTATGATGCAAGGACCATAGCAATGTGGCTGAGATATCGGCCTCGAAAGCTCGGCGACGGCCCGGACCGGCCCCACCAAGCAATTAAACCCCCCGCCTCCTCCGAGCTCCATCCGGCCGAACACGGCCGGGGTGCAATAGAACTAGGTTGGTGAGAATCCGCCTTCTAGGGCAGCGATCAAACGGCTAAGAAGCCGCGACGGGGAAACGGGCGGCGTCCTGCGAACTTCATCTTAGCAATTATCGCAGGCAATGCTCTTCCCCACCAACCGGGGACAGAGCTCAATGTCTATTCTCTGCAACAACTATTTGCAAGAGGTTATTTTTGGCGGGTTCTAATTTCGGAAGCTTCGTCTGGAAACTTTTCTTTGTTTGCAACTTGCTGCGAATGGGTCAGAGTCACAAGCTTTTTGCTGCCTGTAGCCAAGCCACCATACCTGAAAACCTATCTTCCCACACGACGTGCCTCGGCCTCACTCACAATAAGACCGTTTCCGATTTGTGCAAGTCGATAAACCTTTCCCGACAGAATGCTTCAGTACATCTATATCAACGGTTATCCTGGGGTTGGCAAGCTTACAGTAGCAAAGGAGCTTGAGAAACTTATCCCTGGTTCCAAGATCTACCATAACCATTTGCTGATCGATCCCGTCGCTCCATTAGTTGAGCGTACCTCGCCACACACTGTCACACAATACGGGCTAGCTTACGCCGCCACGTTCTGGACATCATTGCAACATCTGAGGCAACGCAACATGTGACATGGATTTTCACTGATTCGCGATCTTCAAGTCCAATCGGCAGTGCGGCCGCGCAAGATTACGAGAATGCAGCTATCAAGCGGTGGGTCCCATTTGTCTCGGTCATCTTGTAGTGTGAGCTGGAAGAGAACCTGAAGAGGGTAGCCAATGAAGGGCGCGGAGCTAATCTAAGCACCAAGGTGACGGATTTGGAGGTGGTACGGACCATCCGGCAGCATATCAACAAGGTCGTCCGTAACCATGAGGTCTGAATATGAGGCCCATCAGGTTTCAAGATTTCCAGGTTTTGCGTTGACTAAGAAGGGCCTACTTCAGTTAGTAGACGCTCTGTTTATACCAAGCACTCTTCCGAGTCTTCTCTGGGTTCTTTTCCCTCGTGGAAAGCTGGTGACGCTGACTAACGAAGTCCAGGATAGGGGCCCCCAAAATTGTACCCCCACCCAGGGCCAGCTTGCTCCTCTAGCGCAGTCATACCGAGACCTTTCAGGCAAGGCTCGACAGATCTTCCCCATATCTCAGGCCATTTCTTACATATAAATCGTGGAGTGATCTTACCTCGGAGATTGCCGGGTATGTGCCGTGATGAAAATTTGCCAAGAGAGCCTGGTAGGAAAAGGTTACGCGGATGACCCCTTCACTACTACCAAGCACGCCAAGTAACTGCTGCGTCGTATGCGTATACTGAAGTACCTTGGTGGCTGGCAATATCTGCCGACAACAGAACCATCACTATCTGGCTCTGGAGAGGTTGGAAAATGGCTGGGACAAGCTGATCGCTTTCAGAGCCCTGTCTGTGGGTTCCACCTAACCTCCGGTTTCGTGGGGGTGGAGGGGCGGAATTCCTCGCAAATGACTAGGCCTAAGTCGACATCACTGTAACCTCGATCGCGTGCAGCGAATGATTTCCGGTTGCGTGGGGCGCCGAGGAACCCTACTCCTAAGTCTTGTCGTCCCAGTTAAAGACCTCCCAAGTAATCCTATCTGCGAGCCGTTGTGAAAATGGCTTGCCTTACTGACTTGGTGTACTATGTCGGGCCTGGCAGCCCGGAAAGGACTTGGCAAGTGCGGCCTACCCGACTGAATCATTGGTCGTTGGGTGGCATAGGTAGATAGTTAGGGAGGAAGTAAACAGGCTTGATCATGAGTGGCTGATATTCCGTCAGTTGATGAATGGACTGCCCTGTTTATCCGGTGACCACTCAGGTATTAGAGTAGGGGAGGCAATTACCTCTTATTTACAGCTTTACCAGAAACCTCGACAATGACCCCCATCTCCGACCCGACAAGTTCAAAAGCAAGCAATCTGGGATTCCGCGTGGCAGCCCCGCGGAACACGTGGATTGTTCCGCCACTCTTCTGCCACTGGTTCACTCCACCTGGATTGGGAAATTGATTGATTGTTTCAAGTCCTGGCCCAGATCCAGCAAACCAGTAGAACAGGGGAGACGGGACGGGAGGGCTTTTTTTGTGGCTTCCTTACCACGTGGCATTTTCTCCACCGCTGGGCCGTGCAGTACGGCCGGGTTCTTTTTGTTCACCGGTACTTTCCTTGTTTCCCCCCCTCCCAGGCTCAGCCTCTGCCCGGCTTGTCTCGCGAAACCAGGAACCCAGGCTCAACTGAATGCTGATAACATTGCGGTGGGGAGAGGAACGGGTATGAACTTCCATTTTAACATTCTTAAGCAAGTGGAGGGACTGAGCCCTCCCAAGGGGGGATACCCGGGTGTAAATCAGTGCTGGTGTTTATTTTACCCTTTTTGAGTCCTAATATCTCTCGGCTTATTAAAAATAATGAGAGCCGGTAAGTACGTGATGATAACTCTATTACTTCATTGACATGGGACCAACGGTATATGTACTTAGGGACCAGAGTTTCTCATTTCCTTTTTTCTCTCTTTTTCTACTTTGCCTCACTCCACTTCCTTTCCAGGGAAACGGTAACGACCCAAGCTTATCTGCCAAACCTCCGATTTTGCCAATCCAATTTTATTCCCCGAGGTGTTTGCGGATGACCAAATATTTTTAGTCAACCCCGCTAGGACAACGAAACGTGGAGCGTCAAGGAACGAGGATCGCGAAGATCTTGGCGAGGGCCTCTTGTTCCAGGTCAACAATCACATCCTGCCCAATTTCATGCGACTACTCCGGTAGATGGGACCCTAGAAGAGCTGGGTTTTCTTCTCCCGCAATTCGAAAGACACAAGGGATCTTGGCCTTCGGCTCTCTCCAGCTGATTGGCAGCTTTCTGGCCTGATACAATATTTCGACCACCATTAGCAACCACTGAAACTCAATCGACCGTCGTCTGGTTCCGGCCCGCACTCAACCAAGGGGGGTTGTTCTCAGCCGTTTGTGGCGACACCTGCACATAAGCATACCATTCCATCCCCGTCAGTTAGGCTGGCCTGGTACCTTACCTCTGTCCCCTTCACACCTTTCCTCACGCCGGGCTGCTGGGCTCCTGGCAACCTTCCCATACCATGGAACTCATGGAAGTCGAGGTACGTGGCTCTCTCGTTTTAACCCGACCCTCTCCCAAATCGGGAATAACATCATCACACCGGGAATGCTGCAGGCTGCCGCCCTTGTTCTTTCATATTTCTTTTTCCGTTTTTACAGAAGTTTAAGCACTCTACACCTACGCCACTGCAGTCATCTTGCTTCAGCTATGAAGTGTCAAGTGTAAGATTGCCTTTGGCGCGACTCGGCAGTGCCGACGATCTTGTCCTTCGATGCCGAGGATTTGCAAGCATAGAAAACGGAGGCGCTCAGGAAGGCAATGCTCAAGAGTGCAATGAGCTGAGTGCTGAATCACAAAGTTGTGCAGACGGACAGGGATATCTTTGCATTCGACAGGTTCCAGAGGCTTGTCATGATTGGCAGGGGGCCCCGTACAATGGAGAGGGCGGGGGGTGCGAGAGTGGTTGGTGTGGTAGGAACAATCCCTGAAGCCACGCGCCCATCCCGTCGCCCTGCTGCTGTACCTCGATTTCTTCCCAGTTCCCACCTGGCTACCTAGCCCTTGCCAAATGCCACATGCACGCGCTGCCCCAACTTCTGCAGGAGAATCTGCAAGTTGCGGTACATGTTACGGTACATGCACACACATGCACACATGTTCCACGCTGTTCCAAAATGTTGTGTTCCCTCCCACACCACAAACCACATGGCCAACCGCCCCTGTCTTGCACAATACACTAGCAACAACGCTTCCCACACACACACACACACACACACACACACACACACACACACACAACCAGCAATTATCTTCCTCTCTGCCCATCGTCATCGGCACAGACTTTCGTTGTCCATGTTCCATTTGGCCCGGGAATAGGGCAGTATGACAGAGGATAGTACATCCAAATCAATATCCCCAAATGTAGTCCATTGGCAGACATATTTCCACGCTCCGTATTCCTCTTTTACCGGGCCCCAGTCCGAGCTCGGAGAAGACCTAAACACCTTGCACAAAGGAATGATCAATTCTCCGCCTCTCCCTTCCAGCCAAGCGTTGCCGGAGCGGTGCGGTGCGGAGCGCCTTTCTGACCAGGCTTCATCATGATTGCTGCCCACCCATGAAATGGGGGGATCCACTGGCGCCAAACTTGCAAAATCCTTATTAATGCCGAGAGCTTTGCAAACCAACTCTCTTGCTAGCGCTGTTGGCCCAAATGTCCTGCCTTACGAGACACTGCAGACCAGTTGCCGGCCTTCTGTGGGCTCCGGGATTTGTGTCCTGCGGTTTTTATCTTTCTGTAAATGGCCTCTGGAAATGAAATACACGTGATGGATTCTTCGAATCCTCGTTGTGCTACTTCTAATCTCCTAATTTATTTGTGCTGCCGGGCTGCCTCGGCTTGAAGAGCGGTGGAGAAGTGAGGGAATGACGGAGAATGGAGCATTGCTTTTTCCCCCCCTTTGAGTCGGGCAGGTGGCAGTTCCACTTGTAAAGGGCATGCAGGCCGTATCCCTGTCAGAGACCCTGCTGTTTCCCCACTGTCTTTGTGATGTACTCTGGATTCTGTACCAGTACTTCCACACTTTCATCCAAGGCGTCCCCACTCCCTTGTGCCACCGCCCCTCCTGGCTTCCTCTGCCTCACCCGGTTCGTTCTGCTGATTCAAAAAGTCCCTTCTTTTTATTCTTCTGTTTCATTTCGCCTTGTTGAACAGGAGTCTGTTCCACCGCCACAGGATAGCGCACACTTGCCCATACAAAACCGCCCGCGGTCCACCCTGCCCACATTTCTCACTGACTCTCGTTATTATTAGATGGCCGCAGCCTCCCACTCCAACCCGCTGTCCACCACGACCAATTCCTACACGACACAGGGAGAGACATCAAACAGGCCGCCATCCTCCACCAATCCCTCCGTTGAACCGCCCACTGACCGCCCAATTGGCTCTGTCGCCGCCTCTCGACAGCAGCTTCAGAGCACCTCGTCCACCGGCTCTTCCTCCGGCAGCCAGAAGCCCGGCAGCCTGTTCGCCTTCGCTGCTGCCGCCATTGACAAGACCTTCGCAGGCATTGCCGAGCCGCGGGTTCGGCCCCGACAATCCTTGAGTCGACTTTCTATCGGCCCGGACTCGATCCTCTCCAACGGGCAGCCCAGCCCGGCGAAAGCCTCTTCTCGCAATCGCACCTCTTCGTCCGCCTTCTCCTCGTCTTCTACCCTCCCCGGAGACGCCAAGTTTTTGAACCCGCCATCGCTGTTGAAGGACCCACCCTCTCAACCCTACAGTGAGACGGATCCGACAAGACCGCTCCCGATCCATCTCCCCCGTGTGGACAGCAAGATGCACCAAACATCATCCAGGTTACTACGTATGACGGACGACGATAGGCCGTTCACAAGAGTATGTCTTTGCCAGCACGCCTATTTCACCCCCATCGCCGTCGCCGCCGCCCTGCCCCAATCTCGAGTTTCGGGATCTCGGGCGGGTGCAACGTCGGAAACAGCCTACTATTGCTACCTTTCCTTGACCGGCATACCCGTGATGGTCTCGAATATATGGGCGCTAACCACCATATTAGGATTTCAAAGATCTCTTCGGCACATTGATCGTCAGCCTCCTTCCGCTCTCGGCGCATCGCGTGCGATTGACCAAAGTCGAGCACACCTTCCTATCCGAGGATGCCATTAATAACCTGGGGTCGCTCAAATTCTCGCAGTCAAATAGGATGCCAGATCCCAAGGATCCGTCCCGGATTGTGACGACTACCACTACCACAACCTTTTCTATGGCGAGGGATATGGCCCGGTCCATATGCCAGAGATTTGTCGATGCGAGGTTTATCGAATCCGCAGACGGAAGATACCAACAGGTGTACAATATGAAGGGCTCCGTTTGGCAGCTGACGCCAAAAGGAGTGTGCATTTTGGATCGGTTCTGTTCAAGAAACGGCATCCAACAAAAGCAAGTGGCGGAGCTTGTCAGCACCTGCATGGCACATCTGGTGATCCTCGAACGAAGCGGGCAAACAGACAAGCTCGTGATGGATCGTGACACTATCGAAGTCATTTTCAGGAGATTTGTGGGCTCAAACGGAACCAATGTGAAGTCGAGCGTCAGCTCGGCGGACTCGGATTCCTTGAACGATTACCGCGACGGACTTACAGGTGTTAAGATGGCCGGAGAGCGCAAAGTAGGCGGGAAGACGTTCAAGGATACCTTCACTGGAAAGGCCGCTACCGACTGGCTTATGGACTGTTGCACGACGGTTGACCGGAGGGAGACGATCGAAATGGCTGCTTTCTTCGTCGAGTACGGCCTAATCGAAAGCATACAATCGGATCGATCGTACATGATCCAGAACCCAGGCAACAGTCTGTTCCAACCCACCAAGCATTCCATCTACCAGCTCACGGCCAAAGGAAAGGATATAGTCAACGGCGCGCTGGCGCGAGGACGGCCCTCGGAGAGCGAGGGCCCGTCAGCATCGGCGAGGGCGGGCATCGCCCGAGATTCCAACACGCAGCGGCTGGACAAGATCCTCAACGACGCTGCTCTACGCCTGTTGTTCCGCGAGAACCTGAGGGAGACGCATTGCGAGGAGAACCTCTCCTTCTATGTCGAGGTGGACGAGTTTGTGCGCCATTCCCGTGGAGCCATCAGGACAGCGCAGAAGAGCCCCAACAGCACAGCCTCGGCGGACGGCATCAAGGAAATCATGGCCCAAGCATACGGCATCTACAACGCCTTCCTGGCCCCTGGCTCTCCGTGCGAGCTGAACATTGACCACCAGCTGCGGAATAACCTTGCAACACGGATGACGAAGGCTGTCGGACAAGATGTCGCCATGATAGATACCCTTCACGAGGTCATGTCACTCTTCGAAGACGCTCAGAATGCTGTCTTCAAACTCATGGCGAGCGTAAGTTACAGCCTCTTGAGGGAAAAGTCGTGGGCTTGCATATGTAGGGGCGCCGCCAAGCTAACCACAATCCCTCTTTAGGACTCTGTGCCGAAGTTCCTTCGCAGCCCGAAGTACGAGCAGACACTGAAGAATTACGATTTCGATGCGATTGTCGTCGGCTCAGGTCGCATCCCCGAGCGCAGCCAGAGCAGATCAAACCGCAAGTGACCCACATAACCTACCAATCAAACATTGCGGACTCTACGAATCCTCCGATCGCATGGATCCGGAATCAGCAGCATCCATCCCCCCTCTGCGCATCATATGGCTTCTCATCGCTCTGTCCTACCCTACCGTCAACCCGGCGGCAAGCTATCTATTAATGTTCCTTCTGTCTTCCTCTACCGCATCGGCCTTTTTTCTTCTTTTCTTTTCTTTTCTTTCTTTTTGGTATTCCCCTGAAACGACGGCGTTAATCGGCTATTTTCCTGCATAGACGAGACCTGGCAGTCGGTCTTTGTTCAATCATCGGGCCATACGACTCGGTGACGGTTGTCGGCAAAGGTATCTGGTGTCTCGGCGAGGAACGTAAACTGTCCAGGGGCGGCCCGATGGCGGCAATAGAGATCTGAGCGGAGGGGGGGCTGGTCGTTTTATGAGAGGCCATGTTTCAGCGATGCGCGCGTCTGTCATGGCGCGTATCATCCACGCGCAGTTAGTTGAATAGAGTCTAGGGGAGGGGGTGCGGGACTATTTGAATTCTTCCAAAGCATCTGATGGGCCACAGCATTCTTACACGACTTTGGACTTTGGCGAAAGGCGGATACCTCTCGTAAAATGAAAGTAAAAGAAGGGCAAACCTATTTGGGGAAAAAAGAAGGAAAAAAAAAAGGAAGATGTATATACATATGATGAAGAGACATAGGGAAAGGCCGCGCCGGCTTTATTAAGTGCAACTTGCGGCCATTTGATTGCATTCTCGCCACGCAGAAAGCCACTTGGTCTTTCCCGCCGGGGCCGAAGCGGACATTCACAGCGCGTCCCCGTGGAATGTCGCCGCGCCTTGATTTTGGACGCGTCAAGTGGTCAAGGGACTTTTGGATTTGAGGCAGGAAACGGAACGGCGTGTCGTTGGAATGGCCTGTTCCCTTCCCCGCCACAGGGGGGCATTCTTGATGGCGTGAAGTCCAGATCATCATGGTCCTGACCGATTTATCATTGGTTAACAGAGCGTCTCGGTGGTAAAATGATAGATTCTTCAGGGCGCCACTGTTCATCCCTGAGCTGATTCCTGACCGCTGAGCCCGTCCATAAAGGAGGTTGCATGTCGCCGTCGTCAAGTTCGAGTTCATCACCCATCGACACTCATTCTCACCCGCCCCAGTCCTTCATTCAAGAATAGTAGTCACTCGTTTTGCTCCCCGACATCCAACACCAGCACACTCAACATAGTCACTCATTTGAATCGCTTAGAAGAGAAACTCCAAACAGCGAAGATGCAGACCAAGAGCCTCCTCTGGATGGCGGCGGGGTCTGTCCCCTTCGCCCTGGCCCAGACCACCGTCGACGTTATCGCGGTGACCACGGTCACGGAGGTCGTCACCGCCATCGAGACCTACTGCCCCGGACCGACCACCATCACCCACGGCACCCACACTTACACTGTTCTCCAGGCCGGCATCTTCACCATCACCGACTGCCCCTGCACCATTACAGCTGTGAGTATTCCCCCCCACCGGTTCTTCCGCCTTGACTTTTGGAGCAGAACTTGACAGACTGACGACGTGCCTTCCCTCTCAGGTCCGTCCCTGCTTCGGCGGCCAATGCGACCCCCAGCCCACGCCGCCCCCGGGTGACGGCCCCGGCGGCCAAGCGCGCCCAGGCCCACCAGGAGGCCCACCAGGAGGCCCGCCAGGAGGCCCGCCAGGAGGCCCGCCAGGGGGTCCGCCAGGCCCGCCTTGCTGGGGCCCCGGCTGCCCCCACCCCCACCCGCCTCCTTGCTGGGGTCCCGACTGCCCGCCCCCGCCCCCGAGTGACGGCCCCGACGGTCCCGACGGCCACGCTCGCCCAGGCCCTCCAGGGGGTCCGCCAGGGGGTCCGCCAGGCCCGCCTTGCTGGGGTCCCAACTGCCCGCCCGCGCCCCCGAGTGACGGCCCTGACGGTCCCCCCCCGCCTCCGTGCTCCCACTGCCCGCCCTCGCCCCCGAATGACGGCCCCGACGGCCCCGACGGTCCCGACGGCCACGCTCGCCCAGGCCCTCCAGGAGGTCCACCAGGCCCGCCTTGCTGGGGTCCCAACTGCCCGCCCGCGCCCCCGAGGAACGGCTCCGACTTCCACCCCCACCCCAACCCGCCTCCGTGCTGGGGTCCCAACTGCCCGCCCGCGCCCCCGAGTGATGGTCCTGACAGTCCCCCCTCGCCTCCGTGCTCCCACTGCCCGCCCTCGCCCCCGAGTGACGGGCCCGATGGTCCCGACGGCCACGCTCGCCCAGGCCCTCCAGGAGGTCCGCCAGGCCCGCCTTGCTGGGGGCCCGACTGCAACGCCGGGCGCCCAGGCCCGCCGGGTCCTCCGGGCCCCGTTCCACCCCCGAGTGACGGCCCCGACGGCCCCGACGGCCCCCACCCGCACCCGCCTGCTTGCTTGGGTCCCAACTGCGACGCCGCGCGCCCCGGTCCGCCAGGCCCGCCCGCCCCGCCAGGCCCGCCATCCCCGCCCGCCCCGGGTCCTGTCCCGCCCCACAACGTCGGCACCGTCACCCACCTCCCCCCCCAGCCGACCGGCGGCGTGTCACCGCCCATCGTCATCGCCGGCGCCGGCCGTGTCCGGGACGGCCTGTCGGGGCTTGTCGTCGCCATTGGCGCCGTCGCCATGGCTGCTCTGTAGAGGCGGGGTGGCAAGTGGTTTTCGTTATCCCTTGATTTTCTTCTTCTTCTTCAGTCTGTCGCCTGGACGTGGTGGGCAGCTGGTTGCGCTTGGCCGCGGCCCGAGAGTGCGGGATGGCAGGAGAGCTGGCGGGGAGGGCATGCCCTTCCTTGCGGCGATTCTGCAATTGCTCGGATGTGGGTTTGGGTTGGGAGGGACAATGGGAAATAGGATAGCAATCATGGCATCAGGAATACGGATTGGTTGGCTTTAGACTGGGCATTGCCCCGAGATTGAGCATCTGAGCTACCAATATAAGAAAATCCCTTGAGGTTATTTCCATACTTCTTTGGCTGCCCTTGATTTTATCATGGTATTTCATGCCCGGACCGGGTATTGGTAATAATAACCCATGGCGTTGTCGCCCCCTTAGGTTTGTCTTTCAGTCTCTTCGGACACGTTAAACGCGTCCCTTCATCACTCCAATTCCGCGAGGAATGGCCCGTTCAGCGTACCCCCCATCGGTGCCGGTACGAGCGCTGGTGCTGGCGCGGCTGTTCCTAAGCGGTGCGCCTCACCGTCTGGGGTATAAGGGTTCATCTGCGGGTAGTTGGGGTCTCCCTCTCTGTATTTCACACTAGGCCCCGACTTCAGCGTTTGCCACGTGGCGGGGCCGTTTGCATCCGGGTACACCGATGTTACCGAGTCCTGGCGTAGGAGACGGAGCGGGTCCGGGTACAGGGTTGGATTAGATGTGTCAGCCTGAGGGTCGGCGAAAGGCGGGGGTGGGTTTCTGGCGAGGGGTGGAGATCCATAGGGGCTTTCCTCAGGGAGTTTTTGAGACTGAGATTGAGGGCGGTGGACCTGCTGGCGGTAGAAATTGCCGACCGGGCCGGGAGGCGAACCCCCTGGATGTTGTGATTGCCGGCTTTGGAGTGTGGCTGTTGTAGTGTAAGAGGATGGTTGATAGGGCGGAAATATGGCTGAAGACCCCCTGCCAGGATGAAGCGACAGTGGAATGGCAGCGACATTGGAAGATGATGGTGCGGGTGACGGGCTGCTGGTGGATGGTGTCCATGGTCGACTGTTGCCGCTGTGAGTAGAGTTGGAGGATGAAGAAGGCGGCCCACTCAAGCGGGAGCTGGAGTTGGAAGCCGTTGCCATTTGCGCCTTGGCCTTGAGTCGCTCAACGAGGGCCGCATGAGACTTCTTCAGCGTCTTCTTGACAAAGCTGGCCATTATCACGTTGCATCTCATGTCAACGTCCTCACGGATGTAAAGGCCGGTAAGAGGGGCGCCAATGCCAATCTCGACAGGCTCAATGGGCTCCCCTGGAAGGGAGCCATTGAGGGTCCACTTGCCACGTATATCTGGCCGTGGTGTTAATATAAACGTGGGCTACTAGGAGGATAGATAGGACGGTGACATACTTAAGCCGGCCGGAGCATAGCAATGGGTTTGAATGCCATTCGGCAGGTCGTGGAAGGCGCATGTGTAAGTGACATCTCCGTTTGCCAACCCACCGGGCAGGTAAGAGATCTTGTCAGTAAGGGAGTACCAGACGCAATGGAACTCATCCGGCGTTGCATGAGGGGGCGGGTTGATCCGATGTCGCTCTTTAACCAAGGGGTTCAGATCAATCATCTCCTCATGGTTGTGTAAGAAGTCGATGACAACTTCACGAGTAATACCCGGAGGGAGAACGCTGATTGTGGTGAAGGTGGTCCGCTTCGACATGGTTGCAACACAGGTTTGGGATATTCTTGACCAGGAGGAAATGGTCTCGGTCCAAGAGAGACGACGCTCGTGGGCCAAGCAGCTGACCAAAAGCGGGTAAGCAGTCCGGATAAGTGTGGGATGGATGGAAGAAAAGCGGTATTGGCTTCAATGCCGGTCGTCGCAGCCAAGTCCTGGCATACAAATTCCAAAAACTGAAGAGACTTGAAAGAAAGAGAGAGGGAGGAGCCAGGCCAAAACAGGGGAGTGAGGCTGGGCTGGATAGCACGAAGGCTACTCAACAACTTGCTGCGATGACAGACCGCAACTCACAGCGACGTGATTTGGCTTTTCAGGAAAGCAAATCTCCAAGCGAGGTAAGAGAGAGAGAGAGATGTAAGGGGTAGATGAGGGATGAAGTTGGCCATCATCCTTGTCCAAGCGTAGCACCAACAAGCTCAGGGGCAGTGGTGCCGAAAATAGACTTGCCTGCAGCGGAAGCCATGAGGAGCCGAGCGCTTGGTGACCTAGCAAAGCGCTTCGGCGGCAAACCTATTGGTCCTTCACATGATTAACATCCTTCAGCAAGCTTGGGCCTGAGCAGGTAGCAAGTAGGGAGCAAATAGACATGCATCAGCTTACTTTTAGCATAGGCACCCACCTACCTACCCATGTAATGCTGCCGAGGATATAAGACAAGGGGATGACGCCATTGTCACTAGGTACAGTACATATACTGTACCTACATTATGACTTATGTAGGTATCCGTATGTTGCCTCTGTTAATTGTTGACATGGATGCACACTAAGGGGCTGCACGTGATGATAAGCCAGCTAACCTGGAAGTTACCAGATAATGTCAGAGGTCGGGCTTGAGTCCCTGCTCCCTACAGCTGGGTGACACCCTGTAATTCTCCAAATCTAATTTCTACCTCCACCTCGACCATAACTGACACAGAAACCTGGGCCTTATGCATTTCTTCCTAGGCATTTGTAACAGAGCTGTGCTTCACTGGTAGCCCTCACACGTACCTGACTTTTCCTACACCCAGCTCAGAGCGGCTTGGCAGACTTGGCAGCAATTGAGAAGCCACGAGGCGAACCTGCCCTACATTCATTCGACACTCCTCGCTGGCCAGCTCCTATCACATCTTCATGCAGCCCCTCGACGATGCCTCCCAAGAAGAATCCATACAATCCCTGCCCATGGCAGCCTCCGCCCTGAGGCCCCCCAAGCAGCGTCATTCTCTCGCAACCGACGGCCATCCGCTCTCCCGGTCCGAAGCCTCCCTCCCCTACCGCGATCGCCGCTCCTCCCCCTCGGCAGCCTCCCTGTTCGCATCCACCTTGACCCCGCCCGGCTCGCGCTCCGCCTCACCGGCCGGCAGGTTCTCGCCGCCCGGCCCCACGTCCGGCTCCGTCTTCGGCGGCGGTTTTAAGCAATCGCTTCTGGACACGGGCGCCGCGGACAACCCCGGAGACCCGCTGAACCTGATCCTCAGGAGCTTCGTGCCCCACATCGCCATCTACGGGTCGCAAGACGTGGAGGAGCTGGTCAGGGAGAAGGGCTTCGACGGCGGCCTGTGGCAGCTGCTGCGGCCGTTTGGCGAGCGCATCCAGGGCAAGGTCAACGTTAGGGACAGTAACGGCGGCGCGCGGGCGTGGGAGGACTTCTCGGTGCGCTTTGTGCGCTTCGGCGACGGCGTCGAGGAGCCCGAGGAGCCCGAGCTCGCGGCGGCTGCGGCGGCGGCGGCCCGGAAGAACCCGCTTTCGTCCCCGCCCAACGGTCGCCCGGCGTCGCCCAAGCGGCGGATTAGCGGCATTGCAACAGTCGAGGCCGTCGTGAATCGCCATCTGCACTACGCCGAGGATGCCTACGTCGACTTCATGTCGCTGAACACTCCCACTAGGCAGGGGCTGGACGTCGATGCAACCTCGCCATACTACGCCCTGTATCTGCGCCGGATATTGTCCGGCATCCCCGTGGCATGTCACGAGACGTTCGGGCACCCCGTTGCCTGCATCATGGCTATAAGCTCGCGGAATCCGACACCGATCGATGCGCTTAGGGAGCTGTATGCGGAAACGAGTGAGGGAGCCAAGAGGTTGCCGGCCTGGGTGGACGGAACATATCTGCGCTACTACGTGCTCGTCCACGATGAAGAAAAGAGCGACATCGCCAAATCCCTGGCGCTTTTTGAGCAGATGAAGCGGCATTTGGGCCTGCATTGCCATCTGCTGAGGATACGGAGTTCGCAGGGTGCCGAGACGGACGACGACAGTATCCCGTTACCGCGGAGCGACTGGATGACCGCGGACGAGGAGCTTCGGGATATCGAGAGAAGCGACGACAAGGAGGACTTTGAGGACCCGACGCGATACATCTTCGAATCGGATGCGACGGCCATCCGGACGTTTGTCCGAGAAATGGTAACGCAATCTGTCGTCCCTACCATGGAGCGCAACGTCTTGAAATGGAACGACCAGGTGGCGTCGCGGCGCCGAGGCATTAGTGGTCGATTCATGAGTCTGTCTAAGCGCTGGGCCTTCGGAAGCGGGAATCGTAACTCGACTGGTAGCAGTGGCTCTGGCTCGTCGAATAACTACGATGCGTCGGGGTTCTACCGGGCGGACTCACCGGAGGCCATCATGAGGAAGCTGGCCGATTATGCCTTCATGCTACGGGACTGGAAGCTGGCCATGTCGACATACGAGTTGCTGCGGGGAGATTTTCAGAACGACAAAGCGTGGAAGTATCATGCGGCAGCCAACGAAATGGCGGCACTCTCCCTGCTCATCATGCCGCAGAACATGTCCTCCAAGAACCGGATCGAGACCATCAACCAGATGCTCGAGCAGGCCCTCTATTCGTACCTGACCCGCTGCGGCGCCCAGTTTGGTGCCCTCCGCTGTCTCGTCCTCGCACTCGAGCTACTACGGCTAAGGGGAGGCTCGGGCATCGACGAGGCCGTGAAGTGGGGGACTCGCCTACTCGAGTCAAGGCTAGTGGGCGCGGTCGGCGACGCTCTTCTCAAGGAGCGCATGGCCGTCTGCTACGCTACAAAGTCCGGCGGGGGCTCCCAGGCATGGGGCGCCAGGAGGCGGAAGTCTGCGCTCTGGAGTGTCCTGAGCGCCGAGACTTGGCTCGCCCAGTCGAAGTTCGTCCAGGCGCAGAGATGCCTCAACGAGGCGAGAAAGATGTATTCGCTGCTCCCAAGCGAATACGGCGTACAGAAGTTCGCCTTCGCGAGCGACTTCATGGCCCAACTTCAGGCCGAGCTTAAGGAGGCCCTTGCCGGAAAAGACGGAGCGGCTTACGAAGATGGCAGCCTGGACGGGCAGGAAGAAGTGGAGCTGCTCGTTGACGAGGAGAGCGAGACTCTAGACCGGAGAAGGTCCCGGAGGACCAGCTTGATCGTCGCTCCTGGGGCAGCGGGGCCAATCCTAGAGACCGAACCTCTGACGCCGCTTGTACCGGCAGCGCGGACGCTCGCTTCAATCGAGGACGAGGATGGTGGCACGTCGGCAAAGGATGGTTTCGGCTGAGGTCACCGTCGCAGGTGCCAAGCCTGGGGATGGGAGGCCCCGAACTTGCATGGAAAGGCGTTGCTTCGTTAATTCGCACCAGCATTAGTGTAATTCCATAGAGGAAAGCGGTGAGGAGCAATACGGTATACAGTTTCGTGGCCATTTGATCAAGGGTCACGGATATCATTTGCATAAATGGATATCCCCAAACTGAAAGAGAGGCTCATTAAGCGAACATGGGTTGCTGCAGTATCCCGGTCTACCCAGGTTCTTGGTGCCTGCCGGAAGCTTAGGCCGTGTTGATAAGATAGCGCTAAACAAAACCCCTGCTCTGCCTTATTTCGTTGGACGTCATGCTTCCTTGCGGCCAAAGACAAACAAGTGACACTTCTTAGCGGTGTCAACGACGGCGCACCTGTTGCCTGAGCGCGTCGTGTGTGTCATTTGTCAAATGGACCGGATTTCCATCTCCTCCCTCTTCCATCCGGTAACAACTTCGCGCCTTAAGGCCCCCCAACCAGAAGAGCTCTGTCACCATGAGCGGGCTCCCCGAATATCTCGTCGAGCACGAGCCGAGCTTTAGAAAGCAAGTTATTATTTTTTGGAACTGTCCCTCTCCGTCCCCCATAGTGTGCGCTGTTTGCTTACACATTCCCCACCCAGAGCCCGGCTCCCAGCCCTGTATTCGGACTTCCGGCCCCAGCGCACCCTCAACCCGGACGGGTACCAGGCCAACATATCGGCGTGGCGACGAGTCCTGGCGAGCATCGCGCGATCGGGCCTCGCGCCCCGGCCGCCCAAATCCGCGACGGCGAACCTCCTGGTCCTGGACTGCGACGACCGGCTCCTCGGCGCGCTCGAGAGCAAGCAGTACGGCCGGCCGCTGGCGCTCGGCGCCGTGGTGGCGGACGCGCTCGCGGAGCGGGAGCTGATGCCGCTACGCGACTTCCTCGCCGCCAGGGAGAGCATCTACCGCCGCCCGGCGGCGTGGGGCGTCAGCCCGTGGGCCGTCGCGTCGTGGGTGTTTCGGCAGCTCGGCGTCACCGACGCCCTGCGCGGGGGCGCGGATCGGTTGCCGAAGGCCCAGCTCGTGGTGCTTGCCAACGTCGAGGCGGCCGCCAAGGCGTTTGGTGACAAGGTCGCCGGCCATACCTCGAGATTCGAGCGGACCTTCTCCAAGGCGCACTTTCGCAAGACGTTCGCGGGCCAGCTGATGGAGGGGAATACGCTTTCAGAGACGGACGTGGATGTACTTCTCACGTCCCTTTCCAGGGACAAGGGCGTCGTCCTCTACGACGGGGAGACGGTCAAGATTAAGACACCGGGGGCGGACGAGACGGCTCTCACGGAAGAAGACGCCTCGGTCGCGCAGCTGAAGGAGCTGCTGGACTACCTCAACCACCAGACGACAGCCCTCAACAAGCGCATCGCGGAGCTCGGCCGGTCCGCCCGGGACGCCGTCGCCAACAAGAACCGCGTGGTGGCCCTGGCGGCGCTGCGGTCCAAGAAGCTGGCCGAGTCGTCCCTCGAGAGGCGCCTGGCCACGGCGGGCCAGCTCGAGGAGGTTGCCGCCAAGATCGAGCAGGCGTCGGACAACGTGCAGCTGGTCAAGGTGATGGAGTCGAGCGGCGAGGCCCTGCGCTCCCTCAACGCCGCCGTGGGGGGCGCGGGCCGCGTCGAGGACGTCGTCGACCGCCTGCGGGAGCAGATGGACCAGGCCGACGAGGTGACCAGCATCCTCGCCGAGGGCGACGCCGCCGCCGTCGACGAGGGCGAGATCGACCACGAGCTAGCCCTCCTAGAGGGCGAGGAGCGGCGGAAGGAGGAGGAGAAGGAGAGGGCGAGGCTGGAGGCCGAGAAGGCTCTCAAGGAGGCCGAGCAGCAGCGGGAGGCGGAGGAGACGAGGAAGCGGCTCGAGGCTATCCAGGCGCCGAAACCTCTCCCGGAGGGCCAGGGGCAGAAGGGGGAGGTTTCGTCAGCAGATCAGTCTCCAGAAGCGCTACTGGAGGAGGCTGCTGAAGGGCTGAGTAGGATGTCCCTTAACGAGGCACAGCCAGCACAAGCACAGTCGGAGACCTGATCTGGCGTTCCGATTTACCAAGTATAATTAACATGTTGGGAGTTCTAGGTGTTTTGTTGGTCTCGGCAGAGTCCACAGTCACAAGGGATGTTAGTTCATCATCTGGCGTTGCTCAATTGATCATGGGGTATTAACAGTAAGATTCATGTTTCCTTCCATGTTGGACGGTTCCATGTCATGATAAACCTCCCTCGGCGTTTTCCACCCTTGCTGCCCAAGATTCCTGCTCCGCAGGTAATGTCTGTGACCCTATATAAACGACCCTGAAGGTTCTGGGTTAGCAGAGCCGGCAGTTTGGGTCACTGCATCCTGCTCATGGATTACCCCGTCAATCGTGGTTGGGTATGGCAACTCTGCAGGATGTGATGGGTCTCCGGTCAGGTCTATGATGGTGTTTGTCCCAGCCGGAGGCATCTCATCCCCTTCCTCCTGTGGAGCCGAAGCCATTCCTGACCTCTCTCCTGACGCCCTGTTTGACTGGGTGTCCTCCTCTGGCCGTTGGCCAGCCTCGTTCCTTGTGACAGCCTCATTCCTTGTCCGCCGTGCATTAGCAATGAGATCCTTGAAGGAAGTATCATGCTTTGTAGCCCATGCAGTACCATCAAAGTCTTTGTCTCTGATTTGCGCTCCGAGCTGTGTAGAGTGGGTCATGGGGGCACGACCTCCTAGGGTCCACTCCCAGAATTCCAAGTCTTGGAGCATTTCCGATCGTTTCTTTGGCCGGAAAGAGTCACAGTTTGCATTCCATATCGTGACCCATTCCCGATGTCTCCGCTCAAGGAGCGGCCTCGGTCCGGAGGTAGATATGCCCAGGTCACTCATCCTCTTTCGAAGTGCCTGATCTTTGAGGATAGAGTAGTTCAGGACTGGTAGTCTCTCCATGGGTTTGGCCGGTGCCGATGGCTCCGCAGCACGACCTGCGCTGAAGCCACCTGAACCGAGGCCTCCTAAAGCTCCCCTGCTTAGCACTTTGACGTTTGCTGCTGCTGGTTGAGGTGATCCAGGGCAAGATGTATCGATATGTTTATCCACCTGCCAGGACTTCATCCGAGCCCAGCATATCGGACAGGCCGCAAGGTCGGTACCTGGCCCCATTAGTCCCTGAGCAACCAGTGATGAAGTATTACAAAGCCTACCTAGTCCATAGTTCATCGAGTCTGTTTTGTTTTCAGGCACATCCACTTCCTCGCGCATTATTGCAGCTGTGGCCTCTGCAGCCTTTGTTTTGCTCGACCGGGTGGACATCCGGGTCCTCTTGCTCGGGTTGGTGGCGTTCTCGTTCTGAATATCCTCCATATCCTTCATGCCCTCCATCTGGCCTGCTTTTCTCTTCGGTGACGCCAGCACTGTGTTGTCATGACCTTGCTGCGTCCTCGCCGCCAGCATAATGGCCGGTCTCGACTTCACAAAGGCGTCGACGGCTTCTCTTAAAGCCCAGTTGCCCCTCAGTTTTGATTCTTGGTCGCTGGTTCGACAGAGTGGGCAGTTCCCATCTAATGAGAGACACCTCCGGATACACAAGGAGCAGAAGGTGTGATTGCACGAGGTGATCATCGGCGAAGTGTAGAAGTCTTTGCAGACATGGCATCGGAAGGCCTGTTCAACAGGCATAAGAGCCGACAGAGGGGTGCCAAGCCAATCGGTTGAGTCGGTGATATTGAAGGCATTGTCGCGTGTGGTTCGGTTCTCCATGGTCAGATTAATTTGCCCTTGGCGCTTCGAGGTTCTTTCTAGTCGGACTTCGAATCCACAGAGGGAAGCCGCCAGCAAGGTGAGAGGGGAAAGTCCTCCAGCAGAAGGTAGGTATGGATTTGGCGGCGAGTTGTATGGCACCTTCCTCAAAGCATCGAAAAGGAAGTAGGTAGATATGCGCTGGCCTCGATCTATACGTTCCAGGTGGTTAAGACGTTGAGAATTAGTTATTTAGGGATAGAAAAACACCTACATGGAGGATGCCGGCGGCCTGATTTCGTTTCGTTGCCCGTCTCGCTGGAAATAGGAGCGCAGCAATGTAGGTTAAAGAGCGCCGTAGCCACCTGCCTTGCAACTTCCTTAAACGGCGATTCAGATGTAGGTGCGGATTACTGTATGTACTGTATGTACTTACCTAGATGCGCTAGAAGTGACGCGACTTTCAGACCAAAACGCGCTAACCTTTTAGATCCCCCTTAACGCGGTTTCCCTCTTTAAGGCACGCGTCGTCGTGGCCCAAGCTCAGATGCTCCAAGTTCACCACCACTAACAGACCACGAAGTAAGCAACGTCGACAATTCCTTCAGGATTTGTTTGCCATCTGGATATTCCCTCAAGATGGACGACTACAAGAAGTACCTGGCAGAGAATATTCTCTCAGAGGACAAAGTGGTATGTTTGGATGTGACTGAGCATGTCTTGCATGGCTAATCCAGTTGCAGATAACATATCGCTTGCTAAGTCGAGCATTGAAAGTCCACGTCAACATTGCAAAGCAGTAGGCCAGACCTCTGCCACCAAATCCCACGTTCTTTCTAACTCTGCCAGGATGCTCTATGACTTCCATGAATGGCAAAATGTCAAGCGCCCGGGTGCTGTCTATGCCACCTACCTGCTTTACGGCACTAAGCAATCTGATGAGGGGGCTTCTCAAGGCCAGGCCGGCAAAAATGGTGACATTGAGATGGCGAACTCCATGCCAGAAGATGAATCAGCTGGCGAAGTAGTGCCTACTTTGACTCTGTCACTCGTCCCAGAAGAGCGCCTCAAGGGTCCTCTCTCCTCAAGTCTGGAAGCAAGAGGCTAAAACAGTAGCTGACTTCTACCAGATGCCCTTGCAACTTACGACGAAATCACGTCTATTCATGTTTACAGTCTAGGGCCTCATCCTATGAAGGTGAGTAGCAGTTAGATCTAGTGAGCAATTACCCATTGGGGCCTAACCATTCGGCAGGATATGGCATCGCTCATTGATGCAGCACAGCAACTTCTCAGTCTTCCCACGCCTACTGATTCCTCTGGCGCACATAAAACCTATGGCGCTATTGTCAACCCACATGTCCGCCGGAGGGAACGGCGAGGTGCTGGTGCAAAATCTGTGGCTGCCAACGCTCAGAAAGCAGCTGCAAAAACGTCTACCAAACCCCTTTCCATAGTCAAGGAGGAACCTAAGCTCATTCAATCTCCCCCGGCTAAAGAAACGGCCAAAGAAACGGCCTCGGCTGCTACTGCACCAGCTCCAGTGAAGAAGCCTGTGCCGACCTTGAAAAGGGGTGGTTCTTCTGGGTCTGGTATCATGCAGTCATTCGCCAAAGCAGCAGCTGCAAGGGCGAAGAAAGCAGAGGCATCACAGCCAGCAACCCCCAGCGGTGATGACTCGAGTATGCAACCCATGTCGGAGGGTGAAGAAGACGATTCTGAGGTACTCCCGCAGCCCAAGGTTCAGGATAAACCCGGCCGAAAGGGCAAAAAAGAGCGCGAAGAAGAGCTACGGCGGATGATGGAGGACGACGACGAAGAGGGGGAGGAGGAGGAAGCCGAGGACAAGGCACCTTCTCCAGCTGAAGAGGTCGTGGAGGAGCCACCAGTTCCAGAGCCCGTAAAGGAGGAACCAGCCGAGATTATATCGGGGTCTGGTGGTGGACGCCGGCGGGGAAAGAGAAGGATCATGAAGAAGCAGCAGATCCTTGACGACCAAGGTTATCTAGGTAAGTCCAGAGTCTCTCCTAATTCCACACCCCTTACATGGCAAGCTGACAACTCCTCCAGTCACCATTCAGGAACCTGGCTGGGAATCGTTCTCTGAGGACGAAGCTCCACCCCCTGCTTCAAAGCCCAAACTGGCCAGCTCAGCACCGGCAGCCCAAGCTACAAAAGCGAAGAAGAGTGTTCCCAAAGGCAGTCAGGGAAATATCATGTCCTTCTTCTCCAAGAAGTGACCAACCAGAACGCAACTCTTTACCTGCGTCCAGAGACGGCCTCGCATCTCCATAGCTCACTTGTTGGGTCTCAATGCTTGGTTGGAGACTCAGAACTTGAGAGCCGGAGAAATAATTAATGCATGGCAGAGCTTCAATAGAAGGGCAATCAGCCTCACTGACCTAGGACAAGTCGAGCAAGTGACGATGTAGCAGCGATGCATTGAAAGTCCCCCCAATTCCGTCGAACAAATATTTCCCCATCCAGTCATGATACAAGATAGGTTTATATGTGCCGATCTTCCAGGACTTACTCGGTATGCGCTGCTGAAGAAGCTACCTACGGCACAGTGTATTTATAGTATAGGGGTTCGAACAAGTGACGAGTCGATAGGTTGTGCCCCTTCCAGGCTGTTTGTAGAAATATTTGAATACTGAGCATCTAGTTATGCAACAATCGGGTCTTCTACAAGTCATTATTGGTGGGGGAGCTGCTGTGGACAACGACAGTACTTTAGCCATTTGACAACCGACATACCATAACTTACTCCCACCTCATTGCCATCCTCTCTTCGGCGAACCAGGAACAGCGTAGCTGGCCGGAGCCCCCGAATGATGATCTACCTGTACTCGTAGTCTTTTGCAAACAGAGCTGGAAGCTCCCCTGGACTTTCAATTTCTCTTGCGACTTCCATTTCCTCCTCGACCTCTCTGCTGCAATGGCTCGCTTGCGATTCCTTTCCGTCCTGCTGCCACTGGCGGCTCTCTCACCTCAGGTTTTTACCTTTGGCCTCAACGGAGACTCAAAACAAGAGCCATTGACGGACACCTTCGACATTGAAGCGTGCCCAGACTACGAGTCTTACGCGACCTATCCTCAGTAAGCCGCTTTTCTCGCCAGGTTCCTTGTTGCTAGCTCAATTCGCTGACGTCTTGCGCAGTCGCCCCCTCAGCGAAGGGCCCCTGGCCTTGCCGTTTCAGCGACCCGACCCGCGATGTCGCACGTTCCGCTCCGACGCCATCGAAAAGGTCATTCAGGACGTGACGTCTCGCATGAAAGACGTGGACCTCGCGCGGCTGTTCGAGAACGCGTTCCCGTCGACGACCGACACGACAGTCAAATTCCATACAGACGGCAGTACGGACGGCAAGCAGAAGGGAAAGGGGCGGGGCGGCGGGGCGCTGGGGGAGGATGGCAAGTGGGCTGGCCCCCAGTCGTTCATCATAACGGGCGACATCATTGCCGAGTGGCTGCGCGATTCGACAAACCAGCTGAAGCCGTACCAGCCGCTGGCGAAGAAGGACCCCGCGATCCGCAACCTCATACTGGGCGCCATCAACACGCAGTCCGAGTACGTGATCGAGTCGCCTTATTGCAACGCTTTCCAGCCGCCGCCGATCTCGGGGCTGTCCACCAGCACGAACGGCCAGGATGACGTCGTGCACCCGGCTTATGAGCCGTCGTTCGTGTTCGAGTGCAAGTACGAGCTCGACTCTCTGGCCCATTTCCTCAAGCTGGCAAACGACTTCCACGAGCATACGGGCAGCAGGGAATTCCTGGGCCCCAGGTGGTACGCAGCGCTCGAGACCGTTCTCAGGGTGCTGGGGGAGCAAAGCGAGAGCACTTTCGATCCGGACACGGGACGCTATGTGCGGAACGGGTACACGTTCCAGCGCCGTACCGATACCGGAACAGAGACGCTGAACCTGATGGGCGTGGGGAACCCGTTGAACAACGGCACCGGCCTCATCAGGTCCGCCTTCCGGCCGAGCGACGACGCCACGATCCTCGGCTTCTTCATCCCGGCCAACGCCATGATGGCCGTGGAACTGAAGCGCACCGCGGCGATCCTGAAGTCGACGACGGGCGGCAACAGTCGAGATGCCGAGCTGGCCCAGACCCTCGAGAGCTGGAGCGAGGGCATCACCAAGGGGATCTGGGAGCACGGCGTTGTCAGCCACCGCAAATATGGGCAGGTCTTCGCGTACGAGGTGGACGGCTACGGCAGCACGATACTGATGGACGACGCGAACTATCCCAGCCTGCTGGCCCTGCCGCTCATGGGGTTCGTGACGAAGGACGACGTGACATATAAGAACACGCGGCGGATGCTGCTGGACAGGGCGAGCAACCCGTACTACCTCGAAGGAAGAGAGTTTAAAGGAATCGGAGGTAAGTCGTCTTCCTGCAACGCATCGATCCTATAAACGTCGCTGATCGGGTTCTTCTTTTCCCGTCTAGGTCCCCATATTGGCCTTCAAAACGCATGGCCGATGAGCCTTTTGATCCAGGCCCAGACATCGGACAGCGATACCGAGATCTTGGAATGTCTCAACCTGGTGCTAAAATCCAGCAAGCTGGGACTGATACACGAGAGTGTGGACGTCAACATCGCGATGTCATACACGAGTGAGTTTTCCAGGCAGAGACTTAGACACCCCCCCTCTCTCTTAGAGCGCGCTTGACTGACACGCTTTGGTGTCACAGGGAGCTGGTTCGCGTGGGCCAACGGCGTCTTTGCCGAGACGATTCTGAATCTTGCCAAGCGTAAGCCTTACTTGATTTTCACTGATGCCAGGGTATACGAGATATAGCCCCTTACTTGGGATGAGAAGCGTACTGGGTAGTTATGAGTGATGAATATCAAGGGGCGTGTCATCGTGACGGGATATGAGGATGGGTTGCCGGATATCCATGGATATTTGGTATGTCCCCTATCAGCACTACATGTATGGCGTCTGGCGTTGGCGTGGTTGGCATGAGAGATGCTAGCATTTATTTATACCTTGATTTGAAAGACCACTCGCAATCCAGAAATCCATGTTGCATTTATTTGTTCATTCATGCTTCAGGTACCCTGGCCTTGGCTTCGAGTCCATCGACCGCATAGGAGATGCATACAGCGGCATATTGTTTGAGTGAAGGGTGGGGTGGCCGACCGTGAGCGGCATGGGAATGTTGGCCAGTACGATATAGTGTGACCATGGTTGCTGAGAACGTCAAAGGGGGTTTAGCCGTGTCAACAGGAGCTCCAAACACTTATTTCACGGCTCGTGTAAACTGGATGGGGCTGTAGCATCATTATCATCCAGTGTGGTCGGGTTGGAAGTGATTGTGTCCAAATAAAGGAGGACTATTAGATTGCATTATGCTCGAGTCACCCTCGATCTTCCGCGACATTAGAGTCCCCTTGGACCTTGGATATCGACATGGTATACCAACAACACAATACATGGATGCCACAATGGCACACATTGAAGCAGTTCAACGCGCCCTTGCTACAATGGGATTAAGTGGTACAGGCTTCCTCAACCGATCTCTGCTCCGCTCTAGGCAATAAACCTGCCTGTAACCCTTCTCGATCACAGGAAAGCCAAGGCGGCGGCAACAACTCCGAGAGCCAGGTTCGCAGGCTTTGTTGCCGCAGCCGAGTCAGCGGTGCTGGAGGGGCTGCTCGCAGGGCTGCTGCCGGTAGTCGTTTCCGCCGGTCCAGTTCCCGATTCCTGGGGCTGGGTCGGGGGAGTGGGGGACGACGGCGACGAGCCGCTGGCGGAGGCGGACCCGGTCGGCGAGCCGCTCTGGCTGCTGGAGGTTGCCGGCTCGGTGACGGTGACTTCTAGAGTGGTGCTGGTGGACGGGGCTACAGTGATCTGCGTGTGTGGTGCCTGTGGGTCGGCCGTGAGGAATCTCGCAGTGACGGTCTCGGTTCCGGTATAGGCTGGGCAGCCCGGGACGGTCCTCGGGGGGGCACGGCCGCCGCCGCAGTCGACGCCTTGGCAGATCTCCAGAGAGTCTGAGACGTACCAGATCACGGTCTCGTAGGTGTTCCCATAGCCAATCTCAGTGTGTACAGTCACGGTGCTTGTGAAAGACGTGCAGCCGTCGTAGTTCGTTCTCGCAACTGCCCCTTGCGCTGCGAGGGCAAGAGCGAGGACAGAGTATAGGCGAATTCCAGGCATATTGAAGACGGAAACGAGTGAGAGAGGCAGTTAAAATGGATACAAGTATGGTCTATTCCTGATCAAGCTTAAGAAGAAGAGGAAAGGACATCTGCAACATTTGTGAGTCCGAAGTTCCGTCTTGCGGGAGAGGGTTAGTTATATTTACAAGGCGGCAATCTCTGATGAGTCGTCCACCAGTATTAGCGTAGGATCAAGCCTATACCAAGCGGCCCCCAAATTTGAAATGAGCCCCTATGACGGGATCCCGGCACCAGCTGTGCCTCACTGCAGGCCACCAGATTATGCGGAACACGAAGCGAACTGCTTCCTTGCTGTCGCGAGAATGAAGGAATGTGTTATACATAGTACAGATTATATTGTGATCAACGGCATAGGAGACCCCTCAACTTGAATCAGTGAGGAAATAAATCTTCGGGATCTTAGTTGCGCCGTGACAAGAGACATTTTAATCTCGTAATCAAGGTATGGCGATGCAGCTTTTCAGGCGACGAGTTCTATGCTGAGGCTGCATTTCCAAGAAGTATACCGGTTGAACCAAGAACAGTGCCACTTCAGCATTGCTCAAAGTTCGTGCACATTCGATTCGCTCGACACTGTCGAGTAGCTCTCAATCATTCTAATAAAAAGGGCATTCATTGAAGGGATCCCCTTCGCTGCGGAGGCATAATCTTCTAGCCGAAGGCAGTAAAATCTTGGGAAACAAGGCGACGCCAAACACTCCGAAGCTAACAGTAGTAAAAGGACGAATCGACTTTCTGAAGCGATCATGAGCAAGACGAATGACTGCCGTTAGGCTGTTCTGTGGTGAGGTGCTCCAGCGTGGAACCGATATTTAGAGGCACGAATAAAGAGGGAGTGCACCTGACAAAATGAATCCATTCCATTGGCTGTCCACAGCCTCAGGTCCACATCACGTGATCCAACCGAACGAAATTCCCGAGCTCTGACGTTGATGCAACCGACGAAGCGGCAGGTCGAGCGGTTTCTCGATTTCTAACATAACCAATTCCCACCCATCCACCAGCCATTGACCCTCCCAGCCACCATGCGACGGACCTTCCGCCTCTTCGCGTCCGTCAAGCCGGCGCGCTATCTCGACCCCGGCGCGCCGACCGGTCTCACGGGCCTGCTCACTCACGGCTCGCCGCGGAGCACTCTCCTCTACCTGTACTCCAGCACCCTCGAGAAGCTCAACGCTGTCCCCGAGCACTCGCTGTACCGCCAATCGGTCGAGGCCCTCACGAAGCACCGCATGTCCATCGTCGAGTCGGCCGTGGCCCCGGGCTACCCGGAGTGGGCGGAGCGCGCCCGGAAGCTCGTTACCGAGCACCCGGAAAAGTTCCATATCTACCAGTCCGGGCGGGTCGACGGCACGCGCGCTATGCGCATCGAGAGCGGCGGGCAGGTCTTTGTTGTCAGGCACTTGCCCAAGGACGTTGACGAGAGGGAAGAGGAGTGGGATGGCGAGATCAACGAGGGGCCCGAGCTCGAGGGTCCGCGGACCAGGGAGGAGAGGGCCAGCCAGGCGTTGATTGCTGAGCGGAGAGATCTGAAGGATCTTGAGCAGATCGAATGGGAGGCAGAGCCGCAGTTGACGGCGGATCAGTCAGTGGGCCCCGGATGCCAGGAAGGTATGACGAGCCGTTGCTGACTTTGATCGTGTAGGATCTCGGAGCTGGAGAACAAGATCGGAGCCGGCTTGATCGAGGAAGTCATTCAGGTTGCAGAGGGCGAAAACCAACTTGTCGACACCATGATCCAGGCCAAAGTGTGAGTTGTTCCATGCCGCGCCACCTAACATCTTGACGCCTGCTAACCAGTCTCAACAACAGCTGGGAGAACTTGGAGGAGCCGCCGGCAGAAGGCCAATGGGTCTACTTTGAGCGGAAGGCATGAAGAGCGGCACTGGCCTTGGGAGAATAACATTGTGTTAGAAGAGGACCGAGCTGTGCCGTGTACAACATCTCAGGCGCATTGTACATACATTTAAACGAATGAGAAACGGCTCCTCGTGGGCCCTAGGGGTTCCCATGCGTGCACTTTTGACTTTGACTCTGGTTGCGTCCACTTGATCCCGACTGCGGTACTCTCGATCCCGGATTTGAATTCTGTGAGTGTCGGTATCAGAAGCAGATCACAACGTCAGAGTCGAAGGATTCAATGGTCTCGATCAACTAGACTCCCCTCAGTTTTGCCCTGTAATCACGGCTGTTTAGTTTATGCCTCGTAGTAGTAGTAATGACTTGACTGGTTGCTGTATATAATTCAATCTTGGTTGGAAGATAGGCTTCTCATTCATAAGTTAAAACACCTCGGGCCATCACCACCCCACCAGGTCAGTAGCCAATTTCAGTTCTTTGAGGACAGTTGAAACCAGAGACCATTGGTACAGCAGCTGGAAGAAAATATAGAGAGAAGGTGAGAGAAGCCAAACATGTAAGAGATCTTAATATTGTTAACACTACGTATATGTACAATTGGTCCTTTTTTTTTTTTTTTTTTTTGCTCTAGAGATCTAAACGGTAACTCGGGCATCATCAAACCTCGCCTCGATAAAAACATCGTCTCTCGAGCACAACGAGCGCCCACCCCCCCTCCTTAAAAAAAAAGGATCAAAAAAAGACAAACCTAAAACAACATCAACGGCCACAAGGAAAGGGAACATGGCCGACCGAAAGCGGAAGCGCTCGGCCCCTGCCTTCTCGCCGTCGTCGTCGTCGCCGCGCCTCCTCCCGAGCGACGCGATCAACCCGCTCAGCCACCCGCCCAGCACCCTCAGGCAATTCGCCGTCGCCGGCCTGGCGCAGGCGGAGGACTTGCCCTCGGCGCTCGTCCCGGGCTTCCCGCATCGGCCGCTCCCCAGGAGGGGCGCCCCCCCGGGAGATGAAGACGCCGAGGCGGAAGCAGGACCGGGATCCGGAGCCGGAGCCGGAGGAGCAGACGGCAGCGGCGGTGCAGGAGGGGGCGATACGGAGCCAGCGGAGGAAGAGGCGGCGGCCGCGCGGAGCAGGGCGGAGAAGCGTGCGGCGGGGCTAGAGCGCGAGTGGCGGATCCACGAGGGCGAGGTCGGGGTGGTGGCGGCGATACTGCGGCGCAGCCTGGCGGAGGGCGACCTGGCGCGGGCGAGGGTCGCCTTCGGGAGGCTGGCGCGGTCGACCGTGCACGGGAAACCGGTCGACCTGCGGCACGGCGGGTACTGGGCTATGGGCGCGGAGATCCTGATGCGCGACGGCGAGGCCGACGGGGGTCTGGGAGGTGTAGCTGGGGAGGAGGGTGGTGGTGCGGCGCCGAGGCGGTGGGGATCCGCGGCTAACATGGTCAGGGTCAGGGCGTACTTTGAGGATCTGATACAGCTGCATCCTTACAACCGCCACCATCCAGGCTCGATCAGCGCCCTCGATTTCTGGCCGGTGATGCTGAGCTGTGAGATGTACAACGTCTACATCGAGCACAAGCTCGCCCTGGAGCAGTTGGAAGCCGGTGTAGAAGACCTCGGTGACGCAGAAATGGGTGGGGAGCAGGTGAAATACCTAGACAGCGACGAGCAGATGGATGGAGCGCTGAGGGAAGGGAAGAACAAGCTTCGCCTCCAGGCGCTGGACGGGATGAGGGACATCGCGAACAGGATGGATTCCGTCATGGAGAACCCTCCATATTCGACAAGCCTCGAGATGCTCCGCCTACGAGGAATGGCTGCTCTCTACATGGGAGACCTCGCACTTCTACCTCATCCGAGGACGGCCGAGGAGGAAGGCGAGGGTAAGGCGAGAAGCGAGGAAGAAGCGGGCCGCGCCAAAGCCATGTTCCGAAAGTTATTGGAGCGTGGAGGCGAGATTGAGCCTTGGTTCCGACACTTGGTGCAGCTGGATGATGTTAAGGGCGAAGAAGAGGAGGATGAAGACGAAAACGGAGCCGACTTGCTGCCGATGTACTCGTCACTCCCTGTGCGGCAACCATGAAAGAGAAAGAAATAATCATGGCATCCGTATTATTATTGTACATGGAAAACGGGAGCCGCGAGGCCTGGCTCACGCACCCGACTGCGCCCCTTTTTCCTTTGCCCATCGCTGAAAAATCAAAGCCCGGTTCTGATTCCCGACCACCACACACCATTCACCCCCCGGACTCCAAGCGACCTGCCTACCCACGAATTTCGACTCGCCACTAACGCCGACGATCTTGTGAGGTTTGATCGGATGGTCGTGAGGGTGGGATATCCCATACAGCTCATCCCAATTGCTGATGCTGTCGTGAGTGATACCCAACGCTGCCCCGCTGTCTGGATCCGAGCTTGCACCCACCGACACCATCGAGTCCTTGTCGCTGGGGTCCCGGACCCTAGCCATAGTGTTCGGCTTTTTCGGCTGCTTGAAGTTCAGCCAGGGCGGTCGTTCGAGATGGCTATCTTTATCTTTCTTCGGGTTATTAAGGGCGGTCATAAACTCGTGATACGTGGTTAGCCGAGCCAGGTCCCAGAAGGAGGTCTTGGACTTGGCATTGCAGAAAGCGAGGACGGGGTGACGGTTTGGCGCCTCATACACCTTGAACCGCATGAAAAACTGGGGTCCACATCCAGCGGCCTGGAACTCGAGAAGACGCGTATACTGGGCGGGACATGATGGAGATATTATTGGGGCGAATGCTGAGCGGGTCAGCTTGCTGGGATCATAGGTAGTCGGGGCCTGTGACGGCGATGGCGGAGGGTCCTCGGAACTGAACCCCTCGATGCGCCAGAGGACAATGGTTTCTTCATGGCAGGCATGGGAGAGGATACAGTCCCCAAGAAAAGCGACGCTACAAGGGATCAGATACGATTCTGGTGTTAGAGGTGGAAGAGCTGACTTGTACATACCAATCGACTAGTCCACTGTGAACCTCTGAAGTAGAGAAGTGGGGATAGTATATGACAATAGGAGCATCGGTATGCTCCTTGGGCAGGTCTGGGAGCGTCCACTGGAGGCAGTCAGCAGCCGGGGTATGCCCGAGGAGGAATTGATTAAGCCACAAGACTTACTAGGTTGATCACCTGGTCATGCCCTGCAGACAGGACGTACCGCCCTGTATCATGAAAAGCCTCAATCAAGTCAGTGAGTCGAGCAGATCTAAGTGCAATGGAGCCTTACCACGCTTAGCAGGTCCCAGGAATGGCCCTCTCCGCCAAGAAGGCATAGGCATGGCTGCCTTTCGTGAACAGATGCCAAACTCCATATCCTCACAGTAGTATCATCCGAGGCGGAGGCGATAATCAGAGGGTCGTCTGGCGAAGTCGCCAGGTCGTTGATTCCCTGAACCATGAGAATTAGCGGACTTCGGTCAACGCTTCGCGAGATGATACCTACGTCACCGTGGCCAACGAGAGTCTGTGTTCGATGGTTAATGGGGGGCCCAGTGGAGCTCAATTCAGGGTCAGGATAAGGGACATACCCTCACCAACTTTCCATCCTTCACGCTGTACACCTTAACCTTCGCATCATTACCAGCCACGCAGAGAAGGGCTCGTTCGGTTTCAGGGTCCTTGGTCCAGCAACAAGCGCAATTAGACGCATCGGGCTTACTCTAGGTCAGACAGTGGTCACTCCAACGAGACTTGCTCCAAGCTCTCAAGGTCGTACTCACGTCATCATCTCTGATAATCTGGATTACCTCGCACGGGTTGTTGGTATTGTCCTTTGGCTGGGATAGTCGGCACACAACGGCCTTGCACCAAGACTGTTAGCTCTCGGTGACACGGAGTCTCGGGAAGAAAGGGGGGAGCTTACGTGTTTCTTGCTAACCGCCGCGAACACGGGGCTCGCTCCCGGAGGGTTGTATGGGTAGAACTTCACATCGAAGAATTCTAAATCAGGAGGGTTAGCGGGGATCAGAGAAGGACATGGGGAGTGCGTGAACCCTTGAATGGGAGTTATTTACCTTGGGCGCCATCATCCGAAGAGAGGTACTTGAAGTCATCCTGCTATGGACCGCGGAGATGAGTACGCCATATTGGAGAAGAGGTTTTTGTGAAACAGCGATGGCAAAACGACTTGGATTGCCAAAGTGGGACGTAAAGGATAATGGGGAAGATAGGCGAGCTGAAGGGCTGAGGGAAGGGCGCCCACATACTTCAAAGCCAAACGAGGCGCGTAACCTGGGCAGATCCCACTCGCCGTTCTCAGCAACGGTGGGCATTTTCCAACCTTCGGTCCTAGCTCGGCTGGCGGGGTTTTGGAGATCTCAGTAGATATGCAGGCCGGGTTTTTTATGGCGGTACGGGCACTCGTCACTCACCCTCTCACGGTTTATCTCACCGAGAACGCAGCCGCCAATAATCGAGAGGTGACGGGTCCATTGTAAATAGGGTAGCCAGGTAGGTTCGGAGTGGGCCCGTGGCCGTGCCCAGCTAACGGTCCTAGTCAGGTTCCGTCCCGTCTCACCGTGAACTGAAGATCGCCCTCCTTCTTTCGTATACAATAACAAATTTCCAAAGGCTCTGCAGCATGCCTGGCCAGCCTTCCAGCCGGCCTTCTCTGACCGGTTGGCGACTCCTCCAATCTCGCATGGGTCTCCGACCTGAGAAAGGGAAACTTCGCCTAGTGGACCCGTAATTACACTTCCGCAAGTGTTTATCACCGTCACAATGAATACAAGTCTGACGGATGTGGTACTATGAATCCCTGACTGGAACTTACCGACAGCTGACTGCCAGATTACTAGGGTTTGCGGAAAAGCTACCGAGGTACCTAGATATGTGTATCTGTTGTGAACGACGAAATTGGCGAATGCGGTCTAGGACTCACCGATGGCAACTACTGCAGTGACTCCCTCTCTTCACGCGTCGTCGGTGCAGAAAAGAGCCAAAGGCCTTAAAACCCCAAAAAATCTTAGGCTGCCAGAGTCTGTGCGCATCCCATTTACACTAGGAGGTACAGTAGCAGCTGGATCCAAGGATCCACGATGCATTTGACCAGGTCGCCCATGTTCAAGACAGCCCCTGGCGAATACACTGGACCTAATGGCACATCCACACTGAACGTCCCTCTTATCAACAAGGGCTGTTATATTACACTACATACTGTACATACCTACGCAGCAGGTGGTGCATCACTGATCACTGCCACCGGCAATGACAGCCCCTACACGTGGCAAGGCAGCTCAACCGAAGATGATCCGTCTTGACAGCCTTCCTCCCAACGCAGGGAAGATTTTTGAAGCCGACTTCCTGGGGTTGCGATTGGCTAATACAGCTTGACTAGTGCAAAGGTTGCGAATTAGCGGAAACTGCTGAGGTTGTCAAGGTCTTTATTAGGGAAGCTTGGGCATTAAACCAGGCACCAAGAGGGTGATTATGTCTGATGTGCTCTGCATCAGCTGCCGAGAAATTGAACCACAACTTTACCACTAGTATAGGCACACAAAGCCGTCTTTAGGGGACGAAACTTAGTCCGCAGCTTTAGATCTACGGAGTATTGCTTCCTGATGCGAATCCACCTGCCGCTTGCTTCATTCAATGTCTTTCGGAACATGCCAGGATCGCCATTGTGGGTTGAGAATCGAGCCTCGGCTTGACCAATAGTATAGCTTCGATTCTCACTGAGTTGCTGGGAAGCTGATAATCGAGTGGCTGAGGTCCACTTTTAAGAAGTTTGGGATGGGAGCTCGGAGCTTTGACCGTTTCTCATTCCCCGCAGGTAGGTACTTTTGTTCTGCACTGTACTGTACCTCCAGGCCCACAACCTCGTCGAATGAAAGACGGGAGAGATTGAATGCTTCCTTGCGCTGACCCCCGCGCATCCGTGTGTTTCCGGGTTTGGCATGAAGCCGCTGGCAAAAAAGGAAGACGGCCAGCTCCTGTTCCTGAAGAATCTGGCCCCTGGTCACCGCTTGCCTTCCCAATAATAACCTGGACTACTGACACCAAAAGCAAAGCAGTCTTGACCGCCAAGCCCGGGGCCATGTCGTCCCGTACACTAGTTACCCGCGGGTACCTACTGCTAACTCCTAGCCCAGGTACGCGCGATGCTGTCTGCTCAACCTGAATGCGCGCGGCGGGAGGATTTGACAGGCACATTAGAGTGCTGTCGCCTGGACGAGTGTCCCTATCACCCACCGGGTAGGTAGGTATGTACCAGGCCGCGGCCAAGGAGGTAAATCCCGCTGCTTTGCATCTCGTCTACGTAAGCTAGGTTACCTTAGTGGTTGGCAGAAATGCACGCTCGCCCGGGGAGCCCGAGGAGAATTGGGAAGTTCAGAAAGTGACAGTACACCCACTTTCCCTGTCGCAAAACCTGTCGTAATGTCGACTCTTCAAATCCGGGATGCCAAGGGTTGTAGTGGGCCAGGCGGGAGGCTGTCGAGGACACCGGCCTGGAAGTCCCCTGTTCCCTGACAGTCCGAAGGTTTTCGGGATGGAACAGGGTACGTCGCAAGAGCGACATGATTGCTCTTAGCCGGTTATGCAGATCTTGCCCAAGAAGTTCTAGCTCTTGCCTTCCCTTCTCCTCCAAGCACCAGATGCCGCTACTTTTGTATAACCTAACTAACCTAGGCTTCTTTTTAATGTAATAACGTCCCCTCCAATACCGTCACGAAGGTCTTCATTGTTCCCGCTGCAACTCCCAAGCATCTTCCCTGATGCGTTCGCCATATCCAGCATCACGGTCCACAGCCCTTCCCTCATCCGCACCCTCATCCGCACCGTCACCACTAGCGAACGCAGTTCCTCTGTTTGATCCGCACCAAGTACCGAACCACCACAGAAGCTGGTAGCTCATCGTCGCTCGTTTGTTCCACCCTCCTTCGCACAGAACCTTCGCATTTCGAGCACTGCGGCCCAGGAGCTCAACGTCGCACCTTTATTTAACCACCCTCCGTAAAACTCTCTAATTTCTATTTCACTGGCGCGCCTCACTCCCATTCAACCCAAGTTAAAAGAAGCGCCCGCTGAACACTGCGACGCAGGTGTCCTGCAACCGTCGTCCCGTCTACAACTCCTGCAAACTGCCCTCTTCCTGCCTTTCCATGTCTCGCCCGCCATCTGGCCAAACTGGTTTCCTGTAGGGGACAACCGATATTCGTGTCATACAATCAATTCTCGACTGCCGGAGTCGAGGAACCTAGAGTTTGACACTCGCCAGGTTCCGACCTTCCCACTCCAACCTGTGCCCCCATAGGCTGTGCCTGCGGTGATCTTGCTTGACGAACTCTGTTGTTAAGCAGAGCTCGAACTTTATCTATCACATCCCACCTTATATCGCGCATGGGGACGCTCCCCAGACGGAACCGCCACCGATCAAGTCAGCTCAGCCCCGGAGCTGATAACTATATTCCCCATGGACCCCCGGGACCAGACATTTATGACAATTCATAGTACGTGCGCCGATTTTGCCCGCATTCCCAGCCACACTGCGAAAGGAATGGCGCGGTGCAAACAGGCTGGCTGGCTGAACAAACGGGGAGGGACAGGGGGGTTGGCACAAACATGGACTGACCTGTCGTTCGTAACCTAGACCTCACACCGGAAGCCAATATCCTTTTTGCCTCTGATTCCATATTCGACATATTGGGTTACCAACCTGACGAGGTCCAAGGGCAGTCATGCTTCGACTACTTCCACCCCCAGGAGGTGCCCTTCGCGAGGTCGGTCCACAGCAGAGGTGTCCTCCTGGACAAGGCCGCCGTCCTCCACTACGCACGCATTCTATCCAGAGATGGGCTGTGGGTGAGCTGCGAGTGCTGCTTCACAGTCGTCCATGATGTGTTGGTGGCCTGCACCAGCATCTACCTGCGAGGGGAGAAGAGCGAGAGTTCGTGGAACGACCCCATCCCCTCTTCCTGTGCGCCAAAATTCGCTGACAACGGCTTGCAGGGCGCGCCCTCGAAGCTCCCCAGATCCGACGCATATTCTCGTGCTCTCCCCGGGATCCCCGCTACCACATGTTGGAGCATCTATCGCCCAAGTTCAAGATGCCGCCAATGGAGCGTGAACCCCGGGCGGCCCTGATTTTGAATCGGTTTACCAGGAATTTAAGCATAATGTTTGCCACCAATGCAGTGTCGACCATCCTTGGACTGCGACCGGAAGAAATCAAGGACAAGTCCTTCTACGAGTGCATCCAAGAGAATTGCCTCCAAGATGCCATCCAATGCCTGGAAAGTGCTAAAGCCAACGAGTCTATCGCATATCTCCGCTTTTGGTTCCGTGATCCGCGCATGGATGAAAACGATGAACAGGAGAGGGACGAGGAAGAAGATGAGCAGCCTGTTGCCCGCAACGTCGCCGGTTTCGGAGTCGACGACGTGGAATTAGACGACCAAATGGACGTGGACGAGGATGAGGCGCGGGTAGAGATCAAGAGCGAGGTTGATTTTATGGCGGAAGTCAGCAGGACTGCGCCGGGATCAGACCTTGGTTCGCTACCGCGATCTAGCAAGGTTCCTGCCATGCCGTATCAGTCGGGAGCGCCGCCATATCAGACACCCCAAGCGGCATCCGGTCTGCCGCCACGAGATAGCCGGAGAACCAGACATCGCCAGCCGCCGGGGTCTTTCGAGCTGGAAGCAGTTGTGTCGTGCACCTCAGACGGGCTTGTGGTAGTGTTGCGCAAGGCCCGGCCACCCATTCCACCCCCACATCCCCCCCTTGTTCCAGCTTTCAGCTTCGAGAAGGGCCTCTTCGCTGCACCGTGGGGGCAAGAACCGATCCGCCCCTATTTCCCGCCCGATCTCCTCTACACTTTTCGCCCACCACTCCTGCCACAGTACATGCCCTTGCGAGAGAGTGTGAAGGCCTCGGGGGGCCCTCCCTTGGACCAATTGATGAGATCGATTAGGGATGTGGCAGTTTTCGCATGGGCACTGGTCGGCATCAACGGAAATATGGCGACCTACGGCAGAGGCCTGCCGAGAGGCGGATCTCAACCAGCCGAAGGTCTGCCTCGAGGGGATCCGACTGCCGGAAGTGCAGGCTATGCGGAGAACCCGGCACATCCGAGATGGTCGCATCCCGATGACGGGAGGGCCGGGACATGTACCCGCCCGCATTGCCGCCCTGATCACCCGTTTTCTACGGTAGATACAGCGCCACAGAATTACAATCAGACGGCACCACCTCCCCTGGAACGCCACACCCATGGCAACCCTCCGTCGTGGCCACAATCATCGGCATCCACTCTCGTAGGTGCCTGTGAGCAAGCGCACAACCAACACCAGCACCGACCCCAAAATCAGTTCATGCAGAGCTCAACCCACCAGCACGACCAACATCTCCACCATCATCATCACCATCACCATCACTACCACGAGCACCAACAACCTCAACAGCAGCAGCAACTACCCCGGTCTGCGCCTGATCTGGATTCAGCCTTGCATGGTTTTCCCCGGGAACCGTGGGCTGAGGCGTCGTCGTCACAAGCACACGGTAACCCGGGCCGTGCGATCCCGTGGACCCGAGCACCGCGCCTGGACTACTCGAATCACGGCTTCCAGTATAAGTGGCAGTGAGTGAAAGTGCTGCTTTCACCCACTACCTCATTCCTGTGCTCCCAGCTCGTCAAACCTGCATCAGCGGCCCCAACCCAGGGCTATGTATGCAGTTGTAAGGATGGGAGCAGCAATCTCGGGCTTTCCCAGCTCTTGGGGAAGCTTGGTTTCCTATTTTTCATCGTCCAAGTAGAGACATTTTTTTTTTTCACTTGCGTGCATGGCGCTTCGTTTTCTTGGCGAAGGACTGCGAGGTCTGAAGGACCATCGCCTTTCATACATACTCTTAGAATGGGTGGCAAAGCTATGCATAAACGGAAAGGATTATTACAAGAGATACCAGCCAGGTTTGGGTTTGGTCTGGCTGCCTGGCCTGGGCAGAGAGGGTTGGATTGGAATGACAGAAAGGGAAGAGTGGGTGTATGCTCATTTCCCACGAAATGATCGGGCCAGCAGAAAGACTTGGCGAGATACCCACGATCCGTATTTAAGTATGATGTCGGTATTTATCTACCTAAATTATAATATAAGGATGTAGTGTAGTGTAAATACATCTACCTTCCTGCGGAAAATACGTTACTAACCCGTTAAGACCATGCCGGGAATGGACAAGGCTCAGGCAGGCACCTTGATGACCTGGTTTGAGGCTGTCGTCATCTTTGGCGTGATTGGCTCAAACTTCCCGTTTTGTCAGGAGCTTGGACCAGGCGGTCACGACTCCTGTCCTCTTTTGAGGAAACCGTGGATTTTTGAGCCTCCCATCTCGAACCACAAGCTTTGTCGATCTCTCATCACGCAACACCAGCTCGCTCCATCGCGGGTTCGCACCGTGTTGTAACCAAGCTCTCAACTACCATACCTCACACGAGCAATCGAGGGCTGGCCTTCCAGTACCGAACCCGCAAATATGGCATCGTCAAGCCGGAGAGACTACCAGAACCCAGCAGTAGAGGATGACGACCTGATAGAACCCGATGATGGTGAGCCCCGTTCCTCCCCTACCGCCTCCCCTCTTTTGCCATCGCGGACAATCTGCTAACAGACCATCCCCAGCCGACATCAACGACTTCGACGACCCCCTCCAACAAACAGACCGGACCCCTCTGACGGGCAACATCGGGGCCTCGTCTTCCTCATCCCGCGGCGGCAACCATAACAACGCAACACCCTCATCATCCTCGCTCGGCGGCGGCGGGTGGGCGTCCCGGATCCCCGGCGAGGACCGCCGGGCGCCGACCAACACGATCGACGAGTCGGTGTGGGAGACGCTGCGGCGCGACCTGCTGGCGGTGTGGGGCAAGATGCGCGAGGTGCTGTACCCGCGGCACCTGTTCGGCGGGTTGTCGTCGTCGCCCGAGGGCGGCCTCCGGGGCGCCTACGCCAGCCTGCGCGGGGCCGGGTTCGCGGGCGCGAGGGAGGAGCTCGCCGGATTGGCCGGCCGCGTCATGGATCCCGAGGCGCTGCTCGCGGGGGGCGGCATGTCGCCTGGCCTGAGGGACTGGGACCTGTGGGGCCCGCTGATCTTCTGCTTGTTGCTGAGTCTGCTGCTGAGCTGGCAGGCCATGCCGGACCAGAAGGACATCGTCTTCAGCGGCGTGTTTGCCATTGTGTGGATTGGGGAGGCGGCCGTGACGCTGCAGATCAAGTTGTTGGGAGGGAATATGTGAGTGCTCCTGTCTTTTGCGCCTCCCTCCACTGGAGCTCGTCCCTCGTGGCGTCCGTTGCCTTTGGCACCAACCATCCATGGGGGGAGTGATGATGTTTCCCGGCTTGTTGCTGACACGAAATTCCCCAGATCCTTCGCCCAAAGCGTCTGCATCATTGGATACACCCTCTTCCCAATCGTCATTGCCGCTCTACTCTCGGCGATGCACCTGCACCCGATCGCCAGGGTCCCTGTCTATATCGTGCTCGTCGCCTGGTCCCTTGCTGCCGGCGTGAGCATCCTTGGGGGCAGCGGCGTCGTCAAGAACAGGGTCGGCCTGGCCATTTATCCGCTCTTTATCTTCTACATTGGCCTTGGTTGTTTGTGCTTCATTAGCTAGAGCTGGAGCTGGAGTGGTGCGGTACGCTCAACCGGGCCTTGTATTCCCCCTCCCCATTATTTTCCTTTTTTGAGGATCTAGGCGAAAGGCACACCGGACTTGTGCGTTCGTGTATCGATGGCGCAGCGGTATCGGGGTTAAGATGAGTGCGTATGCGTGTATCTCTAGATATCTCTGGGAGTTTACGAGCAGTCCCATCATAATGCTTAGAATTCCAACTCCTGCTCTGGCAGATCACCATGTTTCTCTGCCATGATTCTCTACTTCACCTCTTTCGGCACTACGGCGTTTCCTCCACTCCAAAACCGGTGGTTCTTCTCGGAGCCTGGGCTGAGGGAGGTTAAGCCCGGAGAGCACAGTCAAGGCTGCCACTATCTTCTCCGTGGACTTCCCTCTCCGAAAGACTTTCGGCTAGGACCAAGTTACTCACATAGAATTGTGGGTTTATTTCACCTATTGGATAGTCTAACCGGTCCCAATGCCTATGTCAATTTTCTTAGCAAGCGACTAAACGCCGCCATTTCATGCGCAAAATGGTTGGGAAGCACAAAACAAGTCCGCTGCTGAGCTCCGAGATCCTGCCCATATAATGCAAATCAAGCCTGTTCAAGACAACGCCGGCTGTGGAACACCTGAAAAAAAGATCGTCTCGAGAACGAAAAAACCGAAAAAAAAGGGCGGGTCTGGTTGGGGGGTTGGTTCTCAATGACCGCCCTCGACGGCCCCTCCACCTTCACCTCCCTCACCATGCGGCCCGGGCGGGTTCGGGTAGTAGGCAGCGGCAACGGCGACGGCGACGTAGACGATGACGCAGAGAAACCCCTCGAGGTAGTTGCTCTTCTGGTCGCGGAGGAAGTTCCCGACGGTGAGGATGGCGAGCAGCAGGACGGCGAGGTCGAAGACCTCAAAGTTGAGCCCCATGGGCTTGCCGAGCCCCCAGCCGACGACGACGACGAGGGGCCCGTTGAAGAGGGCCGTCTGCAGGGTGGCGCCGAGGACGTGCGAGAGGGCAAAGTTCATCTGGTTGTCGTAGGCCTCGTCGATGGCCGTCAGGTGTTCGGCCGCCTTCTCGACGAGCGGCACGAGGATGAGGCCCAGGAAGGCGTCCGAGACGTGCCGGTCCTCCACCACGTAGTGGATCTGGTCGACCAGCGCGATGGCGATGATGGTAACCAGCGCGACAGAGACGGCCAGCGCGGCGACGCACTCGGTGAAGGTTAGCTTCTCCTTGCGGAGGTCCCGAGCCCGGTCGTGGTCCTTCTTCTCGTCATCCTCGAAGATGGCGTCGTAGATGCCGTGGTGGGTCCGGGTCTGATAGAAGATAAATACAAGGTAGGCTACGATGAGGAGGATGGCCGTGATACGAGAGATGTCGATCGACTTGGACTCCAACTCATCGGCGGGCAACGTCGACGAACTGAGGGAGTGCTCGAAGACCGTTGGGATGGCCAAACCAAAGCCACTATTCGGAACGCGCGACGTTAGTCGGACTCGACTCATTCGGGTTTTCTCGCCGAGCGAGGAGAAATGGGAAAGCTCACGCCGTCAGCAACAGACCGCTACCAGCTTCGCTAACAGCTTCGTTAAAGGTCTGTTCATGCCTCCTCAGCCCCCCGGCGATAAAACAAAGACCGAGGCAGAGTAACATGGTGGCAAGGACGGATCCGAGGATCGCAGCTTTGATGACTTGGACATAGTCGACTCTAGGATCCTCGGGCCGGGTGATCAAGACCATAAAGAGGATGATCTCGACTACCGAACCAATGCTATACGGATGGCCTCGATTAGCCTCTGTGCTGGAAGACGGTCCCCTACCCGACCATGGGCATGCGAACTCACGTCGTCTCGGTCAAGACCCCAAAGACGTGGGGGACCTTCCTGGCGAGCTCCTGTCCCGCAAAGCCTATGAGGTTGGCGCAAGGCACCATGGCGATGTACGCCAGGATGAAAATGGTCAGGTGGTTGTCGGGGAGGGCGTATCGGACGGCAATCGCGGCGGGGACAATGGGCCACAGGATATTGACTATGCTGGAGACCTTGCTGGAGGATCGGAAGGCGATGCGGAAGAAGCGAAGGGGGTGGATGCCAGACCGGCCACTCTCGCCAGCTCCTTTGACGCTGAACAGCTGCGCCTTGGATGACCTGCCGTTTCCATCGCGAGCTCCAGCAACATCGCCCTGGTGCACCGGTAGCTCAGTGTGTGAGCCGCTCTTCGACACCGCCCTCTCGGTCACGACAGCAGCGCCATCGCCTGGGGGAGAACTCGGTGGCGACGGCTGGGAAGCCGCCATGGTTAGGGAAGTTGAGGCAGGGATATTGGTATTGCGGCGTTCAGTTCAAGCTTCGGCAGCCTCAGGAAAGAGAATAACAAAACGAATGCGAAGGAGAGAAACGAAAAGTACTACTTACTGGACGGAGATTATCGAAAACACGAGATACCTGATACCTACCAAGTACATCCCGGAGCAAGCCACATTCTCGGCCGCCCTGTTAACGCATCCCCACCACATGGGAAATGATTTGCGGGCGATTGTATTGCCTCACCTTGCAGAGCATTGCTGGATCGACTGCTCCGGCAGGTAGCGGCCTAACAGATGAGGCCCCTGGCTCGATAGCATTAGGTGAAAATACGTGTCGCTGCTGATGGCCAGCGGGCGCCTCGAAGCGCGTTTCAGCCCTGAGGCAGCCCATCACTAACTATCCCTGCAAAGGGAATGCAACCCTGAATCTCGGGGAACGATCCAGACCATGGCCCCATCCATGTCTTTTCCTAGTTCGTCTCTCCTTCTGTTTTCTCCCCTTTCTCTTTTCTTTTATTCCGCCTCGCCCTATCACCCCCCATCTGCATTCCGTGTCGGTCAACATTTAGATCTCGAGGTTAGAATAATCGCTTTCTTGTTGGCAATTGAATAAGCGTATCCAAGAAGTGCAACACGTACAAACGAAGCATGTTGCGGGTATGCGCTGGGCCAAAGCTTGTCTCGACTGCCAAGCAAGACTCGCTCATTCCCGTATTTAGCGGCGATGATAGCGCAAATCCGTTTCAAGATCATAGCAGTGCAAAAGGCAAAGCTGCATGCTTGCTTGATTCTGTGATCTACGGCCTAGGTAGTTCATGTCCCTTCCTCGGCGACTTGGTCGAGTATTATCGCTTCATCGTCGTCGTCTTCTTCCTTTATGCCCGCCACCTGCAAAGCCGTCCGATCCCTCGGCGGCACAGGTTTAGCCAGCACGATCGTCTGGACTCCAGCAGGACTGAACTCCTCGGGGCCCATCGGCAGGGCATCGACGTCGATGCCAACGTTTAGGAGGCTCTTTAGAATCACCTCGCTCCCGGCCTTGCTCATGACCTCGTTTGCCTCCTTGCACAGTTCCGAGCATACACATTCGATGCACCCCTGGCCGCAGCGACAGGCTACCACTCTGGCGAGGGCCTGCTTTAGGAGCAAGTCGATAAATTCGAACGCCTTGGTGTTGATGCCCGACCCGCCCGCGCCGCCCTTCGCGTCGTAGAACGTCAGACGGGCCGGCCGTTTCCTCTGCGTCTCCTTCTTGGCAAACTCTTTGAGGCTGTTCTTACACTCTGTCCGCACATCGCCAGGCATGCTGATGACGAAGTTTGGTATGAGGCTCATAATAGCGTGCTCTGCCGCATGGATCGAACCGGCCACGTTTAAGCGGCGCGCCACGAGGATATCAAGCGCCTGTCGGGGGATGTCGAGCCACATGCCCTTGCTGTACCTAGTGACGGGCGGGTTATCGACCTGGACGGCGTCGAGGATACGGTTCTTCTTGTCGATTTTGAAGTAGCCAAAGACAACCTGCGTGATCTTGATTGCACCGTGATACGCCCGAACCAGTGAGCCAGGGATGCGCTTGATAGCCTCTGTCTCTACGGGGTCGATGTCGGTATAATCCCGTTGTTCGGTAGTCCAGTCCACCTTGACCTTTTCCACCCTTGCCATTCGCTTATCCGGGTTGAAGTCTTTGACCAAGTATGTAAGTCCTTGATGGAGGAAGATGGCCCCGTCGTATATAGTAAAAGTCGCTCGTGAAGCTTCGAGCTCCTCAAGAACGACATTCCTCCCGTGAGTGGTATCGATGATGGCAAAGTGCTCCTCCTCCTTATCTCTGATGGAGACAAACTTTGATGGGAGCGGCCGGAATCTATCATGGCAATGGAAGAAGCCTAGACCGTCCCCAAGCAGGCGCTCTTCGCATATCTGGGCCAAGTCCTCGCCGAAATACTGAGCGTCTTCAGCCGGGCGTATGGGCATCTCATATGCCGCACACTGAATATGGCCCTCTCTGACGAGCATGTTCTCGAGGTTCACCTGAATCTCGCAGTTCGGCTTGGTGAAGAGCTCGTCGGGATTCTGCATGTAATGTTGGTCCGTCGGGAAGCAGTCGCCTACTAATATGGATAGCGAGTCCTTGTTTCGCCGGCCAGCTCTTCCACTCTGTTGCCTGAGATTGGAGATCGTGTATGGGAACCCCCAAGTCAAAACGCAGTCCAACGTGCCTATGTCGACGCCAAGCTCCAATGCAGTCGTGGCAATAATGCCCATGAGTTTTCCTTCAAACATCTCGCTCTCGATTCTCCGCCGGTCCTGGGCGGTGTAGCCTCCGCGATAACCCATGACTCGGGCAACACACTCGGCTCGGCCAAGATCCTCCAGCTCCTGCTTCACCGCTCCAAGCAACTTCTCGCATTGCTTGCGAATTCGGCAGAAGGCAATGACACGAACGCCGCGCAAGATAAGCTGACAAAACAGCCGCGAGCACTCGAAAATTGAATTTCCGCGCCCGCTTGACGGGTCTGCGGGGTCCTTGAAGGGCGTATTCCAACACAGGAACTCCTTACGACCAGACGGAGACCCGTCGAAATCAACCAACCGCACGTCGTCGATCCCGAAGATGGTTTTGAAGTGCTCCTCGGGGTTTGCTACCGTGGCCGAGCACGAGATGAACTTGACGCTCCGGTTGCCAACAGCGGCGCAGATGCGCCTTAGTCTCCTCATGATGAAGGCCATGTGGGACCCCATCAGCCCGTTGTAGTAATGTAACTCGTCGACGACGACATACTTTAGGTTCTTCAAAAAAGTCCTCCATCTCTCCTCCTGTGGAAGGACGGTGATGTGTAACATGTCGGGGTTGGTAAAGATGACGCGTGCTTCGTCGCGGATATTGTTTCTCTCCCCCATCGGGGTATCGCCGTCGAAAGTCTCGACCAGCATCTCCTCCAGGCCGGGTATATAGCCCAACATCTCCTTTAAGCTCCGCTTCTGATCTTGCGCCAGGGCTTTGGTCGGAAATATGTACATCGCCCGGGAGTGGTGGTCTCTTTCAAGGGCGTGCAAGACGGGAAGCTGATAGATCAAGGATTTGCCAGAGCTTGTCGAGGTCGCCACCACAACATTATGTCCCTCTTGTAGGTGGTTGATCGCTTTTGCCTGGTGGGCAAAGAACTGCGTTATCCCCTTGGCATTGTATAAAGCATTGACTAAATCCTGACTGAGCAGGAAATTCAAATCGCCGTAGACTGGTTCTTGTGCGTCAAAAACACGGTGCCCATCCGGCACAATTTGGCCCGTATACCAAGGACTGTCCTTTAGCTCTTGGACTATGTCGGGGATGCTCTTCCGCTCCTTCGGGATGCTTTCTGGAAGTGTGTTGAGACCTCGTGTTGGCGACGCTTCCCGATGAGTTAAGGGGTGAGGAATGTAGGCCTCTGCCTCGCTCCTCAGGGCAATCTCTGGATCGAGATTCTCCGCCACACATTTGTTGAGAAACTGATTCATGGCGTGGGTGAACTTGATGTTTCGCTTCTCTATGAGGGTGGTCATCTGCTTCTGGCTGAAGACCGGCATCTTTAGCTTCTCTTCCCTAAGTTTTCGCGTGGGATCGGTTGGTTCGCCCGTCTTTTTGTTCTGGACCTGACGTTTAAGGTCTTCGCCGACGAACTCGAAATAGAGCACGTCTTGGCCGCTCACAGCCTCGTCCGTGGGGGTGGTGCCGAGCCCTTCCAACCCCGTCAAGCCACCTACGGAGGCATCTGGCGCAAACGCCTGTGAGCGCTTGCCTCTAACCTTCCCTGTTTTGAACGTATCATCCTTCTCCGCTCCCTTGATGTCGATCTGAAGCATGAGCTCATCCACATATGCAAACTTGATGCCGTCCGGACGGAGAGCAACGACAGCTGCCACATCCTCGATAAGGAGTTTCCGCTTCGTGTGGGCCTCGACAGCTGATCTTATAGTGTCAAAAGTGGTAGCTAGGTGCTTTCGCGTGCTGCAAAAGGTGAACACCAAGTTCAGTGCTCTGTGAGTCTTATCAAGAGCCTTGAACCATTCTGGCCACTCGACGAGGCATTCGACAGTTTCTGCGGCAGTTTCTTCTCTATCGACCCTAGATGACTTCCCTTTACTTGCTACGGCTCCTCGAAAGGATCCGGGCTTATCGTTTTGAAGATTGTCTGGCGCAGAGCTAGCATCGGTCGAACTCTGCTCCGGTGTCTCAGGGAGAGGGACTCGGTCGACAAGTGTTGCATCCCGCTTGCGCTTTCCCTTTCCCAAATGCCCCACAAAAGCAGTGGCATCCTTCGCAGACCCGGGCATCGTGCTGGTGCTCAACATATAAGGAGCGACATAATGGGTTGAGGTTGTGGGCGTGACGCGGATATCAGGTGCCAATTGGCTGTGGATTGACACGAAAATGTCAGGGTATCACGTGGCATCCCCCCCCTCTTTTCGCTCGTTCTTCCAGAACCAGCTGGCATATCTAACCAAGGTCTAGGTAGCTACCTACCTATTCAATTAACCTAAGAGTGTTGGCCTTGCAAATTAACTGTCTTCCCCCCCCCCCCCCGCGGCATGTGCCAACTCCAGAGAATCCGAGATACCTTATCAGATAGCCCCGCACCCGTCTAAATTCCCGATGCTTTTGACCTCGGGATCGGAAAGGGGGTAGTACTCGGCAGGTCACCCGCCGTATGTATATACATAAGTGCTTCATAGCCCACATAACAGTCACCTAGGTAGTCATTTAATCCTTAGGAATCCAGTCATTCCCCGGGAACACCCTGATTATAGAATGTCTTCTCTCCTCCGTATTGGGTAGAAGGCGTGCTAATATACTCCCCCCTGCCTTTTCTAGGAGTGAGAAATAGAGTAAACGTTGGGGGGTTACATCATTGCGCTCTATGTGTGGCGATCTCAGTGGACATGGCCAGGCTGAAAGGTTCGACATTTATCCTAGACATCTCGTAGTTGTCTCTGGATAGCCTGCATCAGGCTGGTGAAGGCAGTAGCATTCACCTCGCTCATCTGGGTGCCAGGTTAGCAGGGGGGAGAGGCCTGAAGGGTCAGTAAATGGTGGACCCACCTTCATCTGAACCTGCTTCGCCTCATTGCCATCAAACGCCGTGAAGAGAATCAGTGAGGACTTCAGCTTCTTAGACAGGTTGAAGTCCATTGCTGGCAGGATGGGCGTGTTCAGAATCACACGGAGCGTGTGATCTTGTCGCATGATGAGCCGAACATTCTTGCGGCCCTTACCCTCGTCTTCAGCATCATCGTCCTCCAGGACCGAAGCATCAAAAGACTCCGGTTTCGGATTTCCGAAGTCATCAAAATCGATTGTTGACTCGGGGACATTGACCTTGAGCATGCCACCTCCACGCTCTTTCCAGCCGATGCCCTTCTCCATCTGGAACATCTTTGCACGGACTTGCAAGAGTGTTACTTCGCCAGCCTCGCCGTCATCGATGACAACTATAAGATATTAGTCCGAAATACGGGGCATGGAAAGGAGAAAGGAAAAAGATTATGATTCTTACCCTTCTGCAACTTCGGCTTCTTCTTGTCTTCGGAGGACGGCTTTGCATCGTCCTTGTCCTTTTCTTTCTCCTCTTCGTTCTCGGAGCTTTCTTCGCCGGCACTCCCTTTCTCGTCGTCCTCATCATCACCACTCCCATCCTCGGCGTCGCTTTCTGGTGCACCAAACGGCTTGGCAGGCTTGTCGCTCTTAAACGCCTCGCCTGGCTTGGCAAAGGTGGCCAATCGTGGACCGGAAAGGACACTCCCAAATGAGCCGCTACCCAATGTACCACCCAAAGCGCCACCAAACCCGGTGGACTGCCCATTAGATCCTGAAAAGGGAGATGCCGGCCCAGTCGCCAGCCCACCCCCGAAACCAAACTTCGGTGCCGCAGTCGCAGTCCCAGATTTTGCAGTCCCAACTGCAGCAAACGGTGATGGGGATGCCGTCGAGCCGGAGCCGAATACGCTTGGCTTCCCAGAGGATCCCAAGAACCCGAAAGGTGAGGCAGAGGATGATGCGAGCTTGGCAAATCCCGACTGGGCGAAAGCAGAGGCTGACGGTGGTGGCTTTTCATCTGCTTGGGCCTTTGATGTCTCCGTTTTGGTATTTTCTGTGAGAGAAGGTTTCTCTAAGCTCGACCTGGCGGAGATGGTGGTAGATGACGAGGCCTGGAGCTGTAAGCATATGCGTGCGCGCGAGGGGTCAACCTGATTTGGGAAGAAGAGTCCTCACCTCATCCTCCACATCCTTCCCAGACTCTCTAGCATGCTTATCGCGGGCTCTCTTCTTAACGGGCTCCGACCGATCTGCCCCGCTGAGTGTCACCCTGCCGTTGCCGAGTTTCGCAGCTCCGTGCTCGGCAGCAGTGCTATCATCGGAATCCTTAGGCTCGTCAAGCTGGTCGTGGGCTCGCTTCTTTTTCGGGGACGATATCTGCTCCCTCAGTTTGTCGCCGTCCACATCGCGCATCTCCAGCTCGGGGGTTTGGGCCCTCTCAGGCGACCTGTTGTCCCCCCCGCCCTCGTCGTCCGAGGTCGCTTCCTCGTCTTCTATGTGCCCTCCTTTCTCGGAAATGGAGGTTTGCTTGAGCTCCCTTCGTGCAGCAGTAGTTTCGGCATCTTCCTTGGCGGCTATGGCCTCGACGTGATCTGAGGTTTCGCTCGCGTTCTGTGAATCGTCCGCCATAATGCCAGAGTATATCTCGGAGGCGCGTCTCAACAGCAAAGTCGATGGTGTCGTGCGAGGATGAAGGAAAGCAGGTGATCGGGGAGAGACCGGGCGAGGTGATTTTATTCTGCGATGCCTGACAAAGAAAGATATATCGAAGAGCGAACTTGGGTGGGGTCAGCGAAGAAGGCCAGATGCTGACCACTTTCTTTGGGTCGCGGATGCGGTGCCAGATTCAGGTAAGGCAGTGGGTGGTAGGTAGATCAGTGGGTGGTGGAAATTGGCGGTGGCCAATTGAAAGCCGAGTGGGGAACCAGGAAGATGACGAGCATGGACAGGCACGGCCGCACAACAGGCAACAACTGCCACCAGTTGACTATCCTGCTCAGCCTAAACTCGAAATTTTGGCAGTTAGACTTGACCTGAGACTCAGAATTTCCTCCCCGAAAAGTTAGAATAGCTGCCCAAGTATCTTGGTGTGAACCTACTCAGATAGGTAGGTATGTGTATGTATGTATCCGTAGAAGTTCGCACATATGCTCCTAATTCTCCAGCAACCAAGTACACATAGTAAAAGGGAAATCGGGCACTACATTACCAGCTAAGAACGAAAGTAGCTGTGCGGAAACATCCAAATATGTACATACGTAGACTACAACAGATACGCTGTTTCAGTTATTATATTTAATTGAGTAGGTAAACACAGACTGCTTTCCCAACTCCTCGTACATGGCTTATCAAAATATGTTTCTGTTAATACTTGAAGGCTAAAGTGCTGTACTGCACAAGCAGTCAGTCATATGTAGCAACTATGTAAGGTGTCAATAGATAAGAAACGGAGGACAAGGCGGCGACCAGAGCAGCGTGTGTTGCCATCGTGTCACAACATACAACACCAAATTAAAGGCTTGCGAAATCTGCCCGGGGTACCTAGGTGTGTATCTACTGTTGGTAGGTACCTACCGCTAGCGATTGAAGGACCCCTCAGTATGTTTGGCTCACGTCGCCGCCTATTATTTGAAGAACATGATAAAGACCCTTGGCTGATGAGGGGAGCCCATTCAGGTCCCAATGGGACCCCGCCATGCCGCCCAAAAGTTATTCCGATTTGTTACCGACCCCGGCGTGATATTGCCGCGCTAATTGGGCCAATGGCGCAAAGTATTGGAGGTAAGCTTTGAGAGCAACATTGGAGTCGATACTTTTCTTGCCATCACCCCTAAGTTTCCGTCGAGCTGAAGCTCTTCTTTCTTTTCGCCAAACCACAGTCTTCACTCCTGCCACCAATCCTTCAGTATAAGCAGTGACTCACTCATTCCTGTTTGCCGGTTGTTGGCTCCGCACCCTCTCGTCACCGATGCCGACTCTCGCTGATGGGTTTTGCCGCTTTCGATGCCTTGAACCCTCCGTCCCATAGCATATCGATTCAACGAATGTAGCGGCACAGCCAGCACGACTCTAGCGAAAGAAACTGTTCCGCCCCTCTCCGGTCTACCATGGATCGCGCCAGGAGACGTCAGTCATATCTTGCCCCCCACTTCGACGTCTAGTCTTATTAGTCTGTATCTGATCCCCAATTGCAGGCGAGTTGCGAGAAAAGAACGAGTGCGCTTGGGATGGCGAGAAAGGTGAATATGGGCATACGATTGGCAATCGTCTCCCTCTATTAGTCAGGCGCCTAACATTTTCCTAGACCTGTTTCCCGTCAGCAAGTCTCTCGACGCAACCCTGAAGAAAAACACGGCCTTTATCAAGCGTTTGCGCACTGCAATCTCTGCCGCGACCCTCAACACATTCCTCCAGGAGATCCGTACCGTCAGCCTGCATAAATACCTCTCTGAGATAATTGCGGCGTGCTATGAAGGCCTCTGCAGGCTCAAATCACCAGGAGAGGTCGAGGCCGGCGTGGAGATTGTCAGTGCGTTGCACCAGAGATTTGGCCCGGGGGAGTTTACCGAATATCTGGGATGGCTGCTTGGGAAGGGCATGGCCACTCCCGACAAGAGCTTTCTGAAGTCTCTTGCATCCGAAGCCCGCGAGAAGGAGGAAAAAGATCGTCTGGTTCGCCAACGGATCCTTCTACGCGTCGTCACCGAGCTATGGCTTGTTGGGGTCCTTCGAACACTTGACGATGTTTCCCGTCCCGACGACGCCACCAAAGGTGCAGCTGGCAAGGTATCAGAACTTAAGCTCCGCAGTACCTCAGCAAAAGGAGGTGGGGCCGAGCCGTTCCCGTTGGAGGTGTTGAAGGATCTGCTTGGCCATGACAGAGAGCACGCGAATCTTCCTTTGCTGGTGGTTTTTGTGAAAACCTTTAGTTGGGACATCTTGGGTGTCAAGGCAGCTGGTTCTGATGGTCGCAAAACGGTCGAAGAAGATGGCATGACGAAGCTTGACAACGGCCCAGAGGAAGGCCGGGAGGACGACACCTCTACATCGGTTGACGATCCGCCGTTTACCACTCCCGAGCTGCAGGAGCGTTTCAAGAATATTCTCAAGCGATACTTCGAGGATGTCAAAGCCCACCTCACCCGCGACCAGAAAGCGATCTTCAACCAGTCCCGTAGGAATGCCGAGGCATATGTGAAGTCCGGAGAGGTCTTCGAAGACCGGCAGGCCAATTTCGAGAAGCAAGTCAAGGCCCAAGAACGTTTAGTCGCCAATGCCCACGTCATTGCGGACGCCATCGGAGCCGAGATGCCTGATCTCAAGGACACCGATGACCCCTCCAACGCTGCAAACGGTTCCATCGGCATCGTAAGGGCCGGGGAGTACCTACGCGGTCAAGGAGATGGTGCTGGGATGTGGGCCGATGAAGAAGAGCGCCGCTTCTACGAAAATCTTGTTGACCTCAAGGGAAAGGTTCCTGGCATACTTCTCGAGGAGGCCAAGAAAAAGAAGCCAGAAGCCGATGAGCAAGTGGGCAAGAAAACTGATCCCGCCGACACCGCTGAAGCACCCAAGTCTACAGAGGCGTCATCTGATGACCAATCGACAGCTATTGCCAACAAGACTATTGGGGCCCAGGTCGATGCTCTCCTCCTTCGGCTCCCAGACTTGACCAACAAGGACATCATCGACCAGACGGCCATCGATTTCTGCTTCCTTAACTCCAAAGCTTCCCGAAATAGGCTTGTGAAGGCGTTGACCGAAGTCCCAAAAGGCCGCAGCGATCTTCTTCCTTGCTGGTCAAGATTGGTTGCGACCCTCGGCAAGTACATGCCAGACATCCCAAAGGGTCTCGTTGATTATCTCGACGCTGAGTTCCGCAGCCTGCAAAGGCGCAAGGAGAAGGACTTTCTTGGCCAGGTTCGGCTCAGCAACATCCGATATCTTGCCGAGTTGACCAAGTTTGGCATCGTCCCAGAACACGTCGTCTTCCACTGCCTGAAAGTCAGCCTCGACGACTTCTCCCGGATGAACATCGAGATCATCTGCAACCTGTTGGAGAACTGCGGCCGCTACTTGCTGCGCAACCCAGAGACCTCGCCACGCATGGCATCGTTCCTCGAGACCCTGCAGCGCAAGAAGTCCGTCCAGCACATAGGCCAGTCCGAGCGAATGCTTATCGAGAATGCCGTCTACTACGTTGATCCACCGGAACGGCCAGCGATTCAGCAGAAAGAAAGGACGCCTATGGAGCTCTTCATCGGCAAGCTGATATATGCCGATCTTACCAAGCGTAACTACAGCAAGATTCTAAAGCAGATACGCCGGCTTCACTGGGAAGAGAGAGAGGTATGTAGTGACCAATTCCTCGAGGACAAAAAACCAATGGACCCAGCACTAACCCGACCACAGGTGGTTGATATTCTTCACAAGGTCTTCTCCAAGCCGGGGAAGGTCAAATATGGCAATGTCCATCTCCTTGGCATTCTCCTCAGCGCATTGTATCGGTACCATAGCGAGTTCGTCGTTGGTGTCATCGATACACTGATCGAGTCCATTTGCTTCGGGCTCGAGCAGAACGATTTCAAGTTCAACCAGAGGCGGATCGCCGAGGTCAAATACCTGGGAGAGCTCTATAACTATCGCATGCTGGAACATCCCGTCGTCTTTGAGACGATGTACAAGGTCATGACGTTTGGCTGGGGTATGTGATAGATGCCCTCCCATCCCACGCAGGGGCGCACTAGCAGACTAACAACCAATACCAGGAGGACCCCCAACCCCGGCTCGCATCAACCCATTCGATCTGCCGGATGATTACTTCCGTATCCGCTTGATCTCGACTATCCTGGAAACATGCGGGATGTATTTCAATCGCGGCGCTGCTGGAAAGAAGCTCGACTACTTCCTCTCATTCTTCCAGTACTACATCCATACCAAGAACCCCCTCCCAATGGATATCGAGTTCATCGTTCAGGACATCTTTGCACTCACTAGGCCTCAGTGGAAGCTCGCCTCGAACTTCGAAGAGGCATCCAAGGCATTCCAACTGGCTGTCGCACAGGATCAGAAGTCCTCTGGGATTGACAAGTTGGGAGATCTAGACGACGGGTCCAGCGGCGGATCCTCAGATGACGAAAACGCGGACGAACTGGCCCTTGTAGAGCCGGACGACGATGAAGAATCGGGGTCCGAGGACGCAGATGGCGAGGTATGTCCCGACCAAATTTCGTCTTAACACGCGGCGGCAGAAACTAACGAGTGCGGATCGGACAGGATCTCGAGCATAACCAATCTACCCGCGACAGCGAATCCGAAGATGAGGCTATCGTCGTCACTAGGCAGGAGGAAGAAGTCGACCCCGAGGACGAAGCGGAATTTGAGCGTGAGTATGCAAAAATGATAGCTGAAAGCCTAGAGTCGCGGAAATTCGACCGGAAGCAGCAATTCGACCTCCCTCTGCCCCTGAGGACGAAAATCCGCGAGCCGTCAACGTCAAACGAGGCTGGGGAAAGCACCACGGATGGCATGAGTGGCACAATGGCCTTCTCGCTTCTTACCAAGAAGGGGAATCGCCAACAGGTGCGTATCGATCTCGCTAATATTGTGCCATTCTGCGGGCTAACGGGACTTCGCAGGCACGAACTGTCGAGTTGCCATCTGACTCCAACTTCGCCATTGCGATGAAGCACCAGCAGCAGGCAGAGAAGGAAGAGCAGCAGCGGATCAAAAACCTAGTGCTCAACTATGATCTTCGGGAAAACGAAGATCAAGATGGTGAAGCGAACTTTGCACCCCTTGCCCCTCGTATTAATATTCACACTGTATCCCGCCCAGGTCACGACAGAACGCCTCCTTCCTACCATCACCCGCGCCCCGATAATAAGACGGGCAAAGAGCGTGGCGGGCAGCGTGTCCGCAAACTTCAACTCAGTGATGTCGACTGGTATGACAAACCCCTCAGGGACGAAGACAAGCCAAGCGAGCATGTCGCAGAACCGGGTCCTTGTACTAGTGCTAGACGTGGTCGAGGACGGTCCTGCCGGGAGACTGGAGGACCCCTTGAGATCCGACCTGAAAGCAAAGCAGGTGGGAAAGAGCATGACTAGCAGCCGTCGCATGCTCTCTCCTTCGGGCTCTTGGCATCAACAGGGCCACTAGGACAGCGGAGCGTTCTGATCGAGAAAGGCTTGACCCGCGTTCGTTTTTACTTTTTTTGCCCAAACATGGCTGACGCTGGCCCCTCAACTGGCACCATCACAGGACTTGACCACGGCATACCCGAGCTATGAGATCGGTCTTCCGGCATGAGCAACGATCACGACGATCGCCTGCATGTCTTGCCGCTCACTTATCAGTCGCCATCCAGTTATCGAGCGAGGCCCCAAGGCCGGGATAGCAGTTGGATTGACAGAGCCGCCATTCGCCTGCTCGTTACCGAGACCGGGAATGGGTCTTCCAGTGAGCAGCAACGGCTGTTACACTAGGCGGCATTCCAGCCCGACTCCCAGAAGGAATCGAGCGGCTCGGTCGAGTGCCCGGCAGGGATAGTTGGGACGGTTTTGCTAGCACATCCGCGCAACGGGAAGCGAAATGAACAGAATGCGGTACGCAGGGGGGGAAGAGAAAGGATTCTTTGACAGGACGCGCGGAGGGGTGAAGTGCGTCAGCGCCGGCTATATTGGACTGGTAGCCCAGCTTTCAACCCGTGGATTGTAGAATACGAGCACACCGGCGCTGCCGCCTGCCTGAGCCTCGACCACTATCGGCCCCGACCAGGGACTTGTGGAGCAGCCTCTTAGGAGACAGTTCGCCTGATCTTTGCTACCACTCTTCGTATTGCCGGCGGGGTGGGGGGCCCCTGGGGAGAGGGCGCGCGGGACAATGGGGTATACAGAAAAACATTGCTTTTGCTAATTGGCCGTTCTCGAAGCTGCAGCTGCCTTGTTTCTCTCCCTCTCCCTCTCAATCTCTTGGCAGTCCCAGCCACTAAGACTTTGAAAATGTTTCCTGTACAGACATTTGCGATGATGTCAAGCTCTTTACAATATCAACACAAAAGTCAAAGCGTAAAGGGGCTCCCTTCCTTTTCCACTCCTTCCTCCCTCCCACCCCCACCATTTGCAGATCCCTACAGGCCATCCAGCGGCAGGAAGTTGGAGGTAGCGAATTGTTGATAGGTCCCAAGTGCGTCGCAAAAATGAAGCACTATAATTATGATTCAGAGAAAAGTGGGTTTGGAGAAGTGAGAGACTCCCGTCCTATGCACGAAGCACGTTGTTCACAGTACTGGGGTATTCGGACCTATATAAGTTGCGGCGTCTGATGTAAGGTCTTCCAGAACATGGCATATACTGATGACTATAAGCCGATCGTTGGCGGTGGTTGTGGTGGATCAGAAGGTGCCGTACTGCCGTAGGGGTTGCATCGGCTTCTGTCTGGGGTTCGGGTACCTGGTTTTAGCGCGCCTTATTGGCGTCCGTGCGGACTGGGCTGCGTCGTTGGTTCTTTCCGCGGTTCAACATCAACCCGAACTTATAAATTAGGCAAATTTGACCACGGAATCAACGTGGGCGAGCTCTACTCGGACTGCTTAGTGGCATCGAATCGCCGGACCCTTATAGTGACGACGTGTTGTCTTTTTGGAAACAACCAAGTCGACAGCGAGATACTGGTGAAGACCCCTATTCAACATCCATGGAAGTCATTGAATTGAATATGGGTTTGGTGAGGCACTGAGAGCACCACTTACACGGCGATGCTGGTACTCAAGCGGCCGCTGGTCGATCCCGGTTTGAACATCCAATTCTTCCTGCGTCCTCGTTTGCGTAGGGTATCCTGGGCTCTCCTGTTGAATACCTGCTCCAAGAAGGATCGCGGGTTACTGTATATCAACACTCGCCGCCTTTTCTTTCACTTCGTTAGTTGCCAAACTCTTCCAACCCGCTTTGCTGAACTCCACATCTAGCAAGTGATCACTTGCGGCACCTGTCTCTTTTATTTTATGCCTCGCCTGTGTAAACGGGCCATACCTTGTTTGAATAGCCCCACGCCTTCGTCACGTCACCGAAGCATAGTAAATGCTCGTTTCTATTTCTCATGATGAGACGTTATTTGTTATCAGGTCCGTTTGCATCCCGGATACTGAATACCTACTACTACTTGCCCATCGCTCAATCTGTTTCATTCTGGCGCTGTACAAGTTCTCCAGCCCGCAGAAAAGATCGACGTACTGATATTTGTTTATGGATGTTCTTTTTGCCCGGTATCATCTGACGTTAACCGTCGAGCCGGTAAGACTCCTCTAGATTGGATTTGCCATCGCCCCCCGGCTAAAGTAGCTTCATTTACAGATATTGTCGTTCCCCCCTGGCCGCCGACGTATTGTCTGCATGTCACTCGTCCTCCACTCCCTTTCCCTTTTTCCTTACCTCACCTGCCAATCTTCTGCATTGGCATCGTCTTTGTCCTCCCCGGTTCGACATTCCACTGCATCGAGGACGAATGCAAGGAGGTCCGATGTCTCTCTCCCCTGGATGCTCGGGGCGGACCGCGTCATTCTTTAAATAAATCACGAGCGAATAATCCCGACCGCAATTCTTATACGAAGGCCACCTCCTCCCCTGGCTTGTCGAGGGGGGTTCCTGCCTTGCCTGTTACCGGTCCTGCAAGCAGCCGTGTACCCTGCGCCCGCGTACCTGCACTTGCCCATCGGCCACTCACCGTACGTTGGCAGACTGGAAGAGCTCTCCGGTGGCTGAGCCGGGCTTTGGCCCACCTCTGGAGGTTGAGTATTCGTTCTGGAGAGCCTTATCTAGTCGCTCCCGCCTTGATTGCCCATGTCCTACACGCCTGGGTGGTAGGTATCAATCTGCTGTCGCCGTCGTCTCAAAATGGCGGACGATATCACCGAAACATGGCCGGTCAAGGATGTACGTGCCCACGCTCGCCCCATACACCCACCCAAGCTAGCCTAGGTAGTCGAGGCTGACTTGCTATGCACTCTAGATTGTATACACGGCCATCGTTGGGCTGGTCATGATAGCGGCCTTGCTCGAATGGTTCTTGTGGATAGCAGCGTTTACGTACTGCCTGTGGAAAGTCTTTTGGAAGGCTGAACACTGGACTGTCAGGGTACTGGCTGTAGTGGTTGCGATTGCATTCATCTTGCTAAGGTAAAGCCCCTTCACCCATTCGTTGGGTCGTTCGGCCAGCTAAAAGAATGTATTCAAGATGCATATTCCTGCCCATCATGCTCGTCACCCTACCACTTCCAAGCACGATCGTCAAGTACTGGCCCACTTCCATGGTCGCCATCCTCCAATGGTTTGCCTTCTGGAGCTTCGCAGGGCTGCTGACCATTCCCTGGCTCTTCTGCGTCTACCAGATCGTAACGCACCAGCTGGGGAGAACGAAAAGGATAAAGCAGGTTCTCGACGAGACTTCGGCCCCGAAAGTCGTCATCGTCATGCCATGCTATAAGGAAGAGCCGGAAATCCTCATCACGGCGATGAACTCGGTCGTCGATTGCGATTATCCGCCATCTTGCATCCACGTCTTCCTTTCCTTCGACGGCGACCAAGAGGACGAGCTATATCTCAAAACCATCGAGAAACTCGGCGTCCCTTTGACACTGGAGTCGTATCCTAAGAGCATCGACGTCACGTACAAGGCGGCGAGGGTCACCATCTCCCGATTCCCCCACGGCGGAAAGCGGCACTGCCAGAAGGCCACCTTCAAGCTGATCGACAAAGTCTACCACGAATATCTCAAGAGGAACGACAACCTGTTCATCCTCTTCATTGATTCCGACTGTATTCTGGATCGAGTGTGCCTCCAAAATTTCGTATACGACATGGAGCTGAGCCCCGGGAACCGCCGCGATATGCTGGCAATGACAGGGGTTATCACGTCGACAACACGGAAGCATAGCATTATCACCCTTCTGCAGGATATGGAGTACGTCCACGGCCAGCTTTTCGAGCGAACAGTCGAGTCTGGCTGCGGCGCTGTCACCTGTCTCCCTGGGGCCTTGACAATGCTACGCTTCTCGGCATTCCGCCGGATGGCCAAATACTACTTCGCCGACAAGGCGGAGCAGTGCGAAGACCTGTTCGACTTTGCCAAGTCCCATCTAGGAGAGGACCGCTGGCTGACCCATCTGTTCATGATCGGAGCCAAGAAGCGATACCAGATCCAGATGTGCACATCGGCCTTTTGCAAGACGGAAGCCGTCCAGAGCGTGCGATCCCTGATCAAGCAGCGTCGCCGCTGGTTCCTCGGTTTCATCACCAACGAGGTCTGCATGCTGACCGACTGGCGCCTGTGGAAACGATACCCAATCCTGATCATGGTCCGTTTCATGCAAAACACCATCCGGACCACCGCGCTTCTCTTCTTCATCATGACGGTCGCGCTCATCAGTACGGCGAAGAAGGTTAACGATCTCCCTGTCGGCTTCATCGCCATTTCCCTTGGCTTGAACTGGTTGATGATGATCTACTTCGGTGCAAAGCTGAGGCGGTTTAAGATCTGGCTTTATCCGATGATGTTCATTCTCAACCCTTTCCTCAATTGGTACTACATGGTCTATGGCATCTTCACCGCAGGGCAGCGCACCTGGGGTGGCCCACGCGCGGATGCTGCCACGGCTGACTCGACCACCACAGCTCAGGAGGCAATCGAGAAAGCCAAGGAAGCCGGAGACGAGCTCAACATCGTCCCCGAGTCGTTCATTCCCGCGGCCGAGGCGAAGAAGGAGAAGGGCTTTGGCAAGCGCGCGAGGAAGAACGACATCGTTCAAGATCTGGGGAGGTCGCGCAGTCTTTTACAGCCACCCGACAAAATTGCCGGCAAGTTCGCTGCACCTGAGAGAACACCAAGCGGCTGGTACCAGCACCCAGATGACTCCATGGCAATTGTCGAAGCCCTTGCGGACTCGTCAGCCTACGGAGGCAAGAGACACGGACCTCATCGCCGCGACTCGTTTGACAGCACTTTCTCGGCCCAGACTGGCAGCTACTCGGTGCACATGCCGCGCCGCGTCGAGAGCATCATGGGCGAGGAAGATCGCCGCAAGTACGAGCTAGCCCAATCTAGCCAACTAAACCAGTTCATGGCAAACTCGAGGCTCTTCCAGGGCCCGTCACCTGGCCAAGTCTACGAGTTCTCCGACGCCGAGCTACAACGAGCAGGCTTCACCGATCCGGTGGACTCCCCACCCAACGCCGCCAGTACTGCGAGCCGGCCGGCGCATCGGAGACTTGCCAGCAATGGCAGCCTGACGTCTCGAACGTCGTCGTCCGAACAGAACTCACAGGGGCTGCCGCAGGACCCCACCAGGGCCAGTCTTCAGCACCCTCAGCCTCCGCCCAGCGCATCGGCAAGGACCGGGAGGAGCCCATTGGGGCGGGCCAGCTGGGTACGGACATCCACCGTGGACGAGGTGCGAGATGAGATCGAGGCATCACATCTTGATCCGGACAGCGGAGAGACATCCCCAAGAATGGGACAGGGCCCATGGCCGGGAAGGAGCGGGCCCCAGTAATGGAGAGCACAGGACACGAAGTGGGTTCGAGAAGAACAAGCACGGGTTCACTGGATATCGAATAGACAGACTGCTTTGCATACAAAAGGCGCAAGTGTCAGACTGTTTCCTCATAGGAAGGCATCGCATAGTACCTGAACTTACGACGAGCTGGATAAGCAACGTGGAAACGGATGGGGCCTTTGCGTAGGGAGAGTGGATGGAATCCCTCTACCCTAGAAACAAGGTGTGCGTATGTCTGTATGCATTGGCTGTGAGTTGGTTATTTAAGGCCAACATCGCCGTAGCAAAAACTTGTTGCCTTTTCACACACCACAACTCGCGCAATTTGTCATTAGATATCCCAAGGTGGGGATGTAATTCTGGGCATTTGCAATAGGATCTCAGTCCAAGGCGCCCAACGTCACCTAATAGGGCCACCAGTGGCTCGGCATGGCGCTCTGGGCTGGTCATTTTATGGTGGGGCAGCACGACAATGGCTGGCGGTGAAGCCTGGAAGAAAGGTGGGGTGATAGATTCACGCCAGGGAATAGACAGTACCCAGATAGAGATTTGGTCTGTATACATCTGTATCTATCACGTAGTGTCACTTGCCTCAACCTAGGCGATGGCAAAAAGAAGAGAAAAAGCTTGATCTGATGTCTCCAATTCTCAGATGGCTCGGCATTGTGATTAGACGACAGATAACTTTCTAGTGGATATAACCTGTCCATGCCAAGAACAATTGGTAGGGGCTATGTATACATAGATGGATGTTGTTGTGCGGCCAACGACCAGAACCTTCTCCGTGGTTCCAAGTACGTATGTCTTGGCAGACCCCACGGGTGAATTAAATCGCCCTCCAACTCAGAGGTCTGGTAACTAACCATTTTTTCGTCGATTTTTTTTCCGCCCCCCTCCTCCTTCGAAACAAAGTCCATAATCTGCGATACCGATCACACAACATCTTACCTTTTGCGCAACCATAAATTCGTCTTCGACTCCCTGTCGTTTGACCGTTTCCCACTTAGATTCCTCCCCTGACCTTTTTCAATATACCCACAATTACACAAGGTGTGTTGCGTCCTAAACCAGCTACAGCCCCGCGCCTATCATCTGGATCTAGAACATCTTGTTTACATACTATTCAGGTGCCCCTCACTACCGCCCAACATGAGTGTCGTGGGTAAGTTTGAACCGTCCCAGCCGAAGCCTCCCGTACCACTGAAGAACACTGGCTGACCCGTAGCCGCCTCCTAGGTATCGATTTCGGAAGTCTTAACACCGTCGTCGCCGTTGCGCGGAACCGAGGTGTCGACGTCGTATGTGTGCCCCTCCGTCTATCTGCTCTATGTCGGATGCGACACGTTCGCAGCAAGAGCGCAAGCTGACCGTACTTTTCGGTATATAGATCACCAATGAGGTTTCCAACCGTGCCACTCCGTAAGTCGCCCGGCGCTCCAGTTCGCTTTCCCGTATTGCGTATCTCTGACACGTACTCCTCTGTGCAGGTCACTGGTCGGCTTCGGGCCAAAATGCCGATATCTTGGTGAGGCCGCCAAGACACAAGAGATCTCGAACCTGAAGAACACCGTCGGCTCCCTCAAGCGCCTTGCCGGCCGGTCCCTCCAGGATCCCGATGTCCAGATCGAGCAGCAGTATATTTCCGCGGCGCTCGTCGAGATCAATGGCCAGGTTGGCGCCGAGGTGTCATACCAGGGCAAGAAGGAGCAATTCACAGCCACACAGCTCATTGCCATGTTTCTGAGCAAGATCAAGCTCACCGCCTCGAACGAGACCAAGCTCCCCGTGTCTGACGTGGTTATGAGTGTTCCTGCCTGGTTCACCGACGTTCAGCGCCGAAGCCTTATCGATGCCGCCGAGATTGCCGGTCTGAAGCTCCTGCGTCTGATCAACGACACCACTGCCGCAGCCTTGGGCTATGGCATCACCAAGTTGGATCTGCCAGCTGCTGACGAGACGCCACGCCGGGTTGCCTTTGTCGATGTTGGCTACAGCGACTACAGCTGCTCCATCGTCGAGTTCAAGAAGGGCGAGTTGGCCGTGAAGGGGTCTGCTTATGACCGTCACATGGGTGGCCGGAATTTCGATAAGGCTTTGGTCGACCATCTGGCCAAGGAGTTCCTCGGCAAGTACAAGATCGACATCACCACCAACCCCAAGGCACTGAGCCGTGTCTGGGCTGCCGCCGAGAAGGCCAAGAAGATCCTGTCTGCGAACCAACAGGCACCATTGAATATCGAATCCCTCATGAACGATATTGATGTCTCGGCCATGATCACAAGGCAAGAGTTTGAGGCTATGGTGGAGCCCCTCCTCAACAAGATTGACGACACCCTTGAGCGGGCTCTGGCCGAAGCCAAGCTCAATAGGGAGGACATGGATATTGTCGAGGTTGTCGGTGGCGGCAGCCGTGTCCCTGCCATCAAGGAGCGCATCCAGGCCTTCTTCTCCAAGCCATTGTCTTTCACCCTCAACCAGGACGAGGCTATCGCCAGGGGATGTGCGTTTAGCTGCGCCATTCTCTCTCCCATCTTCAAGGTCCGGGATTTTGCTGTCCAGGATATCATCACCTACCCTATCGAGTTCGCCTGGGAGAAGGATGCCGATATCCCCGACGAGGACACCAGCTTGGTCGTCTTTAACAAGGGGAACGTCCTGCCCTCCACTAAGATCCTTACCTTCTATCGCAAGCAAGCCTTCAACCTGGAGGCCCGGTACGCTAAGCCTGAAGACCTCCCCGGCAAGACAACTCCCTTCATCGGCCAATTCTCGGTCAAGGGTGTCAAGGCCACCGGCGGCCCCGATGACTTCATGATCTGCAAGCTCAAGGCTCGTGTGAACATCCACGGAGTTTTGAATGTTGAGAGTGGTTATTACGTGGAGGATCAGGAGATTGAGGAGGAAATCAAGGATGAGGAGAAGAAGGAGGACGGCGACAAGAAAGACCCGGATGTGAGTAAATCTACCAGGGGTGTGGGAGGCGACGTCTCGAATCCCTCGTCTTCCGTCGAATCAATCGGAGACGGCGAGAGATCGGGTCAGAAACGCCGGAAGCTCGATGCCGGCAACGACCCGAAACCACTCCTCCCTACCCTTGACAGCCTTCTAGCAAACGAGTCAGTGCTAACCTTTAACTCCTCGCCCAAGGCTATGGAGACAGAAGAGGCTGCCAAGCCGAAGACTAGAAAGGTCAAGAAGCAGGTACGCAAGGGCGAGCTTCCCATCGTGAGCGCCACTCGGTCGCTCGACGTGGCTGGGAAGAATGAGCTCTCGGAGAAGGAGGCTGCCATGGTCATGGAGGACAAGCTCGTCGCCGATACCGAGGAGAAGAAGAACGAGCTCGAGACATACATCTACGAGCTCCGCAACAAGCTTGACGACCAGTACGCCGAGTTTGCGAGCGACGAGGAGAAGACGAAGCTCCGGGCCAAGCTTGATGCTAGCGAGGTGAGTGCAGGATAATCCATCCTTTTGCGAATCAGGGACATGACGAACTGACGATGCCTCTCAGGACTGGCTCTATGACGAGGGCGACGATGCCACCAAGGGCGTCTACATCGCCAAGATGGACGAGCTCCGTGCCATGGCCGGCCCCATCGTGCAGCGCCACTTTGAGAAGGTCGAGGCCGAGCGGCAAGCCGTCCTCGCGCGCGTCGAGGCCGAGAAGGCCGCCAAGAAGGCCGCCGAGGAGGAGTCCCGGAGGGCTGCCGAGGCCGAGAAGGGTACACAGGAGGGCGCCAAGGACGAAGAGATGACGGATGCCGACGCACCAAAGGCCGAAGTTGAGGAGGCGAATGGCGCGTAAAAAATGGGAATAGAATAGCATTCCTCTCGACAGGTTTATGGGAGGTCTATAGAGAGGGTATCAGGGTCTGGAACCAAATTTGGGTGGTATAGCGTGGGACCAGGGGTCTCCCCCGTCTGGCTAGTGCAGTCGGAGTTGGGAGACTTCGCGATACCACCAAACGATAAAAGGGAAAATGCCTACTGGTTTGAACAGCGGGAATTGTCTATTTGAATCACAAAAAGTGCCTAAATGCGGAAGCTTCCGGAGAAAGTCACGAAACACACACACAAAGATAGAGCGCGCACTCTTCTTACACAGTAGTTAGTCAGTTAGGGTTGACCGGCGGATGCTTTTCTCTCCCCCTTGGGAACATTCCATAGATAGATATGGTAAAGGGGGCACAACGTCATTTGACCATTTTCCAAGTTCGACTGATCGACGTGCCGTCAAGCCCACACAACTCGTACGCATCTGCCGAGTAGACTCCCAGTGATCTTTCGGCGTCAAGAACCATCAGATGCTACCCGCCAAGATACTTTCTTTTTCCTCTTATTATCAAGGTTGAGTGGAGGAGTGTTGGAAAAAAGAAAGAGAAAAAAGATAAAGTAGGCGCTTCCAAAGTTGCTTTTGCCCCCTTTTTTTATAACCCGGGCTAACTTCCCCTAACATCTACCAAATCCCCTCTCTTCTTCCCCGTGGGTAGCTAGAGTGACCCATAAGTCTCACGGTGGCACAATCACGAGGAGGTGTGTGCGCGTCCCCAGCCCAAGAACCAGAAGAAGAGAAATACGAAGTGCGTGGACTGGGGGATCTCTTGCCTGACCTGAATTACAATCCCGCTCTCACCTATCATGACACAGACCATCAACTAGTCCCCGCGATCTGAAGAAGCCCCAGTCGCTCCCCAATGCCCAATAAACAGACAAGGCAGCGGCTGCTCTAGGAGACGTCGAACATGGGCTTGAGCTTGATGATCAGCTGCCACTCGTCGGCGCTGACTTCCTTGCGGTAGAACTCCTTGAGGCAGTCGATGCTGGCTCGCGAGATCAGGCTGTAGAGGGTATCCCCCTCCTCCAGGTGGCGCCCGTAAGTCGGTTGGTGCCCGCCCATCTCGATCTTGATGGCCACCGAGGGTTGACCCTTCTTGCAGACCGGGACTTGCTTGTGCTCCCGTTCGATGGAGGTGCTGTTGAGAGGAGACTGGTTAGCACTGGCTCATGTATCATTTCACGTTATGGGCTGGGGTAGTAGACTAACACTCTGCCGAGACTGATGACCTCCTTCAGCCCTGTAGTGGGGTTGGTCTTGACGGCAGCGATAGGGGTGTTGATCTTGAGTTGGCCCTCGGTAACGTCAACGCCGATGACGATGGGGCCGGTCTTGTTGAAGACGGCAACCGGGCTCAGTACGCAAGGGAAGACGGCCAGCAGCTTGGACTCTTCCTTCTTCTTCTCGGTCAGCTCATCCATATGCTTGGTGAATGCGTCGAAGAGATGGTAGATGATGTCCGCCGTGAAGATCTTGATACCCTGATCGTCGGCGTATGCCTGCGCCTCTTTGTCGACCTTGACGTCGAAGCAGAGCATCGCAGCATAGTCGGGAGCCTTTTCAAGCATGATGCCGCACTGCATGACATCGCGCTTATAGACCGGGCCAATACCGACGTTGGCGACCGGGATCTTGCAGTCCTTGAGGAAGTCGAGGAGGGCCTCCAGAGAACCGAGCGTCGACGCCTGGACGCTGACACCGCGGCCAGATCTCTCGACTCTGCTGAACAGCGAGGCCAGGTCGGACTCGACCTCGTCCTCAAGATCGGACTCGTCGTCGTCAGGGCCAACGACAAGGAGTCGCGAGCCAGCGATGGCACCTTCAAGACCGGGGGCACTGATCTTGACACCAAGGGCCGCCTTGACTTCCTTGTTGTGGACGTAGGCCGACTTCAGGCGCAATTCTCTAAGAGGCGCGGGGGTGAGTAGGGCTCGGATATTTGTCTTGATGACCCCGTCGACACCGCATAGGACAATGCGATCACCTTCCTTTAGAATACCGTTTGACAGGATAACGTCAATGGTCATGCCGAACCCTTCGATGGCCTTGACTTCGAGAACGGTGGCCTGAACCTCGGACAGGTACATGAGCGAGCCAACCATCCTCTCTTGCGTGAGAGCCAAGATCAGCATGAGCATGTCTGGGATACCTTCGCCAGTATGTGCCGAGGTGGGGACCAAGGACACATATTTGGCCATCGACTTGTTTTCATAGAAGAGCTCCGAGTTGAAGCCTTGCTCTGCAAAGGCAAGTTTTGTCTGGTCGAGGCGATTCCTGAACTCGTTCTGGACTGCCTTGTTCTGCAGGGCCAAGCTTTCTTGGAAACCGTTGTTGTCGATCTTCTTCCAGCCATACAGACGGTCAATCTTGTTGAGGGCCACAATGAAGGGGGTCTTCCTGTCTCGTAGTAACCGCATGGACTCTAGGGTCTGGGGCTCGAGACCGTGCATGATATCGACGACGAGAATGGCAATGTTACAGAGCGAGGACCCTCGAGAGCGTAAGTTGGAGAAGGACTCGTGACCGGGCGTGTCGATGATCAGAAGACCAGGGACCTTGAATTCGAACTTGCCATCCTGGTTGACAACAGCAGTTTTCTGCTTGATGGCCTGGACGGGGAAGTAAGTAGCACCAATCTGCTGAGTGATACCGCCGGCTTCGCCTTCTTGGACGTTCGTCTGTCGGATCTTGTCGAGAAGTTTTGTCTTGCCAGTGTCGACGTGCCCCAGGATACAGCAGATCGGTGACCGCAGATTGTCTTTCGAGCGAGCAGCCATTGCAGCCTGGTGGGCTTTCTCCCGTCTATCGGCGGCTTCCTTCTTCCTCTGTGCCTCGGCAAGCCGAGCTTGGGTTGTCTGCTCGTCATCAGAGGACTCGTCCTCGCTGTCTGATTCCTCCTCGGGTTTGGCCCTTGAGGGATGAGTCTTTGAAGGTGCGGTGCCGTTGGCTTCCTCCGCCTTCTTGGCCTTGGCCTCCTCTTCATCTTCCGTATCGGCATCCCAGCTGTCCTTGACGTCCTCTTTATCCGAGGCCGCGGCAGCCTCCCAATCCTCGTCCACGCTGTCCTCGGCCCCAGGTTGCGCAGCCTTTGCTGCGGCCTCAGCCTCGGCCTTTTCTCTTGCGAGGCGTGCCTTTTCTTCTGCCTCCTTAGCAGCGGCCTCGGCCTGGAGTCTGGCACGCTCTGCCGCCTCGGCGAGAACTTTCTCCTCATCAACCTTCACCAGAGGTCAGACACGTGGAATGGAAGGCGGCAGCTGTGGGAGTAACTTACCTTCTTGTCGTTCTTACGTCCGGCGCCCTTCTTCTTGTCGATAGCCTTCTTCTTCTGCTCGGCCTCGGCACCTTCTGCAAGAGCGCCAACCTTGATGCCAGCGTCGATCATCTGTTGAAGCTTGCGTTCATTGCGGACCTTCTCCTCCCTTTGTGCCTTGGTCAGGAACTTGCCCTCCTTCTTGAGCTGCTCGATCCTCTCCTTCTCCTTCTGCTTTCTGCGCGCCTTCTCCTCCTCCTTGCGCTTGGCTTCCTCCTCTGCCAGCCGCTCCTCCTCCTCAATTCGGGCCTTCTCTTCAGCAAGGAACCGTGTTTCCTCCTCCTGCATGCGTCGCAAATCCTCCTGTTGCTTCTGGAGTGCCAGCAAGTGGGCCGGGAGCTTCTTCTTTTTACCGCCAGTCTCAGCAGGGGCTGCAGCAGCGGGGGCCTCGGCCTTTTTCTCCTCGGCGACAGGCTTGCTAGGCTCTGCCTTCGCGGGTTGGGCAGGGGCGGTAGACTTCTTCTTCGCGGCCTACAGGTGTGGAGACGTTAGCCAAATATCCCAGGACGACAACAGCGTATTTATGTATAAGACCCACCTGTTCCTTCTTGCGCTGCTTCTCTCTCTCCTTCCTCAGCTTCTCTTTCTCGGCCTTGGTCAGCACCTTTCCACCGGCACCCCTCTCTTCATCCTCCGCATCATTTTGCGGAGCGGCCGGCTTTGCCGCTTGCTGCTTGCCCTTGGAGGCCTTCCCCTTCTTGTCTGGCAGCGCAAACTCATCGTCTAGGTTCGCCTCCTCGGGTGCCTTGGTAGACAGATCCTGCTCGGGAGCGCCTTCGCCGTCAGCTGCGGCGGGGTCCTCCCCGCCGACGAATTCCTCGGGGAGACCCTTCTTCTTCCGCTTCTCCTTGTTCTTGCGCATCAGGCCCATCAAGCCGCCGCCGCCTGCAGAGGGTTCATCCTCGCCGTCGGCCGGGGCATCTGGGCTGGCGTTGGGGGGGGCGATAGTCTCGCCGAGCTCGGCTTCCCAGTCGTCGTTGCCCTTCTTGTTGCCCTTTTTCTTAGGCGCCATTTCGACGGTTTTCTTTCCGTTCCCTGTATGGTGCCGAAAATCAAAGTTACAGATATTTTCAATCCGGGTTTAGGGGATTAAATCGCTGGTGTTACGTGCTGCGTCAGTTGAAGGAATCATGTTAGCGAGAGGGGCACAGCACAGCACAAGACATGGCAGTTTCAAGTGGCGCTCACATACCACACTTTGTTCACTCCCTTTCAGCGATCACAAATTGTGTCCCTGGCGAAAGAAACGGCGACGAGAGAATATTCTGTTCGCCGGTGCCCTTCAAGTCGATTAAAACACGACATAATATGGGGGAGGCTAAGGGGAAGGGCGAAAATAAAAATTATATGTCGATGGTCGCCCCTCGACTGGATTCCGGCTGAGTAAATAACTAGGTTCTGGCAGAGAAACAGGGCGGGGCAATTTGTGAACGGGACAGTGTGAGCTGGTTTGTGAAATATTTTGTTCCCCTTGGCCGAAATATTTTTTGTGCACTGGCCCGCCCGGCTTTGGATTTGGTGGCGTTGTAGCAAGCAAGATCGGCACTTAGGTGACACCTGCTGCCTGCTGGCTGGCCTTGACTCATTGCTTCCATCTGTTGAGAAACAGGAATCACAAGATATATGTATGGTCTTCGTCTTGGACTGCGAGTTTCCGGGCTATACACACACTCGTATCACGCTTTACAATAATAGATACATTGATACGATACGGGCTTGATCCGGTACCGGTTGGAGGTGCTTCCCAAGGGCGGCCATTGCGGGATACATCCGTCGTCTATTCTGTAGGTATGGACAACAAAAAGACCCCCCCCCCCAAAAAAAAACCGCTATAGAACTGGAGCAAGGAAATATTTTAGAATGTCATATGCGAGGGCGAAATACTTCTCCCTCAGCCCATGCTCTTCGATGCCAAAGTCTGCGGTGTGCTTTCCATCCTCTAGTTCGTCCAGAAGCTCGGCAAACCGAGAGAGGTGACTCGGACGCGTGATCAGCCTCTCCAGGGCTCTCTTTTCCAGACATCTCCCTAGCATGTCTCCATCAATGTGCATTTCTAGACCCCCATCCAGCCGCGGTTCTGGGTCGAACTCGGAAAGGTCGACTGCCTCGTAAGTGAAAGGATAAAGTTCCGGGCTGGTGAGTGCAAGGTTTTGGACGAAGCGCAAGGCTCGCCAGATTTCCACATTGAGAAAGCTGAAGTGATGCAGCGATCCATCCAGACTAATGCCAAGGATTTCGACATCATCAGCCGTGCTAGCCATCCGCCCATACCTGGGCTTGTGCTGTGCCTGCTCCCAAAAGGGGCGCGTTCGTCCCCGACGGAACTTGCGGATCGAGGCCTGGAGCTCAGCTTCGAAGATAGGCTCGCAATCCTTGCCGGGGACCTGCCAGGGGACCCAGAGCCCGCCGACACCACACTCCCGGTCGCAGACAAGAATGAGACTCGACAATGGCTCGTCAAGCTTGGGCCCGGAAATTTCCATCATGTGCACAGCGTTCCGGTTTCGGGGGTCAACGTGAATAAGCCCCGAGCTTTCCCCTCCACCATCAGCTGAATGATCTATGATCTCGAGAGAGTCTCGGCTGGTCAGGGCGACGATTTTGCCATCGACCATAAGCAACGATGTCGCAGGCGAACCTAGATCGAACGATTTCATTGACTTCAGCTTCTTTTCGAAGGGGTCAAGGACGTCCCAATGGATCGTCTGACCAACACAATAGATGATCCCTTCGTCGTAACCCAAAACCGAGTAAATAGGCCGTTCGAATCCCGACTTCTTGAAGCGCATCCAGTAACGTATCTTCGGGCGCTTTCCGTCCACGGATTGTTCCTCGAGCTCTGTTGATATGATCATCATCCGGCCATCTCGCGTCGAGACAAGGATAAAGCGCCACACGTTGTTGTCTTTCTTGTATTCCCACTCTGCCAGACCAAATATCCTGTCACCCTGTTTCCCCAGTCCGGGGATGGACGGCACCTGGTTCCCGGTCTTGTCAGTCGGTTTGCCAATATCCTCACCAGTGTCCGGGTCCAGGAACATCAGCGTTGGCCAGTCTCCCTTGTTCACCGCCACGACGAGACATTGGAGATGGTGGGAGTAGATAATCCGAAGCGGGGTTCCTTCGACAGGTATGTGACGGTGCACCGGCCCAGGCTGCAGTTGCAATTCGGCGAGCAAGACTCGGGAACCGGAGAGGATCAGCAACGGCGTTGTGCTTTCCCGCTCAGAGAAGATATTTCTTGGCAATACCGTGACCGAATCCACCAAGGGGGGTGGAGAGGTCGGATTGCTCACGTCTACTGGCCAGACTCGAATCCTTGTCTCAAATGTTCCCGCGCTTTCTTCGCTCGATGCAGGGGTGTAGCCAGAGAGTAAAATGAGGTTAGAGTCGCAAGAGACGAGGACTGCGGCGCTTTGCCCTAGTTCGTTTGCGACGAGGATGTTTGCCGTCGTCACCCCAAACCTCTGGCTTTGCATCGAACGCACGTTTCTCAGATTGGTCAGAGTTATGACTTCGCCGCTTCTCGTTCCAAGCATGATGATGTGATCACCGTCATGCACGCATGGAGTAATACTAGCGATAGGTTCCATGGATGTCGTCGTATGTTGGGATCCTCTCTCGGACAAAGTGATAGCTGTGCTTGTTAGGCTCTTCCACCCAGGTAGGAAAGGAGACGAATGTGCAAAAGGGGGAGGGGGGGAAGGGGGGGAGGGTCGTACTAGCAGCGAGGTCCATCATTTCCAGATCAGACTGTCCATCTTCCCCTAGAAGGGCATGGGCGAACCACGGCTTCCCCTCTTGCCATAGCCCTGCCAACAGGCCAACGGCTCCATCCTCAGGATAGCGGCAAAGAGACAAGCAGGTTACCTCGCCATCGACTCGGAAGGAGGAGACAGGAACGACTGCAACGTTCCCTTCGTTTCGGATTTGCAGAACGAATATCCGGAATATTGTGTCGATGTGTGTTGAAATTGCGACATAGTCTCCCAGAATGGCCGCGTCTGCTACATATAGGGACGGGAAATCCTCGAGCATCTCGTAAGAGAACCGTGAACTAGGGTGGTGTCAGTTTTCGGCCCTGTTTGATGTGATAGAATGTTCCTGGTCCTGCTACCTTTGCGACGGGCTGATCAATACGATGCAATTTTCCGTCACCTGTATTATCGACTCTCTAGATGCAGTTGCTGCCAGAGTCCGCGACGAGATATCATACTGGATAGTCCCAGGTTCAGGCTCGGCTGCTTGTGACAGGTCATCTGTGAGATGTAAGATGCCAGTGCGGTCGGGCATAGACAAGAGCAGGTGAAACCCCGAGTCGTTAGACAACTGGGCGGGAAAGACCCATGCTTGCTTCACGCCGACGCCGTACTCTAGGTCCAGGCCAATCTTCGCCTGCAGTCCATATCGATACTCGGTGATCGAGCCTTTGTGGCCGCGGCCCGAGGTTGCAAATATCCTGCCGGGCTTTGCCGGCCGACCACCTTCTGAAGCCATCCTGTCGCCAGTCACGCCGAGCACATCGTTCCATGTCGAGTGTTCATCGGTGGTGACGAAATCAACCACTGGGCTGGAATTTGGCAGCGTGCCAAGTTGCTCAAGCGATTGTCTAGCCGGTATCTGCACGGCATCAGCGCATTGCACCCCAGATGTGAAAGCACATGTGTGCGAGAGCGTACCTTCCAGACTGCTCCAGGTCCAGAGTCACCTGCCATGACGAGCACATCGGAAAACTGATCATAGAGACAGGAGAATGCCCTGGAGATATTGCAGTCAAACTTGTCCATAAAAGTGCTTCCCGTCAGGGTGCTCTCTGAATCGGCCTCTATGAAGATAACAACGCCGTCCTCTCGAGCGAGATAGATGCAGTCGCGAGTCCTAAAGAAATGAGATAGTCGCGAAGGCCTCGCCCATGCTGTCCATAGGGGTTTCTCGCGTCCGTGGTAGTTAATCGTGGCCGGAGGTTCCAGGATGTCGAACCTTTCAAAGTTCGGAGGCCCATGCAAAGCCTCGGTGCATACCGCAATCTGTCTCGGCGAAATGGCCATAAAGGCTGAGCGAACTGTCAAGGGGATGAGGAGAAGGGGCATCTGATTCTCGACCGGCATTCTGTGCCCATTCTTTTCTTCGGCGAAGACGGCCCTCAAGTCATCTCCCAGTTCCCACTCATACGTTACCATCCTCGACTTGCCGTTCCGGACGATGATGAGCAGCAGGATGATGTGGTGTCTATCGCTAGGTCTCGGGTAGAGAAACTCGACCTTATGGATCACACCCTGAACACTTCTGGGACGGAATGACTTGACCGGCCGTAGAGGTTCGTTGCGCCCATACTGGCCGTTGAGCGTTGTGATGGATTCAAGCTCGTAGACCACAAAATGATGTTGGGCACAGCCTAGTGCCATGTACCGTGAGCTGGGGTCCACGGCCAGATGGAATCCAGGGTACACAAGATGTTCTTTTGGACTCTTGAAACGTGAGGCGACAAACTCGAGGTTCCCATCTGCCTGAGAGCGGACTGACAGAAAAACCGAGTCGCCGCACTCGAGTACTACCAGCAATAACTGGGGGACCAGCGGGGCAGCTCTGGATGATGTTCTCCTGGGCGGATCATCTCGCTCCATGGCCAAGTCGTCATCCTCAGCCTTGAGTAGAAGGCCGAAGTCTTTGTCCCCATCCTCGTCCTCTTCGTCCTTGATGTCGTCAGGGAGAGTCCCGATGACAGCGGCATTTCGGATACGCGAACCAAAATCGTTCTTTCGAATCACGTCCTGCAGCTGGCCATCTCGCCGCAACTCGCGTATCTGAACGGCATGGTCCTAGAAACGAGTTAGATACGCGGATGCACTGGCCGACGAGTCAATGACGGCGGACGCCAAATATATCGTAGGGTGCCACTGGTTGGGAAGGTGTTTTTAAGGACCAGCTAAATTACGGGGGTATGTCTCAATTTCACGGATAATGCACTCAAGTTGTTGGCATGTTGGAGCGACAGCCATTGGGTCTTGGTGGCGACCACAACGAACTGCAAGGATAGACGAGACGGGGGAATCCACTCACCCCAACAAATGCTACATCGTTGTGATGAGATGACCTGAGCCGGACTGGTAGGATCCAGTTCACAAGCTGGCTCTCCACAACAGTCCTGGTCAGGATGCCACACCGGGGCGGCTTCAGGAGTCGCTGCTTCTTGGCGGGCTTGGGGGCTGATGCTTTGAGAACTGCATGGACGTCGACGGTCTCTGTAACCCATTCACCGCCACGGAAGACGTTTGTTTGAAATGCCATGGTGAGTGGTCATCCAGGGATTTGGCACCCTTGCGTCCATGAGAGGAACAGGAGGTGATTATTTGTAGCGAGCCACGACCATGGGCGATGGAATAATGGCGCAGGTTGCAGATTCCCAATCAAGAGACCGCGGTTACGGTGCCGCACAACTGGGCGGATGACAGGAAGGATAGGTGACAGTTGGTCCCTCCAATGACGGGAGTCTGCCCAGTAGGAGGAATTCCAGTTGTCGTATGATTGTATGATTGAGTCCAAGGTACAGCTCCAGAGGGACTGAACTCACTTGGTTTGGCAGCACCCTAGAGGCAAGAGGTTCAATAACTCAGGAGCGGCGGAATAGGAAAGAATAGGCGGAGAACAAAGGAAATTGAAGCACTATCGTTGGGGTCCTGAAGTCAGTTAGGCTTTCTGAATGCATGACTTTGGCTTGGGGGGTGATGCGGTTGACATGGTCAAGTACCGGGGGAATTCGAAAAGCGGTGTTGAGGTAGTAGTGCCTTGAGATAGTAAATACCTGATACAGTCATAACAACCTTAATGGGTGGAACCTTTTGGGAAGTGCGGAAAAGAAAAAGAAAGAGGCAGAAACTGGGCAGGCATATATGTAGGTAGGTTGGAGCTGGACTGCTTCCAATTTGAAACAATTACCTGCACTTGTCTACGTAGTAGTACCTATATATCTCCATTTCTGTCGTGCCTGGTGCATCAATCAAGAAACGGCGTGCCTGATTTCCACCAACGTTCCATGGCACCCGACACTTGACATGCTAGGTACCTGCCTAACCCCGTGTGACGCCTGCTGCAAACAGGTTCTCTTTGTGCGATAATACAAGTTGTTGGCTAGGTACCTATTAACCAGCTTTCTCTTCCCGCCCATGGCACATAGCATGATGGTTTCAGCCGCTCAGGCCGTTTTGCTGCATACACTTCTGCCCATGGAGCGGTTGAAGCTACCTGCCCCGTCTGAGTAATCCCTGCCGAGGTACTTCAACATAAGTACTTTACGCCGTTAATAATTCCTCCTAGAAGACCCAAGAGTTGCAGGTAGGCAGGTGCCTAGTTAAGTATAAGGGTGTTGAAACTTCCATAAGCCGCGGACAGTACTATGGAGGTGAACAAATTTAACCACTATCCATCCTTGTATCTCGTAGGGTCCTAGGGTCCAAGGGATCGATCGACTGAAAAAGAAACAACAAGCTTACGAACAGCCAACAGGTTTGTTCTAGTGGGAAATGATTGGTTCTGGAAACACTCGGCGCGGGTTGATCTTTGCGTTCCTAGTGTCAAGTCCCGAAACTGCGGCAACGCGACGGACTGCTATTATGTCGTCCTACAAGTATCGGAATAATTAAGTGACAAATCACAATTCTGGGTCTGCGGATTCAGAGGTCCCTCTCATTCTTCGACGCCACTTTCCAGCCCACAGACAATATCTTGTGTGCCAAGGTGCAGTCGAGATTGACAGGCCCCTTTGTTGTCGTCGAGTTTCACAGCGCTTAGTCATCGACATGGGGAAATTATTGTGTAGATTGACATCAGTCCTTATCACCTAATTGGTGCGTTTGACGACAGCTCATCGACTACCTAGGCACCTCTATCGCTATTCCACAATAAGTGCCAACGATTCAGGTGTTGTTGGTTCACCAAATATTGGGGCCTCCAGGTTGTAATCGATACCGACAACAACATAATATCCCATCTATATTTGCGTCGTTGGCACTAGTATTCACTACGCGCTAGTGAGTCGATTCCAGCCGACTTACCTTCTACCTTGAGCACCCGAGCCAAAGGACCAGTACAGTACTGTCGAACCATGCATCCCGGGTGAGGTGGTTGAAGCGAGAACCGGCCACACAGCCTTGGGGCTCTTCGTCTGAAATTTCGTCGAGATCTAGCTGTCTGTATGCGAAACATGGAGTCAAGCGTTTCTTCTACGTCGTCCCGGGGCTCTACCAGCGCCGAGAAGGTAGCTGAGCTGCCTGCCCTGGACGAAGTGAAAGCACAGGCAGTCCTCGATGCATGCAAATGGAGAAATCTGGACGGCCTTCGGGCCCTTGCCGAATCTCCGGGCGGCTTCTTATCCGACAGCCTTCGTCAACAAGCCTGTAGGTAAACATAGGTCCATCGAGCCTGTCCCCGACGCCGTAGCCTTGTACCGGTGTAGTGTAGATCCATTGCTTACCCGGTGTTCTTGCTAGGGCCGGTATTGCTCGGGCTGCCTCGGGAATGCGATGACCAAGAGCAGGCCTGTGAAAGCTGGAAGGGGCTTCCACGCCATAGAGACGAGGACCAAGTCCAGCTTGATGTCAACAGGGCGTTTATCTATTACCCCCAGCGTAGGTGATCCATTTACCCAACTGAGCGAGGGAGCAAGTGCCCACTCCGTTGGCTTCTACTATGCGTCTGGGTACTGACTCCATATAGATATAACCGAGTCTGAACTAGAACACCAGAAAGAGGAGCTTTCGTCGCTCATTGTCGAGGTGCTTCGGCGACACCCCTTTCTATGCTACTTCCAAGGCTACCACGACATCTGCCAGGTGCTCCTGCTCATACTCCCGCCACCGCTGCGCACCCCGGCCGTTGCCCGCCTTTCCGCCCTCCGCATCCGCGACTTCATGCTCCCGTCCCTGACGCCCGCCATCCACCAGCTCCGCCTCATCCCCGACATCCTGCGCGCCTCGGATCCGGCGCTCTGGCGACACCTCAGCACCACCGAGCCCTTCTTCGCCCTCTCCGGCACGCTGACCATGTACGCGCACGACATCACGACGCTGGGCGAGATCGCCCGCCTGTTCGACGTGCTGCTCGCCCGCGAGCCCGTCTTCAGCGTCTACATGTTCGCCAAGATCATCATCGACCGGCGCGCCGAGCTGTTCGACACGCCCTCGGACGAGCCCGAGATGCTGCACAGCATCCTGTCCAAGCTGCCCCGGCCCCTGGACCTGGACCGCCTGATCTCCGGCGCCGTCGGGCTCTTCGACGCCCACCCGCCCGAGACGCTGCGCTCGTGGCGCGCCATCTCCGGCGCCAGCGTGCTCAAGACTGCCCGCCTCGTCGGCCTGTCCGCCGCCCAGACCATGGCCGACGGCGAGGCCTTCTTCGACCGCCAGGTCAGGGAGCTGCGGTGGATGGAGAGGAGGGACAAGATCCACGAGGCCCTGTGGAGGTATCGCCGGCCGGTAGGGGCGCTGGGCCTGGCGGTCCTCGTCGGCGTCGTAGCTGTCTTGGCCGCACGCAAGTCGTCGGGGCCCCTGGGCTATGTGTCGGCCTTGTTGGGCCGGTGGGTTAGGTAGTAAGTTACATACAGTTGCCATCGATCACGGCTTTGCTAGGTAGCTTTTACTCTGTAAAGTACGGCAATTTTGATCAGGTCTGTCTGGTTGCAAGAGGGCTGCTTGGAAGGATATGGTAATATGTGGCGCTATGGGGATACCTAGATTGTGTCGTCACAGGGCACACATTCCGTTGCAAGTCTATAGACGTTGTTTATGTTTGGCGTTAAGAGCTATGCACTCCACCTCAAACAAATAGACGCTCGCGAGCAAAATTCTGGCCCATTCCATGAAGAAAAGGGCGGATCTATTCCTACTCTTCTCTCAACCTCTATTTCCCTCAAGCGGACTCCTGAAATGACGCCTTCAACCCCTCAAAGTGTTCTTGCTGCTCGGCTGCCAGCTTGCCGCTCACATCGCCAATGATGGTCAGGACAAGGCTGTAGTTGTTATACAGAAACCTGTCCCTTTTCCTCGCGTCCGCGCCGAAGCTCGCCTGGCCCTGCCTGGCAAGGAACGCCTCGACCTCGCCGCGCAGCCTCCGCAGGCTCGTGACCACGGGCTCGTCGTCGCCGGCCTCGGCGCTCAGGGCCAGGATGCCGTGCAACAGCTGGCCGAACCGCTGGGTGACAACGTGGGGCGCGGCCGAGGCGCCGCGGGCCGCGGCCGCGGAGGCGGGCTTGGCGGGGAGGGACGACGTGAGCGCGCGCACACTCTCGCAGTGCGCGTCCATGACCGACTGCAGCCGCGGCCACAGCAGCATCGCCGTGCCGTTGACGTAGCCATCGACGGCGGGGATCCGGCGCCGCTGCAGCTCGAAGGCCAGGTGTTGGTTGAGGCGTACGCACAGGAGCAGGCCCAGCCCGTCGTACGTCTCGGCGACGAGCGACCTGCTCAAGTTCTGGCCGAGCGCGAAAGTCGGCTCGAAGATGTAATTGAAGTGTCGATTGATGGTCGCGAAGCTGAGTGACGGGCTGAAAAAAGAGACCAGGAAGGTGTACTCGGCGCTGGCGTTGTCGATCAGCGCCAGGTTGAAGTTCCGGAACGGGACTTCAAGGTAGTGCGTCGACTGGTCTTCCTCAGCGAGATAGGATGACATAGCAGCCTGATTGGTCGTCTTGAGCAGGTCGATTCGGCGGCCGAGGTTGAAAGTATCGTGTGGGGGGCCGGAGAGCTTAGAGGCAGACAGGACGGTGGTCTTCCTCGAGGTATCCTCATGGGCTAGCACGTCGGACTTGTCGATGTGATGAAGCTTGATCTTTGCCAACGACTTCTCATAGCGGGCGAATTGGTTGGCATAGTACCATCTTATTGTGTTCATATATGCCAAGCAGATCTCGTCTGCGAGCGTAGCATGGTGCTTGTGGAGGAATGAGAACAGCTCCTTGAACTTTAGGAAATTCTGCTGTTGTATAATCTGGGCGTTAATATGGGGAGACCGGAGTGCCTTGATCTGAGCGACGAGGAAATCACGGATTCGTTCAACAGCCTTCTCTCCACGTTAGATACTGTTCATCTTGGGCTTGAGTGCTGCATGCCTGAGGGCCGTACCTTCAGAACCAGCTTCTCCAATAATGGACCGAGGTCTGCCAGTGCTTTGGTGTCTGTTTGGGCTGCGTTCTTCTTATGTGCCGCAGCTCTCCTGTCTAGCTCAGATAGTGCCTTTACCCATACATCGTCAATATGCCCTTCGGCTATCTTAGAAACGACGGCGGGCGAGATACTGAGGTCTTCGACAATCGGGCCAAGGCACTTCTCTACAGCCTTCCTATTTTCTAGCTTTATGTTAAGGGTTGTAGATCTGGCTTGCAGTGTCTCTATATCTGCAGAGACAGCGGCCAGGTCGTTTCGGAAGCTCGTGAGGTTCGTCTCGACAGAGCTCAGGATGTCGTCACAGGCTCGGATCGACCGATGAAGCTCCTCGAATTTGGCCTTCTCGCGTTCGTCTAGCCAGGAGCAGTCAGCTTAAGGAATAAATACAGTATTGGGGGTGCAGGCAACATACATTCTTCAATTGTTTGTGTCCTGTATATACTTGCGCTGTCAGAGGATCGGTCATCCAGTGCTAGCTCGCGCAATGACAGGCCGCCAAAATCGAAGCTGAAGTCGAGGTCATGCCGTGTTATCGAGCTCTTAGTCCTATCTCCCGATATCGAGCCAGCAGGTGTTGAGCCAAGTAGGGCCCCCAGAACTTCCTCGGGATCCGGCCCATCGGGAGCTGTGGTGGATTGTTTTAAGGTTGAGCCATTCACTCGGCGTGACGATGACAGCAATGAGCTTGACGAGTCATTTGAGACTAACGAAAGGGATGAGCCCCTCGGCGTGTTGCCAGCCCTCTGAGAGGTTAAATACGGTCCACGGGAGCTTGATGTTCGGCGAGGAAGCGGAGACATTGGGCGGCTGTTAGGTTGGGGAGATGCAGTGCCAGCTTGTTGGCCGGCGAGTCGATCTAGCCACATGGTAGAGCAAGGATCACCTTGCTGAGCTTAACAGGCTCATGCTTCGGCGAGGAGTCTTTGTCCTTCGAGACGGTGTGACTCGCTCGAGGATCGTTGTGGGATTAGCCGGGGTTTGAAGTGTGTGCTCAAGGACAGAAGCGTTGGGAAAGGAGCTTTGGCATGCTGCAATTCCATGTGGCTTCTCATGCTCTTGGCCCAGTAGGTATCCACGAGGCTGACGGGAAGTCGAAGCAGGAGCTTAGGTAATTTCAAAGAAATTCTTGACACGATTGGTCAATCTCCTGCCACACCATTGACCGCCTAATCTCCGTGAGCTTTGTCGATAGGTCCCGAACTAGGCGGGGCACAAGAGGGACATTTTCAAGATGCATCAGGCCGTCCTGCATGCCGGTCATCTTCCCTGATGTCACAGGAGAATTATTAGACTGGTGTCAAGCAGCGCCGTGTAACATACAATGGAACCTCTGTGTGGCTGAAGCTTAGTGCCCGGTTGACTCCTCGGTCTTAAACCTTCCAGGAAAAGCAAAGTATGTCCATTTGAACCTGTCAATTACATGTGCTGTGATTGGGGGTGAGTTCCAGGTGGTGGCAAGTCAGTAGGAAGTACTCCGTAGAGGGCAAAAATAAGCTATGAGTAGAGTCAGAGTGGAGTTCCATTTGCTGCCTGTATATGTAGGGAGGTGCTGGGCTGGAAACTCTAGTCCAGACAGTACATACAACCCGACTTGCCATCGGTATTTCCCCTCCCGCCTTAAAACCTCCACCACAACTTTTTCTTTTCCAAACCCTCGTCTCCTCTCCACCTAGCACCACTTACAATCCCTTTCTGGTGCCCCAGATATCTCCTTGGCCCTTGTCGCATCGCATTCTTCCTTTCCTTCTTATTTTCCATCAAGCACCCGTTGCAATCCTTCAAAATGGCGGACGATTCTCAGGTATGTTCAACAACCCCTCTCCCCCTCTCCCCTCCTGTTTGTTGTGCGCACTTTCGAGGCGGGAAAAAAAAAATCACCCCGCATTGCGCGCGAGCCCCTCGATTCCGAGCGAACATTGATCGCATGCCCTCGCGATCCCTCATCCATCACATCTTAGCCACCCTCCCATCGCCTACATCTGCCTGCCTCATATTTGTGTGTTTCCTCTAGCTCTTTCAGACAAGACACTAATGGCGTCCTTCCCTCCCTCCAGCATGAGCACACGTTCGACTCGGCCGACGCCGGCGCCTCGGCCACTTACCCTATGCAGTGCTCAGCTCTGCGCAAGAACGGGTTTGTCGTGATCAAGGGTCGCCCTTGCAAGATCGTCGACATGTCGACCTCCAAGACTGGCAAGCACGGCCACGCCAAGGTCCATTTGACTGCTCTCGACATTTTCACTGGCAAGAAGCTCGAGGATCTCTGCCCTTCGACCCACAACATGGATGTTCCCAATGTCACTCGTCGCGAGTACCAGCTTGTAAGACAGTCCTCAATACCGTGTATTGCCGATTTGTGTTCCCACTAACTCATGAGCCAGCTCGATATCTCCGATGATGGCTACCTCTCCCTGATGAGTGATGACGGCGACACCAAGGATGATGTCAAGGTTCCCGATGGTGAGGTTGGTGAGAAGATCAACAAGCTCTTCAGGGTTGAGGAGAAGGATACCAGTAAGTGGCCGCGTCGCTGTCCGTGGCTTGGGTTTTAAAATTCCTAATCTAACCGTTCCATACAGACGTCGTCATTCTGACCGCCATGGGTGAGGAGTCGGCCATTGAGGCCAAGGAGGCTCCCCGCCAGGCTTAAAAGCATTGCTCCTGAACTGATTCTACGGCACCGACCATCCTTCGGTTTCGGCAGTTTGCCCGATACTGCCGGGCGATCTTGCCTGGCCTCGAGCTGTTTCGCCTTGATATTTCTTGGCCGCCTCGTGTGTCTGGGCATCCCCATGGTCCTTGTCGGAGGTTTTCTATCTGGACAATGTTCTGCTGGGTATAGGGCTCTAGTTCCCAACATTATCGCACGAACTCGATAGCGTCTCTTTTGTTTCCTTCCCCCGTCCCTTGTTGCACAAGATATTCCATAATGGAAGATGAGAAAACCGGGCGCTCGTGAGTGGCGACAAATATGTCCTATAGAATTCGAGAGATTTTTCTCCATATATTCTGCTGTGTGTGTGAGGGGTCTGGTCCTTTGCTCGTGCTTCCGTAGAGGTAACTAGGTCCATGCATGGCCGTGTCCGGATTACGAATTTGTTGTCTCAGGATGATGTATTTGCCGTATGTCTCGGCAACACTGCTCTTATTACGAGAAAACCGAGACCTCCATGACATTTGTCCAGCCATATGCGTAAGGTACCTAGATATTTAGGTAGGTAGGTAAGGTACCTTATTGACAAAAGGATGGTCCAGTTTGCCCGCTGTCTGTCCTGGTGAGCTGCCTTGCAGAACACAAAATATGGTATAGCATAGATACCTTAAATTTGCCTGGCTCGAAAAAAAAAATTTGACAACTTTCCTAATTTCCTACCGTAGCGGTCCTCACAAAATTACGTCCGATGTCGAGAACATGGAGACAAATCGGGAGCTTCACACATTTCCCAAAGGGGAGACTTGCTCAGAATGCCCCGCGCGGCGATGGTACTCCGAGAGTGGGTTTCGATACTGCCAGAACGGGCATCAAGTCGAGGTTGCTACAATCCACTCACTCCCGCTGCTTTCCTCCGCATCCCCGCGGACTGACGTCTCGCCTAGGGTTTTGTGGAATTCGATGTCGACCAAGAGGACAACTTCGGCAAGGCCGGTCGTGTCGCTCGCAAGAAGAGGGAGGTCAAGGAAAAGGAGCGCAAGCACCTCAGTGGAAACGCCGCCAAGGAGCTCTATCTCGAATGTATACAACTCATTCTGCGCAAGCAGCTCGCCTGGCTAGTGAGAGAAAGAAGTCTGCCGCTCGAATTGGAGGTCGTGGTCCGTGATCTCTGGGACTTGCGGGTGAGATATTTCGGGGGGCTCAAGAGTGTCGAAGAGAAGCGGAAGGGAAAGAACGTCAAATCCGAACCCCAGTCGAGCTCTGATGGCGAACTTGCATTCTTCAGCTCCCAGAGCGAGGCAGAGCCGTCCTCGGAGGACAATGCCGCAACACCTCGGAGCAGATTCAAGAGTTGGACTGCCGACGAGGGTGGCGTGTGGGCGATGCCCAGCCTGCTTGATACCCTTGCGCTCAACTACCTTGGCTGCCTCACCATCCGGCAGCCGGTGAGGATTGGCGACCTGCATCGCTGGGCGAAGAGAAATAAGTTGCCATACCGTGGTGCCGTGCGTCGAGCCTGTGGGCAAATATGTTCTCATCGGCGGCTGACAAGTGGCGCAGATCAACGAAATCCCGAGCGAGATGCGCGACCGATTGCCCGCATCATACCACAGGGCTCTCCGGGCGAGATCTGCTGCTTTCAAGGGCGGCAAGCTGCAGCAGGCTGTTATGGACCTTGCTATATCCTATGAGAAGAACTACGGCATAAACTTCCCATCCCTGAATACGCCGACTATGTTTCTGCAATACTTGAGAGAGCTGGCTCTTCCATGTCCGTCAACAGCCCCAGTAGACCAATAGCAGCTGCTGACGCATTACGCAGTGGAAATCTACACCTACGCCAGAGAGATCGTGACCTTGCTTCGGCTGAACTTTTCGATACCTACCGGGGGCCGGACACCACTCGACAACCCTGACACATTGCTCATAGCGAGTGTTGTGCTAACAACAAAAATCCTCTATCCAATGGACGGAGTAGAACGAGCCACAACAAGTGACGATGACCCGGCTTGCCTCAAGGTGGACTGGGAAAAGTGGCAGGACGTCTTTGCAGACAGAGGGGCATCGAAGCCTGCTCGGCGCGACTTTGACTCGCTGACTTCGGAGGATGTCTCCTCTATGACTGGAGAGGAGATGGATGAGTACCTTGAATGGTATCGGCAAGTTCGACTAACGCCTAAGGAGGGTTTGTAGATAGACCCCAACCCCCCTTTCACTCGCCCGACAGCAATGGCTGACTTGTGGGCAGAACTCCGCAGCATAGAGCGTCTCTTCCCGCTCATCCAGTCAGCCGCGTATCCCCCGGCTGACGGGGAGGACGACGATGTTGACGAGAACAAGATCGAGGCAAGACTACTCGAGATCCAGGGAGCGACGACCTGGGTCAAACCACTGCCGCTTGCCGACGGTGACGATGGTAATAATATTAGGAGGCCGGGTAGTCTCCATCAGCGTTACGAAACTCTCGATGACCTATCAGGCCCAGCCCAAGCTTTCCATGATAGAGCCGCCAGGTTATCGGGCTTGTCCACGGCAGATTTGCTACGAGCAGTATTCAGACTTGAGCAGCTATTGATATACTGGACAGATCATGTCAAAAATGGGTCGGTAGAAGAGATCGACAGGGCAGCAGAGAGTGTGTTAAGCCGGCCCTTAGCAAGAATACTAGGCGTCAAACAGGTGTGGTAGTCTACAGGTTTGCTCTGGCAAGGCATTGCCCGCATTGCAGGTAGTTAGAAATGCCGATTCCGGGCGCGTCTACATAGAAATCATGGATAATCATGAAGATTTGATTCTCCAACCAGGAAGCTAAAGTATCAGTCTCAGGAAGCCGAATCATTCATCGAGAGGCTGTTGATGAGTAACAGTATGAGATGAAGTAGGATGTACTGTCCCGCACGTGCGTCGAAATTTAACCCTAGCCACCATCTCGAGACTCGAACTTCCAAACCCCCACCATCAGAATTTCGAAGGCGATTCTTGCCGATTTCATCAGCTCAATTTGATCACGGAAAAGCTGTCAAGAGTAAGGCGCATCTCTACGACAAAGCCTCATTTTCTCGAGAATGTACTGACCCGTTTCGTAACTGTAGTGCAGATGTAAGAATCCCCGAGAAGCCGAGACTATTTCGCCCCGCCGAGCGACCCTGGGCTGACTGGCGCGACCAACTAGTTTCGTGAAGACCCTCACCGGCAAGACCATCACTTTGGAGGTCGAGTCCTCGGACACGATCGACAATGTCAAGTCCAAGATCCAGGATAAGGAGGGAATCCCTCCCGATCAACAGCGATTGATCTTCGCGGGCAAGCAGCTTGAGGATGGCCGCACTCTCTCGGACTACAACATCCAGAAGGTTCGTGACGTTTCCTGGGCGATCTTTATGACGGAATAGGGACCTCGAAGAAGCACCGCGGACCTCAATCCCAATCACGACGTATCTGCGGCGGAGGAATGCTCGGATCGCAGTGGAAGGCTAATGTGCGAAAACAGGAGTCGACCCTCCACCTTGTCCTCCGTCTCCGTGGTGGTATAATCGAGCCGTCGCTGAAGGCCCTGGCCAGCAAGTTTAACTGCGACAAGATGATCTGCCGCAAGTGCTACGTATGGCTTGCCATCCAGTCCATGTCTTGATTCTGCTCGTGTGCTTACCCTTTGCTCCAGGCTCGGTTGCCACCTCGCGCAACAAACTGCCGCAAGCGAAAGTGCGGGCATACGAACCAGCTCCGCCCCAAGAAGAAGCTCAAGTAAACGGGTTCCCATTACGGTCACTGGCGTCTTGGTTTTTGGAATTGCGAAAAAGACGCCGAGGTCGGGGCAGAAGAGGTCTGCAAACTTTGTGGCTGTACATTTGGTGCTAGCATAGGAGTTACCAGACATTGAGAATAAGACGTTTGCCATTCCAATCCGGCGCGGATGCCACCGGCGATCGATGACCCCCGTAGTGGGTGGTCGCTCTTGTCTACGTTCATAGTATGGAGTCGCGATAGATGTTAAAAGATGACGCCAAGATATTGTGACTATTAACTGCCTACTTATTGGTGAAATGACATGTTGGGCAGGAGATGGGCAGGAGAAATATCATCCGCCCGGAATACCATTGCAATGGAACCTCGAATGCTGACCAGGAGTCATCGTCACTTCCGATGTTAGGTGAGGTGTCAGGTGACATAATTCGTTGCCAGGTGACACCAGCTTGTCAGTACAAACGCGGCGTCCCACTTACGACAGCTGTCGCAAACTCCAGGTCCAAGATTCAATCAGCTACATCTCGCCCATTCCCGTCAACAAGAACTTTCGAGCATCTGTTCAAAGGGCCGTATGCACTCAACCTCCAGAGCGTGACCTAACACTCGAAGATCATGTCTGGGGCCGGATATGACGTGGTGGTGGACGTGGATGATGAGGTAGACCTGAACGAATGCGTACCCATCACCTACCCCCTCCCTGACTGACAACGCTTTGCTCCCAGGGCGACCTAGGACACACCGACTTGCAAGAAGACCTCGAATTCCACAACTCAAACTTCTCGGAGAGCGCACAGGCGAACAGGAAGGGCGGCGCGTCCCCGGGCCTCCCGTTGCCGGTGACGGCGTCGTCGTCATCGTCGTCGCGGAAACGGTTCCTCTGGACTCTCTCCTTCTACGCCCAGTTCTTCGACGTCGACACGTCGTCCGTCCTGTCCCGCTGCTGGGCGGCGCTGTACCCGCGCGCCAACTTTCTCGACGTGCTGGAGGGCAACCCGGATCTGTACGGCCCGCTCTGGATCGCGACCACCGTGGTCTTCATCCTCTTCTTGGGCGGCACGATCAACCAATATCTGGTGTCTACTGGGCCGTTTGCGTACGATTTTAAGCTCCTCAGTAGTGAGTCTCCCCCAAGCACCCCCGGTTAACGGTTGTTTCTGGCAGTCGATAGCCCACTGTTATCATTTGCTAACCTGTGTACGATAACCAGGTGCCGCCGGCCTCATATACGGCTACACTTCCGTCATACCCGTCATCCTCTTCCTAGCGCTGCGGTACTTCGGCTCTGAGAGCGCCAACCTTCTCGAGTGCTGGGCTCTGTACGGCTACGGCAACCTCATCTGGATTCCCGTGTCGCTGGTCAGCTGGACGGGCATCTCGATCCTCAACTACGTCTTCGTCGCCGTCGGGTTCGCGCTCTCGGTCAGCTTCCTGCTGCGCAACCTGTACCCCGTCCTCAGCGCCACCGACCGCCAGACCAGCAAGGCGCTCCTCGTCCTGGTAGTGGCCCTGCACGCCGGCTTGGCCATCGCGATCAAGATCCTGTTCTTTACTGCTGGCGGTGGGCCCCTTGCGACCAAGCCGGACGAGGGAGGCGGGTGAGCCCTGATGTACTGCGAGGCTTCTTCTAACGCGAGGGTGTTTATGGGATGAGAGCAGAGCCACGTTAGAAGTTGAGGGATTTGTCGTTCTCGATTACTGATTTGCTGGTAAATACCACATAGCCAAGTCTAAGGGCGCTCGACAGGCAGGGGATTAATGCATTGGCCGGATAGGACATCGCCTTGTTTTGCACGTCACTAGTATTGTACTGTAGTTTCGGTCTGCGATTCGGGTAGAACAGGCATTGCATCTTCCTTTCTATGGAAAAAAAAACGCCCCTTACAAACCCTCAATAAACAGCCTCCCCTACCGCTCCACCTTCCCGCCCTTGGCCGCCCAGTCCATCCAGCTACCGGGATACTCCCCGACATGCGCCCACCCCGCGTCGCGGGCGAGCCCCGCGGCGGCGCGGCTGCGCACGCCGGCCTTACAGTAGAAGACCACCTCGGCGTCCCGGCCGGGCCGCTGGTACCCGAACCGGTCCTCGAACTCGCCGTCGGCGATGTGGAAGCTGTCCGGCGCGGACGTGATCGGCACGTTTACGGCGCCCGGTATGCGGCCCGTCTGCTGGAGCTCGGAGGGCTCGCGCGTGTCTGTCGGGGGGGGAGGCGGCCGGCCGGGAAGGTTAGCGGTTTGGCGCGCGCGATTGCAGGACTGGACGGGGCTACTTACCGACTATGACGACGTTGGCCTCTGGGTCCTGGGTGAGCTTTTGGATCTGGGGCACAGCGAGTTAGTATAGGGGGCCCCGACGGGATGAATTGGAGCTGGGGTGGGCGCGTACGTCTTCAAAGCTCCAGATCTTGCTCTGGCTGGCAGCCTGCGAGTACGGACGCGCTGCAGTGGCTTGCCATGGCCGGGTGATGGACAGGCATTGCTGGGTGTTCCAGGCCGGTCTGGGAAGAGATGCAAGGGGTCGAGCCGGCCGCAGTTGCGTCCGGACGGATGCCTGGAGAAGCCTAAGGACTGCCCGTCTGGATGCCATGCTGTCGTGGTTGGTTGCAGAGGTTGTTCCTGGTAGAGCTTGCCGGGATGTTCCGCAGATCGCAGGTTTATTATTGAGGTCGTTTATTCCCTGTCTGGCGCTCCCCACTGATGTCACCACTCATCCTTGTCCGCTATCAAACCCCACAAGGCCACCCAGCTCAAGGAAGCTTGCCTTGCTTGCTGAGCTTGTTCGAGTTTCTTGCTGGATACTTTTGCTTCCTTTTCCCTAATACTACATGAAGTTGTCCTATTACAGCTACTTGGACGCCATCATATTCTCAGCCTCCTGAAAGTCCCTGGCCATATAGCAGAGGACTTACAGGTATCCGTATAGTCACGAGATTAACAGCCATCATGGCTGACAAGTTCAAGAAAAGAAAGGCTGGCCACCGCGGTCTGGCCGGCCATACATTTTTTCTCGAAAACCATCGAACCGATTTGAACATGATACACGTCCTGGGTTATTCCGCCCTAAGAATCCGATGAGGCTGGACACTCAGGACAGTCTGGGAACCCCCAGTGTCCGTTGCAGCCGTCCCGATATTAAACGCTATTTACATCCTTCAGTATTACAATTGTCTAAGTAGGGCTGGCCTGTATGGTGCAGCCATGTTGATGCCCGGGCGATGCAGGTTCCCATGTAGTCCCCATCGCTAACAACGCGGTTTATCACGTTCTCGCAGGTCGTTGCACCAAAGGCAACCTGTATTCCACAGGGCGACGGCATTTCAGCCGCATAGTAAGCCTCGAATATCTGTCCTTTCCCCCCTGCTATTAGGATCGGCTCGCCGCGCTAACACCTCGAAACTCAGCCGCAATTCGTCGTATAGAGAAATTTACCATTTTCTCTCCTCAAACGTCAGCGGGCAGTCATCCTGGTTTCTGTCAGCGTCAAATCTCGATATCATAACGATCACCAATCCTACTACTCACCTTGGGGAAGATGGTGGCGAACACCTTGATCTCCTCGGATAGGGGTGTGGGGTGATGTGTCCAGTCCAGTAGAAGCGAAGCCTTTCCGACGAACAGGGCGAGGTTCAGTTGAGCATACTGCTGACCGAGGCAGTAGTGAGACCCGGTGCCGAAGACGAGGTAGTTTTTCAGGCCCTTCTGCTCAGCATCCCCGGAATAGTACCGGTCAGGATCGAACTCGTCGGGGTTGGCATAAACGTCGGGGTCACGCAACGCCATATAAACCGTCGCTATAACCATGGAACCTGTGGTTTCAATCAGATCCTACTGCACCAATACGAGGGAAAACAATTGCACTTGCCCTTGGGGACTGTGTACGTGTCGGTGATGGGGAAAGCCTTCTTGGCCATGTACGGAGTCATGAGAACCGGTGGTCGGTAGCGGAGAAGTTCCCTCACGACGGCGCGCGTGTACTTCATCGACTCGAGCTGATCCATGTTCAAGGGGGCATGGATGTCACCGTTGCGGACCTTGTAGTTCTCCTCGCGAACACGATCCAGCACATCGGGGCGTTGGGCCATGGTCTGGAAAAGCCAAGTTGCAGCGCTGCTGGTGGCGTCCTGAGAAGCGAAGAGGAAGGTGAAGATGGTCTGCGAGATCTCGTAGTCGCTGAAGTCCCGGAGCAGCGGGTTCGGCTTCTCCATGTCTTCGGTCGTCGCGCCCTTCGCCTCCATCTCTCGCCACCTCTTGGAATCAACCATCTGCTTGACCCACGCATCCATGATACATGAGATATCGCCGCCAGCCAACATACGGACCTTGCTCTTCGCAGCGCATTTAGCGAACTCGGCCAGGACCATGTCAGCGGCCTTCTTGCCATACCAGGTCTTGGTGTACGGGATGATGATGGGGAAATTGACCAGCTCCAGGGCGGCAGTGATGAGATAGTAGTCGTCGGCGATCTTCTTCACGGCTTCATCCGAAATATAATGCCCAACGAAGGTACGGCAGGAGACGGCACACATGAGCTCGCGGAATTGCGGCATGAAGGGAACCGGCTTCCCCCCAGCCTCCTTGGTTATATCGAGGAACTGTTGGAAATACCGTTTATACACATCCTCCTGACCAGGCAGATAGATCTCGAGAGCCTTGCGGGTGAACAGACCGTTCAAACCTTTGCGGAAATCAACGTGAGCCTTTCCGTCCAGGAACACCCAGTTATCGGCACCGAGAAGCTTGTGGGCGACATCGACGACGCATGGCTTGACGAAGGCGGGCGAATTGAAGACCTTCCTGGCCATGTCACGAGTCGAAGCAATGACAACGAATCTGCGATAGACGAACGTTAGCAAGAAAAACGGGAAGAGCTACGCGACTCTGCAGGGCTCGGAGATAACTCACTTGTGGAATACAGAAACACAGCTCAGGGGGCCGCTCTTCCATTTCGCGTAATACTCCTCGAACTTGGGATCCATGGATTCCAGGAAAGGGCCAATGAATGGGAGTTTCCATGCTGGGCCGACGATGGAACCTTTATTCCAGATGTAGCTGACTGTTGGCAGAGATGTTAGTTACTATTCGACTTGGGCAATCAGACTCGAGGGCAGTAGCATACATTGATCGTATGCAACGAGGAGGGCGAAAAGGGTGATGGCAATGGTCCAGCCGCTCGCGTTGGTAACGGCATCGACGACATATTCAAGTTGTGGTGGAATATTCACGCTGCCGTATTTCGCGCTCGCCAACGGCGAGGTGAAGCCCGTCGCGTTGGTGTCCATCTTGGCTGCGACAGACCCCGAAGAAAATTCCGAAAATTGCGCCAAAGTCGCCAGAGAAAGCGTTCCGAAAGGGGGACGATCGCGGGCGGCCTTGGAGAAGCTCAACTTGCAAGCGAGCGATGCAAGGAGTTGTTGGGGGCAGGTGGCAGGCAGGATACGCCTGGAGTTTATCGAGAACTTGCAGGGAGGAACAGAGGAAAGGGGGAGAGTAAGGATTGGACATTTGGATAATTACTAGGAGATGCACCGGACCGGATTTCGGGAAGGCTTGGACTAAATCGACGAGGGACAGATCATAAGGCAACCCAGAGTTACCCAGGGCCCCACGAGCCAATCACCTATCATTCAAATTTGTAATCAGCCCCTCCCGCTGCAGGTCCTGCAGAGCTGCAGTAAACTTACAAGTGGGGTTTACAAGTTTGGTATTCTCATTCTGAAAAAAATCCAATTCTCAAAGACACCGTTGAAACTTGTCTCACGTGTCGTGGGCGTTACGTCTAGCAATTACTAGGGAGTGTAAAATGTAGATACTACTAGGCGTATTTCTGTGGAGGCAGCCCGGACTGCCCATCCATTGTTGTGCATGGGCCTGTAGCCCGCCCTCAAACGCACCTTGTCTGATTGGCTCAGAAACAGGGGTCTAGCTGGCATGGATGGTTAGGATGGTTAGAATCTAAAATGTTGAGTCTATACGTACCCAGTCCCCTACATATATCTGGTCGACTGGACAGGATGGTCACGATAGGTCGTCAGTCGATTTCCTGTCAAGTCGGACAATCTCTACACCAGACCCTTGACATGTCTTGCCATTGTGCACCGGTGCACTCATGTCAATGTTCGATGCGCTGTTTTGCTGAGGCCTGCCCGCACAAATACTCGGCTGTGGTCGCTTCCGAGAGGGCAGAATCAGCCCAGAGCAAAATCTTGTGCCTTTTGAAGAGACCGGCCGCTCAGTGATTTGCCGCCACCACCTAATTGGAATTGCTTTTCTCCTCTGAAGGGTGCACCGCCTTGTATGTAGAATTCGAATTGGACTGGGGCATGCCAGGTATATGTACGATCGAAATATCGCATAGGGAACTTTGGAGGCCCCCTATAAGTACCTATGGATAGGGATACCTACCTACTTTGGAAGGTTCGTATTCGTTTTCGAGTTCGAGAGAGAAAGGCGGTGAGCTGCTGCTGGTCGAATTGACCAATCATTATGTGAGACACATCCGGTGTTTGAGTGCCTTCTAACAGCAAAATCTAGGGTATAGCGATACCGGGAAGACAAATCCCCCGGACTTGCGGAATTGCGATCGCATTCGTCTGTTGTTATTAGACGGGATTATGGGCCGCGATTGCGTGTGCAGCATATACGTATAGTTGTTGGATGGAATAGAGTCATTTACCTTAATACAACAACATGGGTCTCTTGCCTGTCTGCATTGAGGTAGGCATTGCAGTCGAATTGTTGCAACTCGAGACTCGATTTCGTAGAGGTAGGTTTAAGCATCGAGGAGCGCTTTTGAGCTTCACATGGCCCCGAGAGATTGGGCAAGGTTACGAAGGGCCATTTACCTTTTATTTGTACGGCGTGTAGCCTCTTGTCGTCGGTGATAGTCGGCAAGGAGGGAGTATGGCATACTTGGCAATGAAGAGCTCGATTTCTGTCTTTCGAGGTGAGGTTTGCGACGAGAGGCGTCGAAGTTGCTTTTGAGAAGCCGCCAAAACCTATTTCATGAGATGAGGTTCGGGATTTCCAACTGAGACAGACGGGAAACGCAAGACATGGGCAACACAACAAGAAGGTTCGCCGAGGAGAAGACGTCAAAAGTGACGAAAATGTTTGTTGGTAATCGTCCTCTCGAAAGTCTAGACCTCCAAGGAAAGCTCTCTGTTGGCGTGGTCATGGCCACTTGGGTCTCTCTCTGCTCGGTAACATGGTTGAGCCGCTGACGAGCTCTAGTGGTGTCATCAGCGAAGTCAGAGGTATCGCCATGACACCTTTGCCGACAAGCTACCCCGGGTTTCATGATTTCCCAAATAATCTTGGCCAATGAGACGAACGAAGATAGCCCCCCAAGATCTCAATATCTTGGGGTTGTGACTCAGGTAGAGAGTGGGGTAAGGGGAAGGGCGTTCGACGACGACGCTGACGAAAGCAATTCGCGTAATCTCCTGCCTACAACTGACGAGTGCTAACGTAAAACGAGGGTTTGAATGCTCCAGGAGCGTCATCAACCGCTCTACTGCCCAAAGTACAACCTTGGCCATGCCCAAACTGGTCTGGTCCTGTTCCTACAACGCGCCCTGTTCGCAGGCACTTGCAAACACGCGGCGTAATGCGTCAACTGCGCGTGTCCCCTTTTGGATGTCATAGACGCTTTCGCACTCACATGAGTCACTAGGCCAGGAGTCAGTGGTAAACTTCGGCTTCCAGAGCCTTGTCGACGTGTTGTAGGGTTGGTAATTGCCGAATGCCTTCTGCGATGTTTGTGTTGTGCATATAAGTCCCAGGTAGCAACCTCTATGATGCAGGTTCTCAAGGTTCTTAAGGCAGCAAGTTCAGCAGGCAAGCAAACAAAGCTCATAAAGGTCTCACAAGAAGCTCGGAACTCGACTCAGTGTCTGTGACTCTCAATCAAACTACAGGACGCCATCCTCAACATTGTCCTATCGTGCGACTTACAACACAAACAGGCAGTCAATAAGCCCAATCACGATCACGATGGCCGCCCCTGGATATAGTACGCTACAATGTGCCACATGCAATCAAGTAGCCAACTAACCAGAGCCCAGACTCCTCGCAATCCCAATCCCGTCCAATTGACAAGTCCCTCGCCAAGCACTCGGGCGACTCGGCGTCAATCGCCAGCAAGTCAAGCTTCGGCAGCACCGTCGGCCTGATCAAGAACAAGCTCCATGCCAAGTCAAGCAGGGAAGCGGACAAGAAGCGGGCGGAGGAGCAACAGAAGATTATGCACAGCCAGCTGACCTTTGTGGGTTGAGTTAACAATATTCTTCCCCGCCTCTCCCACCGGTGGGAACGGTGCTCTTCATCTCGACCAGTCACACTCCATCACCACGACATTCCTCTCACAGCTCCCTGGGTCGCCCGCCGCCACACTTCTCACTGTCACGAGGGGCATGTCTGACTGCCATCCGTCAGAAATGATTGCTCGAGGCAATACCACTTCTCCCTTCCGGGAGGGACACTCGCTGCCATCATGGCGGCCTGGAAGAGCACCGCCGCTCCGGGGGGGGGGGGGGGGGGGTGATGTGGGGGGGGGGGTGCCCGTCGCAGGGTTGTTGTATGTGGTAGCCCGTATCAGTTTGGCTCCCGGGGGATCTTAGTTTCACA